CCACGGTGAATATTATCAACGTGAGACGAAACTCAGCTTTTAACGTTTCCATGGTCGTTTTCATTTTTGTAATTTTCATTGAATGGCCAAATTGATGAATCGACAAAAAATAAACAAATTCATGCCAACATATTTTAATAAGACACATACTGATGTTTGGCCAATGAATATACACCATATGCTTACCATATATAAAACAATACTGTATCCATCGAAAATAGTTTGCAACATTAACCAATATGTGTGTGATGGTCACAACCGGTCAAACCATAAAGTAAGAATATTTCGTTTCATTCAAAATAGAAATTTATCGAACAAAACAAAATTTATTTTTCTTCAAAATGAACGTTTATAAACATGTTTAAGCGCATACTGATGAAAATGCAAATCGTACGCTTTCCAAATATCAGAAAGTATGGTATTACGCGCTTAACTCATATCTTCTATGGCATTATCAACGAATTTTTCATTTTACATTATCATATAATGTCGAATTGGACAGATGTGAAAGCCCGAAAATGCGATACATTTGAAAGTGCATTGAATCGATCGTCAGTTGAAAGAGAAATGTTTTGAATTTGTCATATCTTCGATAAATATACAACAAACGAAAACAACTGAATAATTTTTTCAGTGTAATTGAATTTCACTTTGATGTGAGGTGAGATACAGTTATTGTACCAAAATGAAATGTTTTTTGTATGCAAATATTGTGCGATGATCTTTCTATCTCTTTCTCTTTCAATATTTGTTTATCTCTCTCATTCTCTCGCCTCCTTCTCTTGCTAGTTCGTTCTGTCATCTTAATGTATGAGCATTTGTTTTCAAAGCAACAAAGTGAAGAAAAAAAACTAATATTATAGAATTGACATCATTTTTGTTGCCACAATAAACTTATGTATTCTCTGTTGCCATTGTATACGTGCACTTGCCAAACGCGCTTTACATGCTGTTTTCTTCCCGTGCTTTTTTTGTGTGTGCCGTTTTCTTCCCGTTCGCTCTGTCGTACATACGCAGACGATTTTAAATTTGTGTGATCATTGTATGGTGTTTTTTTTTGTTGCCATCATTAACTCTCGCGCTATGCCTCTCATTTGGCCAAGGTGTGGTTTTGTAAATTCCATGCAGCAAATACACCACGAATATAGAGTGTTCGAATAAGTTAAGTCTCCAAAATGTCCAAAAACTGTCATTTTCAATGTCTTCCAACACATAACAACCACTTGTCGTTACATCTAAACGTTTAATTGGTTTCTAAAGAACAAATAACGAAAAATGAACCAGAAAATATGACAACCAACCAACGCCAATGTAAAGAGATACTATGCAACTACCAATGGACGTGTTAAAAACAAAGAAAAACAATCAAGATGTGTGTACTGCATAAACCTTTTAGAGTTTTATTAAACAGATGAAGAAAAATTGTGTCAAATGGATTTTTTTTTGCTACACCATTGTCTACAAATCATTTATGGCATTGAATTCACACATTCACACAATGAAACATCAGCTACCAAATCAAATGATTAAAAAAAACGGAAAAAATGTTTTCTCTTTGTAAGAGATTCCATATTCCTTGGGCTAACAAAATTTCCAATTCAATATTTTCGTACGATTTTTACCGCCTTCACAAATAATTTTACTCAAGTCGTGAGCGATACGAAAACACTCGTTTAATCAGTACACACGTTTTGTATCACTTTCTTTCGTTCCAATTTAAAACAGAAAATTATCAAAAAAATTGCCAACGGTATGTCAATATTGCATGAGAAAATCAACTGAACCAACGAAACTATTTTAAAAATTACTGGCGTAATGTACGCATATAATGCGATAGCATGACATAGATTCTGAACGGTATTTAAATCGCAATGGTGTTGGTGTCGAAATGCGAGAGAGAGAGAGTGAGAGCATCTGTTGTAATTATTTTGTTTTCATTTCGTCTGTATGATTGATGGCGGCTGTGTAATCATATAGAAAATGCTGCGATCTACACTAAATACTATAAATACCAATTTCAATTGTAAATTGTGATAAGCAGCATTTTTTGTCAAAGTGTATGCTTTATTTATTGTTTGGCATGCTACTGCCTTATCATTAGATTTATTGACATTGCTTTCCACACACACACAAACACAAATTGCCGCCAGTTTAGAAATGAAAACTACCAGTTGCAATACCTGCATCTATATATATAGAAATAAAGTGGCGTGAATGATGGATATTTATTTAAAACATGATGTATGCCATTTTCGAAGGCAATGAATGTTCTATTGTAAGTTTTATATTTTGCGATTGCAATGGGAATGAAATTAATGACAAAATTGTTTGTATTGTACTACATTCACACGCATTAAATCGACATTGTTGAACTTGAACTGAACAGAAAACGTTTTTTTTTTTTAAACACAGATACGAAACGATCATAAACATTCTTAGTACACGTCCATCCAATTGCTATGCAAAAAAGTTTCAGCGGATTCAGTACAAATATGCGCTATACGAATGAACTCATTTTACATTTAACTTTTTCAAGAATACTTCGTTCAAATTGGTAATTTTCTTTAATAGACTTTGAAGCAAGAATCAAAGCCAAAGGCAATGCCTTTTTTTCTCCAAAGAATTAAACGAATCACATAGCAAATATGATTTGGAGTCGCTACTACTGTCGATGCTGCCACCGCCGCCGCCGCGTCCACCTACTTATTTCATTCATATTTGGTGATGTCAATTTTGTCATCCATCGAGACCGAAATTGTGTTGATCTGGTTCAATTTGATTACGTGTAGGCATTTTAGCGACCACATGCACGTTACCACTCCATATCGATTTGTTCGGACATCATAAATGAGAAATTGACTTAACTAATGTGACAATTTGAATTACAGTTAACTTACAAAGTATTGATGTTTGATTATGAGACTTGCTCGCATCAGTGTGTGAATGAATTTGTACCATTTACACTGCGATACCATTAAAAATGACATTTTCATTCAGAAAAGTATCCAGAGTGAGTATTTTTAATAGAGTATTCTCTATAATTCTTCTTTTTTGCAACACAGACATATCATTTACACTTAGTTTTACACAGTGAACGTGTCTGTGAATGTGTTGTACCAGTTTTGAACATTCAAAAAACTTAGATGGAAATAACACGATATATTATGTCATATTATGTTGATCATAAGGTAACTTATGAATGAATGAGTGAGCGTGTGATGATAAAACCAAAATTGTTGGCATTTCTGAAAGTGATGATTTTTTTTCGCTTTCGTCTTCACATATGCACAGTTCTTCAGATCTATCCATATCTATATTAACTTTTTGCTTGATGTATATCAAGCTTTAAAATCGTTTTCGGTTTGTTTGTGGCATAAATCAAGTTGTTTGTGGCATAACTCAAGCACTTGAAGCCAATTTTTTCGGATTTCTGAGTCCAATCCACAGATATGATATTTTTCTTTTTGGAAAATATGTCCAGAAAAATTATTTTCCATCGAAATGACGTTTGAACTTGATTTGTATGTTGTAACTCGAGTTCAAATTCTACGATATTGATTAAAATTGTTCAGTTTAGATGCCCTTTCGAAAAAAACATTGCCAACCTTGAGTAAGTGGTTCTAGTACAACAAACTACCGAATTTCTATGTATTTTCATGAATTTTTTGACGAAAGTCGATATCGCTCGAATTCAAATCATATAATTTTGATTAAATTGGTTAATTTTTCTGCGGACCCCTGGGGGGTTTAAAACATTCGCTTATGCATCGATACATCAAGCATTACTTCCAAGGCAGTGTACTTTTCTATAATTTCAATATTGATTGCGTGACAAATTTGAAAATTGGATTTTTTTCCATTGCTGTTATTTCAGTTGCAAAAAAAGTGTGTAACTTCTTTTCACCCATCAAATATGCATTACAAATACATTTAACAACGTATTTTAGTGCGCACAAACTTAATTGAAATAATGAATAAAAAAACGACGATAATGAAATTTCCATTGAAATGCGAAGTAAAATAATAGAAAAATCAATCTCGTTTTTTTCTTCTAAGTTTGAATGTGTTGTTTTTTTTTTTTTAATCAAAATGTTGGAAATGAGTGACAGCTGCTGTCATCTAAATTACATTGATGTTTAAATTATATATTTTCAATATTGTTTTAGATATTTGAAATCAAAACTCAAACTGAAGTGTAGTACGTGTAAACAAGGTAAATCTCATGGTTCTTGCACACAATCGGTGCACATGCACGCGCCAAATAGACAAATGCAATATGCCAACAGTGATGATTTAGTGTGAAGCTTTCTTTTTTTTTATCACTTATTAAATGACTTATAAATGCGTCTTTGTCCGTTTTGAGCATGCGAATATGACGAAACTGTAATAGATATCCATCAATTTATAAAGCGAAATTGAAATATTTGTTCATCATAAAATGCAATAAGTTTTTTTTTTATGGATTTCACGTAATATATTTATTATGATGTAGAAGCTTTTGGTCGACAAACGTGTCATACTCAATGCAAGAGCACACCAAATTTGAAACAGTCGATTTTGGTTTACAAACATTATCACGTAATATGTAGTTTGACCAAAATCGAATAAGTTACATACCATTTTGATTTACTTAAATCAATGTGAATGTGTACGTGTGAGAGAGAGAGAGAGAGAGAGAGAGAGATAGATAGATGTGAAGAGAAACAGTTTTTTTTGAAGAAAAAATGAAGCTACGACTTAATCAAAATCGTTGGTGCGTGAATCTCGATAAAACACCTGTGTAACGGCAATTTATTAGTGTGTTATTTGCACACTCATATGCAAAACGTTTTTTTGTTTATTCATTTCGATTTCATTTTAGTTTTTATTGAAGAAAAAAAGGCAGTAACTATTGTTTCATCGTAAATATCAATCACCGTGTGCAGCTATTCTTTTTCTTTCGTTTTTCTTTGAAACAATTGATTAGTGTGTGTTTTTTATTTCATTTTTTCTTGGCATAGACAAAACGAACCAAGAGTAAATTGTGTTGTAGATATAGTGGATTATATTTTGTGTCAAATATGCTGACAATGAGACGTTGCTAGCATAAACAATGGATATACGTGATTTAAAGGATGCTAAGATAACCCATACGGGTTTATTGCAGCACAATGCAGACGGTACAACGGATCTGCAAAAGATCACTCATGCGGGCCTGGTCGCACGTAGCCCCGAAGGAACAGCTGCCAAAGGCATGAACATTCGCGGCAATGAAGATCTATGGGTCGAAATTCAAGCAAATACATTCCGAAATTGGGTCAATGAACATTTAAAAGATTCAGATATGCAGGTGTGTTTGGCATTCGTTATCTTAATTACTTTGAACATAAAAAAATTCAATTCTAATTTATGTTTATAATTATGATTTGAGCACAGGTTTCCGATTGGACCACTGATTTTTGTGACGGTACACATTTGTGTACGCTAGTTGAGAATCTTCAAAAACGTCCACTGAAAGGATGGAATCGTCGACCTGCCAATCAACATCACTATCTGGAAAATGCATCGGTTGCACTCAAAGCAATTGAAGAGGATGGCATTAAACTTGTTAACATCGGTAAGGATACAAACGTTGTTACAAAAAAGATAGAAAAAATGATTTAAATATAATTGAATTTGCAGGTAATGTCGATATAGTCAATGGTAATGTAAAATTGATATTGGGCTTGATTTGGTCGTTGATTGTTCGTTATCAAATTGGACGTAGTAAATTTCCACCACGTAAGCTTATGCTGGCTTGGTTGCAAGCCGCATTGCCAAAATGTAAGATTAACAATCTTACAACGGATTGGAATAGTGGTATTAATTTATCTGCATTGCTCGAATATTGTCAACCGGGTTTGTTTCCGCACTGGAATACATTGGATCCAAATCAAAGTGTACGTAATTGTACAAATGCCATGAACATTGCACAACGTGAATTTGGCATTCCAAAAGTTCTTGAACCGGAGTATTTAGCATCACCATGGCTCGATGAACTTTCGGGTATGACGTATTTGTCGTATTTTATGAAACCTGGCGGACCAGGTAAGCAATTTTTTTCATATTATGCATTTATTACTACAAATTATTTGGATAAATTTTCTTATATTCTTAATTTTTTTTATTTAAACATTAGGCTACAATGCTACTATGAATTGGGCGAATAGCCAGTTAAAACATGAGGTCAACAATTTTACGGTAAGTCTATTTGTGTGTTTCTCATCATAATAAATTACAAAAGTAACAGTTCATTTTTATATGAAATTATTTCGCAGACTGATTGGAATGATGGACGCGCATTTTGTGAAATAATCAAAGGGCTAGGTGGTTCAGTGCCAGCACCAGATTCATTGAATGCACATCATTCATATTGGGAAAATAATATAAAAAAAGCGGTTGACGCTGGAAAACGTTTGGGTGTACAACCAGTATTATCGCCAAAAGACATGACCAATCCAGATGTCGAACACTTGGGCATTATGGCCTATACAGCCAATTTGCAATGGGTCACCCCGAGACCGGCACTATCCGACTCAATTGCCGTTCATTTAGAAAGTACATCGGGACGAGTTGGCGAGCCGGTAAGTTATAGGAAATTCATTGATTACAGCGCATTTTTTGATCTAAAAAAAAACCTAACGACATTTTTCACAATAGACATACTTCCGAGTTGAAGTTCTGAATCATGAAATTGATATGTCTTCTGTTCGAGCATACGTAATTCCACCGACTGGAATTCAACAATCTGTTAAATTAAATCCCAATGGTCAAGGACAATTTGTGCCAGACAAATACGGAATGCATGAAATCCAAATTGAAGTCAACGAAGACAAGTAGTTTACCAAATTGATCGGTGCGAAAACCAAAATTCATAATATTTTATTCATATTTTTTTTTTAGATTGGGTGGCCATTTCTTCCGCGTATTACCTCGATTCATTCAAGTTGCACCGCCAGGTACGTGGACTTGAACAGAGAGTTTTATTCCAGGGAAGACTAATTCAGAGTTTTTTTTCAGGAATGTCACCATGCGCAATCGGAAGCTTGGTTGAAGTGTTGGTTAATGCAACTGGTGCTCCAAAATCTGAAGATATTTTAGTGACAGCTTACAGCCCAAGTGGCCGTTCATTAAAATGTCCATTGAAAAAATTGAGCGAAGGTCATAGTGCCATATTCAAGCCAGACGAAGCTGGCATTTGGGAAATAGCCATCACCTATCAAGGTAGACACATTCAGGGTGGACCATTTACATGTGCCGTATTCGATCCGAACGGTGTATCTGTTCATGGTCTTGACGGTGCCATGCCGATGCGTGCACATTCATTTGAAATTGATGCCCGTGGTGTTGGTGTTAGTGGTGAATTGCATGTGGATATTGTGCATGAGAAACATTCACTAGTCTGTTCCGTTGAAAAATTAGTTGAAAATAAATATCGTGTTACATTTATGCCACGTCAAAATGGAAAATATCGCGTTTATATTTATTTCAATGGATACGATGTTAAAGGATCACCATATATTATGCGTGTAGGCACAAAGGGACGATCGGGTAAAACTAGATCCCATGAAAATCGATATCGCTCTGAAAGTCCATCGATGCATTACACAACAACAACAACACCAGTTAAACACAACGATTTCCGTAGTGCCAAAAAAGATTTATACGATCATGAAATCAGTCGATCGTTTTCACCGCAATACAATAATTCACATGATGACATCTATAAAACATCCAGTTATTATTCATCATCAAAACGTGAAGAGCAAGTGTATTCACCTCGATTACAATCGCCGCGTCGTGAAGAGCTCAGTTCAAAATACGGCACCGAAACATATTCGACTAGTCTGAATTCGGAGGTACGAAAAACCAGCAACGATTACTATTATAACAAAGAGAATGAATTCCATTCGAAAAAGAATGAAACCGATACAACACTTTTACCGCCACGAAGTGAAAAGTATACGTCAAATTATGTTTCAAAAAACTACAGCGATAACTTGAATTCACGCAATAAGAATGTATTCAATCCGATTTCCAGTCCGATTCATGTGAGTTGCATTTTCGAATTTTTTTCCCCTCTCAATTTGTAAATAATCCAAATTATATATCAAATAGATGCAAGCAACGAGTCCAATTCCAAGGAATAGCCCGTTAACAGTAACAACAACAACAAGCCGATATGAATCATCATCTCGAAATCATGTATCAAGTCCAAGAAATTATTCAATGTCACCAACATCACAAGTTGAACGAGTGTCACCGGTTAATTATGTGCCAGCATCAATGCAACGTGTTGCAAGTCCAATAAATATGCAACGTGTCACAAGCCCAATTACAACGATAACACATCGAGTAACCACACCATTAACAAGCCCATTGACAGTAAAAGTATGATTTTTATTGCCAAAGAAAATGTTTGCGATGCAATTAATTTTTCAAATAAAATGATTTGATGACTTTCAGACTGGAGCCGGCGAATCATACAAAATGACCGAAAAAATATCTTCATATAAAACATCCTCAAATTATACATCATCTGATGATACCCGAAGGAGCCCATCATATCCAGTTGCAAAGCACATTTCTAGTCCTGGTAAAAAAGGAGAAACAATACTCGTTTAAAAAATTCAAGGATTTGACGATCCAATGATATTATTATTATTATTTATAGATCCGGTTGATAATTCGTCCAATGTGCGCGTATCCGGTTTAAAGAATAACAATTCATCACGACGTGATAGTTGGGATGTTATAAATAAAACGAAAAATATTCTTTCACATAATTCGCTCGAGTCATTGGCGAACATGACCGAAAGTCAATTGAATACAGATTTATCGTATAGCCGTCCACGAGGTTTGGACAGTGAAACCGAATACAATACACGATATAATAAATTTGAATTGGTCGAAAAACGATCAACAGAACGTCGAGGTTCTGATGATAATTCAGAGCGTTACAAAATTTACTCGTAAGCATTTAACAAATGTTGCATTCTTTTTTCTCGCAGATTTTAACTAAATTTTATTTTCAATTTGGGGTGAATGGAATAACATTTTAGGCCAACCACATCACTTTCTTCGAAACAAGATTCAACCACGCACAAACAATATACAACGCTAAAAGAGCGACAAGAATATTCAACGAAAACTGACAGCGATTATGGTTATGGATCGACATCACGCTTTCGACCAATCGATAAAGATGTTTCTGGTGCTAGGGCCATTCAAGTTCAAGACATTCCAAACGGTGCTGTTGGACGACCCGTAGAGTTCGAAAGTAAGCAATAAGACTTTTCACACATTTGCTAGAGAAATCGTCATGAGCTTCCTCGTTCTAAATACTATTTTTTAAATAGTCGATTAGAAAATAAAAATCGTTTTGATATGGATGGGAAATCCAAAATTCTGATGTATACATGACAGTCTCTACTGTTAATCGCTCACCGTGTAGATGCACTTAATAAATATACATATTTTTTTTCTTAGTCGACGGATCACATGCTGGATCTGGAAATCTGGAGATCTTGGTGAACGGTGGCCGTGTTACATCTTCAGTTCGTGCACTCGGTGCACAACGATTCGTTGCAAGTTTTACACCCCATGAACCAGGCACACATATTGTTCAGATTACATTCAATGGTGAAACCGTTCCCGGTAAGTTAGATTTTCAACGACTTTATGATAGATTAAAACAAAACACGTTCGACCACAACTTGTCTATTTTTACATTGTTCAAAATATAAAAAACAACAACAACGTCATTTTAAATCTTGATCGCCGGTAACTCATAAATGTGTGAATTGTCGAAAGAAATTGATACTAACTAAAAATTTACTAGATTTTCAACAATATTTTTAGTTCAATGCCAAATGATCGTAAAATAAATCAATTTCCTTGTTGCTATTTTCAACATTCATATATGCACACTTACGAAGAGTAATCGATACTTTTGTATGTCATATATCGACTTCGGAACGATTGACAAGTATAACAAAAACCCGGGGCTCTAACAAAATGAATTACTTATTTATAACCGTTTTTTGCATTGTGGCTGTATCTCAACATCGATCACATTAGAATTTATCTCAAACTATGTTGGGGTTTGAGAACTCAAATCATTGTGAGAATGACGGATTTTCTTTTAAAAAAAAACTCGCTGAGACAGCACGTAAACCGCAGATTAGTTGGTCGCTGCCCATTGCGTTGAGCGTTTACAGAGAAAAGTTGTTGTACTAACTTATTCACTGGAAAAAATGTCTAAAGTCACTTTTGATTTTAAATGGGCCGTTTATAGCCTCCGGTGTTCAATATAAAGTCAATTTGAATCGGTGTGATAAGACGGAATAGTCAACATCCATTAATAAATTAGTTTATGATGTGTTAATAAAAAAGTGATCAGTTGCATATAGAAAAATGCGAACACATAGCAATTGAATGATTGCAGGCTGTAAAATTGCATGCAATTATAGAGAGACTGAAAGAAAAGTGATCGTGACCTTAATTTCTTCTAGACTATCTTAAAAAGATCACGGCAAATTGAAATGGTTGTCAGTCTGTCTTTTTTATTTGTTACTGCGATGATACGATCGATGAACACACAAAGAGAAGCAAAGCGTTGTAGAGTGTTTGTTAAAAAAAAAATTATTCAGTGACATTTTTTGTGTGAAAGTTCGTTTAGTTTGTGACTTATTTGGGCGCTGTCCGCTGTAAATGCCATGCAGAAAATTCTTTGAATACCATTTGAAGCGAATTGTAAAACCGAACAACCGTGCGACAACGATGACGATTTCGAAGTACGCAACACCACACAGAGCGTCTGCAAATGAAGCGCACCGTGTGCGCTGCAGTTAAGAAAACGATCGTGTTATTCGATGCGGCCACATAACATAAACCGATTCGCACTGTGATATGTATGTATTGGTGGGAGAAGCATGCTTACCTGAGGTAAAAAAGACCATACACGTTTCGAAAAATGTGCGAGTATTCTTATGCTTGTATATTGTACCTGGTGTCTTTGTTTAACTTGTCTTGGGCATGGCACTCGTTGTCTCTGTCTATATCTTTCTCCTGTTGCTTGTGTGGATCGATGTATGTGATAAATTTCTTTCTCTTAAGGTGTACATTTTGTGATATTGTGCTCTAGCACTCATTCTTTTATGCTTTTATTTCTCCGTTTCCGATGGAAGCCGATTTTTGAGCCAATGTTGTTGTCGACGGCATTAGTCTTGTTTAGTTGATCATTAGCGCAAGGTGCGTTGTGAATATATCGTTGTTTCGGTGCTGTTCGCTCCATTATATACGCTGTATGTGTTATTCGTGTAAACTATAGCTTCTATCTTTTTTTTTTTCTTCATTTTTATCTATATTCTCATCAGCCAGAGATTTGTTTTCGTTTTTTCGGTGTGTAAAAAAATTATCAATTCATTTGATATTTGATGGTCTTTTTTCTGGTTTGTTTTGTGTGTCAATCAGTTTGAACGAGTGTGAAAATTGAAAAAAAAGAAAGAAACAACAACAAAAGAAGGAAACGAAAGCAATATCGAATGATATGGTCGATAAAGTGAAATGCTAAATTCAGCCATTTTTTCAACCGTATAAAATATATATATTTGATTTCAATGGATTTGGTGAATAAATTAAGTAAAAAAACAACCAAAGAAAATACCAGCGAAAAAGGTTTCTTTACAAATATGTAATATGGAGTGCTTGATAGATGACGTGACATATAATTAGAATTTTTGAAGCGTTTCTTTTTTTTTTTTGCCGACAGTCAATCAAATTTTTGCTCACTCATATGTGTGCTGAGTCGTCGTTAAATTGAAATATAAACTTTGTTGGTTCTAACATAAAATGTAAACTTTAGCTTGTTTTAGCTGTAGCATGTAGTGTGCAAATGGTGCATTGCAAATCGTGTGTTTCCTATTATGAACGGAATATACGAAACAAGCCAAACAAAACAACAACGAAATACAAAGAAAAATCAGTGCAAAGTTAAGTTAGTGATGAGAATAAATGAACCAAAAGAGAATAAGAGTTAGATGTCTACTTGAAATAATCAGCGATAAACTGAACTACAAGTCCGTATATTAAGACTTCAACTAGTACAGAACGAATACATCAATCTATTCAATATAGTATAAATATAATATCAGTATGTATATATATCCGCATTGCATTCCATATTTGAATCAATCACCACAAAGGCGAAATGGAGAAATCATGTTTTGTTGGCGACAATTTCTTATGATATTGACAGACTACTTTTACTGTGTGTAGATCGTTTATCTAATGACTCGGTCGCGACTTGAGGCGGCCAATTACGAATAACCAATTGAACAAATACACAAAACAAGCACGCCAACATCAAAGGTGGAAATGACATTATTGAAAATAGACATCCATTTGATCCATAAATCATATTGTTTATGCACATTTCTCTCAACTCAATCAATGCCTATTGATTTTTGATAGTTTTGAATCTGTTTACATGCATGCATGCATACGCAACTTTATACGCGTTTTTTTGTTTTCTTTTATGTTGTGTTCATTTTAAAATGAAAGGCATACAAAGGCTGTTGCATTCGCTGAATTCATCGCGCTGTATTCGTGAAGCGAACGATTTTTTGTTGTAAGAGATATTAAATATTGAATTGAAGAAAAAAAACGGAACAATAGAGAACGTTGACATTGTATCGTATGGATTGATTCATCGAACAAGTGAAGATCCACAAGAACAGCAACAAAAACAGTAGTACCAGTCAAGTTGTACTCACCTATAAATGAGCATGAGTATCGCATAAATTATTTGCTTTTTTTGACGCGTATTCGTTTCATTTATTTTAAATTTTATTAGCTCAGTTTGTGTATTCGTTCGGTCGTTGGTTCGATTCTTTTGTTTTGTGTCACAAGATTTTCGTTTCGTGTGCTGTTGCCGTATATAGATTCTGTAGGCATATAACTTGCTATTTGGTCTAGAAGATAGAATAGATTAAGGTGGTTTTTTTGTATGCGGCATGTGTAACGTTGGCACAGTGCTACGTTTGGTGCTACCATCTTTCTTACGAAATCAAATATCCACCAAACACACATACATAGACACACGTCACACACACACACACACTCACACATGTATGTACATCGTATCGTATATCTACTTGCATACGCACTATCCACATTCTATTCGCGTCAAAAATCATACTTATAGTCTTATGACGATCATCATCATCAACGTGCTTAAACTACCAAGCATTGTTGATCGTATGAACTCACACACAGCACATAATAATAAATTAAGACGACGAACCTTTTTTTTTTCTTCAAACGTTGGGAAAAATGCGCTCGAATGAATAATAAAATAGAAGATAAAATATGAATCTGTTGCCTCAACAAAACAACAAAACTACTCGTGCTATGTCGTAAAGAAAAGTAGAAATGCATACAAAAGCCTAACATACAATCACTTAGTGGATTACGAAATACGATGAATTATAAATTCCCCTTTCAATGCCTTATCTTTTCACATCAAGTTCCTGAAGTTAATCATAAAAATAAAAAGTCTTACGGGAGTAAGACGAACTTTTCCGCACTGTGGTAGTTGCGTATTTTATTAAGAAAGTTCAAAATAATATTTGCTCGATTCTTCAAGTCTTTCAAGCGGCGTAAAGTTCGAGACCAAAAAATATGTTTCAACTTTGGCAACGAAATATTTTTTAATTTAATAGCAGAAGTACCCGAGAAAAGATTTTTCACACTTTCATGATGAACCCATTTGTACGACATTTGAAAGTATTCTATTTTCTAACAAAATACTATAAAAAATATGTCTGACGTTAATTTTGCCATAAAAATTATTTTTGAAACACTTTCCATAACTAAAGTCACAAAAAATTTGGATCTTTGTATGGGAGCCATGTCTGTATGCTATATTAATGGTGTGAAACTTTGCACAGGTTATTTTTTCACAAAAAAATAACATTCGTAGGGTTTGGAGAAATTTCAACCAAAATTAAGGGTACCTCCCATACAAAATATTCGTTTTTGAGCCAAAAATTTAAAATTTTGTATGGAAGGTACCCCTAACTTTGATCGAAATCTCTTCAAACTTTCAGAATGTTATTATTTTGTGTAAAAAATAGTCTGTGCAAAGTTTCACGTCATTAAAGTATCATACAGGCATGGCTCCCATACAAAAATTCAATTTTTTTGTGACTTTTACAAGGAAACTGTATTAAAAAATATGTCTGACGTTAATTTTGCCATAGAAATTATTTTTGAAACACTTTTCATAACTCACAAAAAAATAACATTCGGAAGGTTTGGAGAAATTTTAACCAAAATTAAGAGTACCTCCCATGCAAAATATTCGTTTTTGAGCCAAAAATTGAAAATTTTATATGGGAGGTACCCCTAATTTTGATTGAAATCTCTTCAAACTTTCAGAATGTTATTTTTTTGTGTAAAAAATAGACTGTGCAAAGTTTCACGTCATTAAGGTAGCATACAGGCATGGCTCCCATACAAAAATTCATTTTTTTTGTGATTTTTTCAAGGAAACTGTTTTAAAAATTGATTGTATCTCAAAACTAACGTCGGATTCGGTTTTCTCGTGCCAAAAAACCCCCCAATACATATTTTTGAATGTTTAAGTCCACATTAAGTATGACTTTTGGACGAAAATTGGACTCTTTTTCATAGGTATCACTCCAGGCATGACATTTTTTCCCATCAACCAAAGTCGCTCAAAAGCTAATGATTTCTATTCCTCGGGACCCCCAATCATCCTGTAAAGTCAGATTTTGAATTAAGTTTCTACGATGAGCGCAATCTTGCTAACAAATTTTGCGTACGACGTACAACGTACGACGTACGACGTACGACGTACGACGTACAGATTAACATAAACCATGCTCAAAACGGCCTGATTCGGGTTCGCTGACCTCAGAAACGTCCAGAAAACATGTTTCTGAAGTTTTCAAAATTTTGACCGATTACAATACTTTTCACCTTACACTATGTGTGCGGAAAAGTAAAAAATGGTTTTTATTTTTGTTGTTTCTTCGTTGTTTTTATTTCTTTCCGATGGAAATATGTATGCTCTTTTTCATTGATTCATCAACCTACTCTCAATGCTGTATTTAATATGTACACATTTTTTTATATTTTCGTTTGTTAGCTATGTAATTTGGCTCATACCATCTCAATATGTTCTACTAATCTATTAATTTTCAGGAAGAAATAGTACGAACATATTTTTGCTATAATTTTTTTTTACGTTTTGCATTTAACTTACGAAAAAAATGCATACACGTTAATGATGAAATCAAAAATGTTCTGCACACATATAAAGTGCGCCTGTGTACAATGTTATATATATGTTTTGGCATAGTTTTGTGAATGAAAAATTTCCATGCGATTTTAAATGTTTTACGAGAAGAGGAAAAAAATGTGAAGAAAAAAAAACAATCACTTCAGCTCATAAAAAAGCGGTAAAATTGTTTTTATTTTACCGTTTCATCCATTTTTATTTTCATTTCATGAGTATAGTTTTGTGGGCGGTTGATTCAGCAATATGCATCCTCTTAATCGCTCTGTTTTTTTTTATTAAATTAAAATTGAGGCGCCTTTCGAAACTCTCTTTATCAACATTTTTGCCATATTCATATAATATATTAAAAGAAAAAGTCCAAACATCAGCAATACCAAAAAAGGTCTATCGAGAGAAAATAACACAGAATCATTTGACATGATGTCGAAGTCATTTCAAACAGAGACTATACTGAAGACTCGAATTATGTGTATAATTTGAACTATTTTCCACAGTTTACATTGTTGTTTCGGTTGCCATTTATTGTCATTACGGAAATTAAATGCAATCCAAACAATGTCTCATTTATTTATTTATTTATCTTAACGAAAAAGAAACAAATAATATCACTGCGAATGACAAAGACAACAACAAATCGACAAACGAACGAAATGAATCATAATGATGCGTGGTATTCGATCTGTTTGATTTGTATCTTCTATCTTAACTTCAGCTTAACGATGACAGACTTCATCACAGTACTAGTATATAGTATATGATGATAATCAAAATCACGTTTCGATTTCCGACTGCACCGTTTACGTAAAAATGGGGGGAAAAGATGGTAAAGAGAAAAAAAAGCATGTCGATCTTAGAGCAAACAACTGAAGGAAAAAAAAACCACATTCTTGTGACTGTTTCTGGAAAGTAAAACGAAACAATGAGGAGCAAAACATACCAATAAAATGAAAATGCATCAGAGAGAAAAACAAAAACAAAACGAACATAAAAAAAAACGCGGTGAATAAATGAGTGAATGCAAAACCAGAAATTCTCGTTTCACTTCGATATAATTTTCTTTCGTTTGAATTCGATATACGTGTGCAGCATTATTTCTGTATGAGATGCACATACGATTCTCTTACGTGCAAATGCATCCGTCTCTATGTATATATGCTTGTGTGCCATGTTTAATGCTAATCTATGAGCATGATAAAAGCACATAATCGTATTACATTACAGCCGTATATTGGTGTGTACTCCATCAAATATAGATATGTTTTCTATAATTTTTGTGCGCTCATAATCACATTTTGTCTTTGAATTTCGATTATGCGTGTTTGGTTTTTTTTTCTCTTCCTTTCACATTGTTGTGTATTACATTCTATATCAGACCCAATTTCAATTAACCAAAAAAAAAACAATTGTTGTTTTTTATTTATTTTCGTTCATTTATTTTTGTCAGTCGACCTTCACCTGTTGCACATATTTGCACATTCCATTGGTTATTTTCTAAATTTTAAAATGTGCGTTTGAATTTGGTGAAAAAAGCATGCAATTCGTATTTTTTGGACGAACATGTACACACCCATTATTATAAATGCATGAGCGATTAGAAATGCGTTGATTTACCATGATCTATCGAAAAATGTGTAGAATGGCAATTGTTAAACTGAACTATGCAAACAAAAGAGATGCATCCATAAGTGTAGTGAGAGATGTACATGGAATGTGCGTATATATTATATCGCATAAAAAGTAGATGAATAGCATCACGTTTTTTTTTGTGTTATTGTTGTTGTTACATTTAAGATGCACACCTCAGAAATCAATAATTTGATGCAGAAGATGAAACACAAAGAATGGTTGAAACGATGCATCACAATGACTGATGAGCAATGAACATTTCTATTGAAGTAAGCGCATGTTTTCGTTATTATTATCATTTTTATTCTCCTCTGCTGTTGTGTGTGCTGCAATGCCTTTTTATCGTTTGTAACGCTTTCATGCAAACGCCACTATGCTATTAACGAGAACTCATCTGTAAAAATCGATGTTTCTCTCTTCACTTAAGTGTATGAGTATGGTTTGTGCTCGTTTTCGCCTAGTGCCACACCAGAGTCAACGTCTCTTTTGGCATTGCACACACGAAGAAAGTCGATAACAAAAACAAACGCAGGAATAAGAACAGCCAACTAAGAAACATCAAACCAAAATGTATACTCCACTACCACACAACAATGCCTGTCTATCGCGCGCGCATTGCAGAACGTATCGAATGTATATACATACCAAAACTAACGAAATAGATAACGAAAATTTGAGAAAGTGTACACACAACTGCTTGGCTCACACATGCAATACACTTTTCGCTGGATGCACACGATGGATAATTCTCTTTTCAATTATGGCTGCCTGGCAAATTATCATATTTCGAAAGGAGAAGAGAGGCGAGAAAAAAAAACCCAACCAGCATACAACATTCGATGCATGCATAAACACACACACATTCTCATAGAATTCATTGCAGAAAAAAAAAAAACAATAATAATTCATAAACCGTTTAGTTTCGAACCGCACACGAAATCTTCGATTTTCGAGAGAAACCAAACATCATCGATGATTAAAAAAATGTACAGATATAAAATGCGCACACATTATCACAGCATGCAATGCAAAAACAATGAAGAGAAAAAAACGGTCCGAGGAAAATCATCAGCAAAAGTGATTATAAAGACAAACGAAACAAAAAATGAACAACAACAAAAAAACGATCAAGAAGTATACTAAATGCCAGAAATGCATAGTCCATGATTTTCGAAAATGAGAAAGTGAATGTGATCTGTTGCATATCTGCAGCACAACTGCAACTGGTATGCACAACACATATACATCGAATTATCACTAATATCACCAATTTCATTTTCTTTCAAAAAAAACGTTGTTGTTGTTGTTTTTTGCCTCTTTTCACCGAAAGAACTCTTTCCTTATTTCAAATCGTTAGATAGTTGTGGCTACGTTGAACATATTAGATCGTGTGGTTGGTTGGACCGCAAACATTATTGTTGTTATTAAAGTGAAATTGTCTGGCTGAAAGAAAAAAAGAAAACAAGAAAATAGTCATAGAATGTTTCAATGCCAGATCCAAATGTATCCAACAACATAACAGTAGAATGAGTAACATTTGTTGTGGTTGTTGTTCTTTTTTAATAGGATCACCGTGGATGTCAGATATAATGTCATCGCCAGGTTTTACACCGTTAGGTGAATCAAGTCGTCTTGTCCCAGCCAAATCGCCGGCGGTTTTTGAGATACTGCCGCCTCCTGGATCCACTCTCAACCGAGATGATTGTGTAGCATCGGTTTTGTCACCAAGCAAAAATAAAGTCAATGCGAAGATCATCCATGAGGCGGCGGGATCGAATGGTGCCATGCGCATCGAATTCGTACCACAAGAAGTTGGAACACATGTGAGTTATTTTTTTGTTTTTGCAAAAAATCAATCAAAATAACCTCTGTATGCACTTTATAATCGAATGGTGCTAGGTTATTGAAGCGTCAATAGGTGGTACAAAATTAGCTGGAGGACCACTTATAGCAAAGGTATACGATTCAAGTTTAATTCAAGTAACAGACGTAAATGGAGGAGTTGTAGGTCAACCATGTCAGTTTCGAGGTGAGCTTTACATGTTTTTTTTTTAATTTGAATCAATTCCGAAAGTTCAATGGTTTTTTCTTTCGGGATGAATTTTTGTAGTTGACGCAAGTCAAGCCGGAGAAGGGCAATTAGAAATTTCAATAAACGAAGGTGAGGTGCCGAACCATGTACAAGTTGTTGGCGGCGGTCGTTGTTTGGTTTCGTTTACACCAGAAATTGCAAAACCACATTACATCGACATCAAATTTAATAGTGAAACAGTTGAGGGATGCCCATTTGTTTGCTCAATAGCCGACACAAGTCGAGTATCATTAAATTTAGCTAATTTAGGTAAGATCAAGTTCTTTTTTTTCTGTCTCTCTCTCTCTCTGTTTATGGATTATGGACTCAGCCGGTGTATATTTGTATGAGATTGGAGACTTTTTTTTGCGAATCTCGCTAATGAGCGCCATCTGATTTTAGTGTGAATTAGATGCAAAAACTGAATTTAATTCTGTAGCATTGAAATGAAAAAGTGAAAAAACAACAACAATAGCACGGCCACACAGAGCTGTACATCTATGCGTGCTGATGCATACATACACATATACGCTTTCTTCATTCTTTCATTCCATTGCTATACGTATCTCACTGGTCAACAGATCTATGTAGCCATGTTACTGTTGTTGTTTTTTTTCTCTTTTTCGATTCAATTCATTGTAACTAAATTGAGTTCAACTATGGAATACAAGATGGCACAGATGAGGGGAATTCGCATTTTGTCTCTTCATAGGCTTAGCCGGTTGTATGGACTCGTTATAAAGCTCGTTAATGTATTCGAGTTGAATAATTCAACACGACACACTACGATGATGTTTATAGCAATGAGCTATAAAGTGTTTTGTTTGTTAAAAATATATAGAGAGCAACGCAGTTTTGGAACAAGTGATTTAGTATGCGATCCAATTTGGTTCTCTGTGTTTCTTTTTTTAATGGTTTAGATTTAATTCCTGTAAAAAAGCCAGCAACATTTCATATTAGCGTAAGCGGAGGTGGTGCAGCTGAGTTAGCAGTCAGCGTGAGAGGTCCACATGGCGAATTGCCTGTACGAATTAAAGGCGATGTTCAAAGTGGTTTTAATGCTGAATTTACGCCAACCACAGTAGGAGCGCATACAATTAATGTTGAATATAACGGTTATGCTGTACAAGTAAGTGGATAGAAAAAAAAATAGAGAATATTCTACACTCTCATTCATAAAATGCCAAAAGACACACATACATTGGTTCGAAGTGCAGCATGACATCATTTGTTATGAACTGCGCTTTTAAAATGAATCAGCGAACGAAGAAGAAAATGAAAGAACAAAAAAAAAACCATGAATGCGAACTGTGTGGGCATTAGTGAAATGACAAATCGATTAACTTTGTGGCATATTTGTTTCAGGGAACGCCTTTTATTGCAAAATCATACGATTCAACGAAAGTAGTTGTCGGTTCGGTGAGCAAAGGTACGGTTGGCAGAACTGTTCAATTCACCGTCGATGCTGGTGATGCTGGCGAAGGAAACTTAGAAATTACAATATCAGCGAAAGGACACAATATTCCGACCCAAGTACAACCGCTTGGCAATGCCAAATTTTCAGTTTCTTTTGTGCCGGCCGAAGCGTGTGAACATATAATAAGCGTGTCATTTAATAAAGTATCGGTGCCGAACTGTCCAATAACTGTGCCAATAAGCGGTTCATCGATTGGTCCTCAAGTCTCATTGAGTGGACCAGGACCCGTTCACCTACCAAATTCGCTAAATATTAATCATGCCGATGGCCGTTTAGAAGATATCGAAGTCAATGTTGAAGGTAACAAATTATATTCGCCAATTATTTAGATTTAAGTAGATCATAAGATGTGTACATAAACAATTTCAATATCATTCAAACAATAATTAGTTGGACATTTTATTTGGTATTGTATGTGGCCAAAATATGAAAAACAAATCGTGTTCAAACTATTATATCAATCTCTGATATTTAAAAAAAAACAACAACAATATTTTCACTTATTTCATATTGCACGTTTTTTTTGCATTTTAATCGACTCTATCCTATCTGTATATATTTAATTTTTTTTAAAATCAAGTACTTTTTTTGTTTGTTTGTTGTGTACTCTCATTTATTTGAATCTCTTTTTTTATCTTTCTCTCTTTGAGTGGCGTGCGTGTATAAAACAAAAATTTATGCGTAGCAAGTAAAACTGTAAATAGAAATCAAATCTGTAAATATTATTCTGTACATATTTTATTATGGCATGATTTTTTTTATACCGTTATTTAACTTAATCAAGCAAACAATTCAAAATGCATTTACAGTTGAAACAGCTGTTGTCGGTTTTGTGAATGTTGATTTCAGATATACGTACCGATTTTGATCGTGTTAAAAAAAATCGGCGATTTTCCTTTCTTCGCATTGCTGAATCGAAAAAAAAAAACGCAATTGTTTTTAACGTGTATGGATGTTTCGAAATTCCAAGCAAGAATTATTTTTACATCACATTGAAACTATACAATAGTGTTTTTTTGTCTAATTTGAAACAAAATCGATCAATTTTTTTAAAAAATCTTACAACTAAATGCATTCACTCCTCTTTGTATCCATTCCAGGGCGACGAAGACTTTTGTACTAAGACAATGTGGACAATTTAGTTGCTATTTATCTAAAAACAAAAACAATTAATGTTGTTGATTAATTTTTCTTTCCAAATTCTATTCTGAATAACAACAATTAAAACCAATTTTGTTTCTCGATTAATCTAAATGGGATTCTCGGCCGTTGTTTGTATCATAATACAACATTATCTAACATCAAATTTTACATCGAAAATACGGTTCAGAGACATTCAGATAACAAATTTTGTTTTTGCGAGAAAAGTTGTTTTTTTTTCTTCTTCTACTAACGATTGTTCGTTTAGTTTCGCATAAAACTATTTTATACTTTTTATTCAAAACAAAATTGATTACGCTAATCTTGTTTTCGATACGTTTTGTTTGTAGATCTTATGTGATGACAAGAGTTCTACATACACTAGTAAACAAACGAGTTCAATGCATAAATGCAATATGCTTTTTTTTTTTAAATTTTAAATTAGAAACGATTAGACATTTGTTTCTTAATCAATATCTTAACGAAGCCATAATAAACGCTACAACAAGAGAAAACAAAAACTAACCATATTCATAGATATTATTTGCATATATGGTGTTGGTAACTAATTAATAATTGGCATTTTTTTTCTGTTGAGCTTTTTTCTGTTCGTTTAATGTATTAATAGTTTAAAAAAAGAGTAGTTTAATTTAACTCGAGTCATTTGAACGCTGACCGAACATTAATATTGACTTAAAAAAAAAGAAAATACTAAAGAAAAAAAAGTTAAACAAAACTCTCCTTTGACTTCTTCCACATCGTTTCGGCCCAATTCAATTCAATAAAACGTGATTTTATACGTCACGTAAAACGCATACAGGTCCATCAGGACAATCGATACCAGCGCAAGTATCGCAAACAGCTGATGGTGTTTTCAAAGCCGATTTCGTTCCACGTTCAGTTGGTGAACATAAAATCAGTGTAACGATTAACGGCCGTCCAACCATTGGAAGTCCATATTCGGCAAAGGTAATGAATAAAAAAAAATTATAAAAAAACTAAACATTTCAACTAACTGCAATCGAAAAAATTCGTTTTTTTTTTGCTTTCAAAATTAGGTATACGACGTGAGTGCAATCAAAGTGAAAAACGTTACAAACGGTTCGGTGGGCAAGCCGATTATTTTTTTGGTCGAAACATCACAAGCGGGTCCCGGTAATCTTGAAGTGACTGTTAATGGTGGTCGTGTTCCAACATCGGCTCAAGCTCAAAATCAACATACATACGCTATAAGCTTTACGCCACGCGAACCACAAAATCATACGGTTGATTTACGTTTTAACGGACAAGACGTGCCTGGCAGCCCATTTATATGCAAAGTTTCAGCCGGCGCAAAAATCATTTCGCCCGAAACGTTTGATAAAATTAGCGTTGGTCAAACATTTGAATTTATCGTTGAATCGGATACAATGCCACACATTGATGTTGTTGGACCGACATTAAAATCGATTCCATCACAAATTGAAGCGGTCGATAATGGTTTTAAAATTCAATTTGAACCAAAAGAAGTTGGCGATCATACGGTTGATGTACGCGTGGCCGAAAATAGCAATCACATCGATGGTAGTCCATTCATTTTAAAAGCATATTCGGCTGAAAAAGTCATTGTAACGGACATAAAACCCGGTGTTGTTGGAAAGAGTGTAAGTTTTGGCATCAATGCAAGTCAAGCAGGAGCTGGCAATTTAGAGATTATCGTTGCGGTAAATGGAAAAAATGTGCCGAACTTTGTTCAATCGGAAGGAAATGCACGTTTCAAAGTTAATTTTCGACCAACCGAAGCGGCAACACATTCGCTATCGGTGAAATTTAATGGTCTACCCGTTCCAGGATCACCGTTTTCGTGTAGCATTGCACCAGCGCCAACATCACAATTGAAAACAACCGTTACCGGTGATGGTATCAAACAAGCGTCCATCAAAACAGACAATACATTCGAAATTGAGGGAATTGACGGTGTTGAGCCAACCGTTGCGATTTCATCACCAACCGGTGATAATGTTCCCTGCAAAGTAGTTCGTCAAAGTGACAAATTTATTGTAAAATATCAACCAAATGTGGTCGGTCGTCATTTGATTTCGGTAACAATAAATGAACAACACATTGGCGGTTCACCGTTTTCATGCAATGTATTCGATGTAACACGAGTTACAATAACTGGTTTAGAGCAACACAATGGTCCAACGTCGTTAGGTGTGCCGGTTACATTTTCGGTTGATGCAGCCGGTGCCGGTGAAGGAACACTCGAATTGATCGTATCAACTGCAACGAGCACGGTAAAAGCTGAAGTGGTTGCTGTTGCACGTGGATTATACGATGTCACATTCATACCGCACACATGCGAACCACATTTTGTTAATATAACATTCAATGATGTTGCCGTTGAAGGTAATCCATTTCGTGTTGATGTACATCAAAATACACTTTATTTACAAGTTGGTAGCATTGCTGCCGTGGACAATATCAGCGACGATCAAATTATTGAAATTGTTGGCCCAACTGGAAAATCCGTGCCATACAATGTCACCAAAAATGTTGCCGAATTCAAAACAAATGCCATTGGCACATATGTCATTCAATTCTTTGACATTGAAACTCGTACATTGATTACAACCAAAACATTACACATTTTCGATCCGGCTCTCATTAAAATTACCGAAGTTGGTGAAGCAGTTTGCAATCGGCCATCGGTTATTGCACTATCGATTTATGATGCTGGCAAAGGTAGCTTAAGCGCATTAGTTCGTTGCGGAAATACCGAAGTACCGCACTCGATTCGTGGCCCATCGAAAAGTGGCTCATATGAAATTGTTTATCAACCAACTCGTGTTGCACCGCATAAAATAAATATATTCTACAATGGTGTGCCGGTGTCGAGCAAAGCAATTGAAATAAATGTATTGCCACCAACACAAAAAGCAATCAATGTCAGCGGTCTGGGATTGTATCAGAGCCGAGTGGGAAAAACGACATCATTTTCAATCGATACAAATGGTAAACCGGCCAGAGAATTTGATGTTGTCGTTTCGGGACCGGGAGGTGAAGCCTTACCTGTCAGATGCTATCAAACAAAGGGCGGCCAATTACAAGCTGAATTCACAATCACTAAAATCGGTCAATGTTTAATTGGTGAGTGTGTGTTTCTTTATTGCTTTTCTCATTCGATCAGGAATTTAATTTTAATTTTTAACAGAGGTTTTACATCAATCCAAATCATTGCCGGGCAGTCCGTTCACATGTGAATCATATGATCCAAAGAAAGTTGCAATACGTGGAATTCCAAGAGGCCCATTGGTTGTTCATAATTCCATTTGTTTTATGTGTAAGTGTTGAATATTTTGATCGATTTCTGTAATCGAAACCAATAAGTGTCAATTTAATTGAATTCGAATTCATGTTCATGTAGTGAATGCTGAGGATGCTGGAAAAGCTGAAATTGAATTATTGGCCATCGCTCCGAATGGTCAAAATATTCCAGTGCAAGCAATTCAACAAGCCGACGGTCAAATTATAATTGAGTTCATACCAAATATACCTGGTCATTATAAATTACATATATTATATGGTGGTGAACCCATTAATGGTTCACCATTGACATTCGTTGCCAATGCACTCGATTCAAATCAATTGGATAATCAACATGTATCAAATGGTAATGGCTTAGAAATTGCACATCGCGGAAAGGAAACTTCATTTACAGTGTATTGCCCAACAACACCAAATGTACAAATCGAACGTTTCGATGAGCAAAGCGAACGAATCGAACCAAAAATCAAGTCATTGAGCAATAATGAATGGCGAATTTCGTACACAATTTTATCGGTCGGAAAGTATGATATTCGTGTGAGTTGTCCAAATCGAGGACCATTATTCGGTTCACCATGGAATATATCGTGTGTTGATCCAAACAAAGTCATTCCGATTGGCGGTTGGGCGGCACTCTTGGACGAAGAGGGCCGTTTAGTTTTACCAGCTCGCATTGTTTTCGACACATCACAAGCAGGACCGGGAGAATTAATGTGCAGTGTTGATGGCCGAGTGCTTGGTAAGTTGGACTCACCATAATAATTAAATTGTATTAAAATGAAGAAAAAAAAATCAGAATCACTTAATGTTAATTAACTTTTGCTTTCGGTTTTAGCAATTGACAAGCAAGCTGATGGTAAGTCAAGAATTTATATATCTGCCGATGGCTTAACACCTGGCGAACATAATTTCGATTTAACATGGAGTGGCCAGACAATTTATCAAAGTCCACGAAGTGCCGTAGTTGGTGTCCAACAGCAATCCGATAAAGTTGTATTGACGGGACGAGGATTAGCTGCTGCTCAAGCTGGTGAAAGTGCACATTTTACAATTGATGCACTTCAAGCGTCCATTGGAAAACCTGAAGTAATTTTGACTTATGCTAATGGATCACCACTACCGGTTGAACTAACACAACCAAAACAAAACGAAGCCATTTGGCTTGCAACATACACACCGAGCCGATCAACATCGGGACCATTGAATTTAATTGTCAAATGGAATAATCGATTGATCAAAGGATGCCCGTTAACTGTTCAAGTTGGCACGTCAATCGATGCATCGAAAGTTTTGTGCTCCGGTGAAGGTTTACGGCACGGTGTTGTTGGCAGAGAAATTCGATCATGGATTGATACACGGCGGGCAGGACCAGGTGAATTAACCGCTCATTGCACTGGTCCAAGAAAAGTTGCCTATTGCGAATTATACGATCATGGTGATGCCACATTCACACTTAATGTTAAACCACAAGAGCCTGGAAAACATTTGCTTACAATTAAATATGGTGGTCAGCACGTGACAGGATCACCATTTGCACTAAAAGTTGCCGGTGCACCCGATGCCAGCAAGGTAAATTAATTAATAAATTTTTTTTTGGCATTTTTCAGAATTCATATGTTTTGTTTAATAATTGTATAGGTTCGTGTTTTTGGACCGGGCATTGAACATGGTGTACTAGCTACATTCCAATCAAGGTTCATTTGCGATACTCGTGGAGCTGGCGCCGGACAACTCACGGTTAGAGTTCGCGGACCAAAAGGCGCATTCCGTGTCGAAATGCAGCGTGAAAGTCAAAAAGATCGCACCATCCTTTGTAAAGTAAGTGCAATTCAATTTCACACCAAATATATTTTTATTTTATTTGCTTTTTTGTTCTTCTTTTTGGTAATAGTATGATCCAACCGAGCCTGGCGATTATCGCGTTGAAGTAAAGTGGGCTGGTGAATTGGTTCCAGGTAACATTTAATGAAAAAACAAATGTTCAAATGTATTTTAATTTTAATTACAATTCGTTTTTTTGATTTATTCGTATCCAGGTTCACCTTTCCCAGTCATGATTTTCGACACGGAGGAGGAACTGCGTCGATTTATTCATGGATTGAACTAGGTATAAAGTATCCACATGAAAAGCGAAAATTCAACGAATAAGAAAAATTATTTATCAAATTCAATGTCTGCTATTCCATTATCCTCTGTTTTCTTTTTTAAATATAAAATAAACCAATTCCAATGAACAAAGCAATCAATCTATCGAAAACACACTTCTAAGTAAGCCAATTATTATTTAGAATTAATTATTTTTATTATTTGTTACTAAACGGAGAAACATTTTTAATTTTTTTTTTATACGATGCTTAACCTTTACTTGTTATTCGAACACAATCTATGTAATGATTTAACAAATAAATATTTCTTTTTGACAAAAATAGGATGGTGTTTGTTTTGTAAAAGAAATGGCTGAATAGTCACTGACTAATTAGTCAAGATACGATTATTTACAGATAATATATACATTTCTTCGCATTCTTATCCGTCAATTATGATTTTAAAAAATGAGAAAGGCAAAGGGAAAAGGTAAATTACTAATAGTATTGAGCCTTATGTGAAAATATATTTTCACCAAAGATTGAACCATTAAAAAACCTATAAAATTTATGTGAGCAAGAAACAAAGAGGAAAAAAACAAAGAATTTAAATTGTCATAAATTTCCTTGCAAGACACTACATTGTAAAAAACTTCAAGGAGAAAACAACTGTAAAAAGAATACATATTTTCGATTTGCCGAGTATTTTTTATTTTATTTTATACGAGTTCAACTCAGGCAGAGACAATTTTTGATACGTCACTTGTACAACATGAGAAAATGAATATTGAATTTAAAAGAATAAACTTGAATTCCACAAAAAACAGCGCCCTCCATTGGTCGTATGCGAAAACTGCATAACACAATTGAACTGTCAAACATTCCGCCAAATGGATATGACTACTGTCACACTCTATTGAAATACGTTTATGTCGGCATTTCAAACCACAAACAAAAATTTCTACTGCAATTTAATTTAAATAAAATATCGATGTGATAATTGATTCATAGAATAAAAATAAAGAAATTTTCACCGAAAAAAAGGTCACTTGAATCAGATGCATTAGAAATGCAACCAACAATTGAAGGGAATACCGATAGTGAAATGAAAACGCAAGACAGTCACGATGAGAAGAATTGCATCGATTTGGAGCGCTACCGGAATTTAGTGCGAACATTCATTGATCTGGTAAGAAAGATGCACAAACCTTTGATTGCTTTGCTGAAAATTAAATATTACAATATTGTTTGACTGACAGCGAAAGTACGTCACAAATAAGCTCGGCGTCTACGAGTAAATACGATTGTTGTTGTACTCACTTGACCAAAAGAAAAACTAAAATGTGTAATAAGAAATAACAATTTGTCAGTTAATAATTGTTTTTTTAAAATTGTGTTTAATTGTTCATGGGAATTTATTAACCTTTCTCTTTCTCTCCTCTATCTCTCTCTCTCTCTTTCTCATGTGTTTGTGATCTACAGCGACGATATAAAACAGCGTTGTTTTGGGCCGAAAAAACGGTTATTTTGGGTGATAATCAAGCAAAAGACATCTATTGGATGGCACAATGTATGTTTTTACTGCGTGAATATCATCGTGCCGCGCACATTATTAAATTCCATGGATTGGAAAAGACCAATATATTTTGTCATCATTTAATCGTTGAATGTTTGTACGAGGCAAAAGAATACACCGAGGCCATCGATTTAATGAATACCATTGACTTGGAATACTTATCAAATTCAGTTATTAACTTAGAGGGTACAAATGCCGACGATACGGCACTACAAATTTTGGCAACAGTTGATATCGATGACATTGGACCGAGCAAATCGGAAGTTATATCGGCCATTTATTTTTTAAAAGGGAAAATACTCGAATCCATGGACAATCGAAATATGGCAATGAATTGTTACATCGAAGCGTTACATTTGGATGTGCATTGTACGGAAGCATTAGATGCGCTCGTTCATCACGAAATGCTTCTTGCATCGGAGGAGCTAGAGCTCATCACACATTTACCATTTTCATCACAATGCACCGAAAATGAGAGTCGAATCATTGAAAAACTCTACAAGAGCAAACTAAAGAAATACCACGAATCAGCACTAACGGTACATTTGATTTGGATAGGTTTTCAAAATGTAATTTTTTGAAGTGCATGTGTTTGTTTTTTTAAATTTCATCCTCAGCCAACATCATATAATCAAAATCAAACACCACCGCCAAATTTCGATAGTGTGGCCACGATTAAAGCCATTTTGGAACAATCTGAGAAAACACGCACGGAACGAACAAATATTGATCTGAAACTGAGCTCCAAGGAAAATCCACGATTTTTCCAAACGCCAGAACAACGAAGCAATAGAACACCATCGCCACCGGCGTAAGAATCTAAAATTCTTTTACGGTTATTTATTGAATTTTAATAAAATTGCGGGTTTTTTCTTTCTTTTTAAATTCCAGTTCTAACGTAATCAAAGAAGGAAAAACTTCATTATACTCCAGATTGAGTAAAAATGAATCTTTGTTGAATGCATCAATTGTAAATACAACACCATTGCAATCGAATCGAGTCGCAAGCGTCAAATCGAAACGCAAAGTGTATAAAAGTTTGTCAGAGTCAAAGAAGACCGTACCAATATCAACTCAACGTTGTTTTGAACGTCTTAACCAAAGCATTGACATCTATACGGAACGTGCATCGCATCTATTCTATAACGGCGAATACAAGAGTTCGATTGGCATTCTAAATGAGTTAGTAATTGGTTTTGTTTCTATCTGAGAGTTTATTTGTTATTCAAACATTCCAATTTCACAATCCAATAACATTTCGAATGTCATTTTCCATTGTAGAATTTTAAAGAGTGATCCATATCATACTCCTGCCTTGATTATACTCATCGGATGTTTGATCGAATTGAAGGAATACAGTAGTAAGTGGCTTAATTTGCAATAAATCATAAATCACCAAAATGATTGTGTACCATTTAAATTTTCAGAATTATTTTGCATCGCCCATAAATTGGTTGATTTGTACTCGGATCAGGCAATTTCATGGTATGCTGTTGGTTGTTATTATGATTTAATTGGAAAAAGTGATCCAGCAAGACGATATTTATCGAAAGCAACATCAATCGATCGACTATTTGGTCCAGCGTGGCTGGCATACGGACATTCATTCGCTAAAGAGAATGAACATGATCAAGTGAGTAACAATCGTTTTATATACAAAACATAAAGAATCATAACCTATTTTAACCATTGGATTATATTTATAGGCAATGGCAGCTTATTTCAAAGCTACACAACTGATGCGCGGATGTCATTTGCCACTTTTGTATATTGGCGTCGAATGTGGTCTCACCAAAAATTTCGATCTATCGCAAAAGTTCTTTTACCAAGCAATGACCATCGCTCCATTGGACGTTTTTGTACTACACGAACTGGGAGTGATAAAATTCGAATATGAAAAGTGAGTAAATACAATTGATTTCAATGTTATTAGAAAAAAAAATATATTCATTCAATCATATGTCGTTTATATGGCTTTTAGTTTTGATGAAGCTGAAGAAATTCTTCGAATCACATTGGAAATGGTAACAAAAATGGCAAATGATAATGATGAACCGATTGCAATACGTTGGGAACCGCTAATCAATAATCTTGGCCATTGTTGTCGAAAAAATAAGAAATACGATGAAGCGCTTAAATATCATAAGAGAGCACTTGCATTAAAACCACAAAATCCAGCTACGTACACAGCAATCGGTTTTGTGTATGCATTAAAATTGAATTTGGGACAAGCCGTTGATTATTTGCATCGAAGTTTAGCATTAAAACGTGATGATATTGTTACAACAGCATTACTCAAATCGTGCCTCGAAGATTTGATGAGCGAGGATAGTTTACCGAAAAGTTTATCGGATTCGCATGTCGATCAAGATGTAGACGGTTTCAGTAGTATACAAAAGCGTGACATAAAATCCAAACCACATCCAAGCTATCCAATGAAATCGAGCTGCGTGAAAATCAACTTCGATGATGAATCAAATCAGTCACAAGGATCCGAAATGATCGATCTCGACATGAGTATGGATGTTTAAAGCAAAGCTTGTTTACATTTAATCCCATATTAATAAAAAAAATCAAATGAATTTCATTAATGAATCATACATTCGTTTTATTTACAAAATCATGATATTTGGAAATTATTAGTTTTTTGCTATTATGAAGACGGCTGTCGTTAAACCGATTTAAAAAAAATCGCTAGTATCATTTCTTCGATTAGTTATAATGATATACTCAACTATATATAGTTTGTAATGTTTTTAGTACATTCTAACGTTGAAAAATGTAACGTTTTGGCCCATTCTGGTGGTCATTTTCGTGTCAAATGGAACGGAGATTATATGCATAGTTTCCACGAATTCCAATGGAATGGATCCACTTGTTTCTTTCACTTCCAATAATATTTCATTTGACAACATAATGTGAACACAACCCAACACATTAAGTTTTATATTGAAAATACAAATCTTACGCTCAAATAAAAAAATAAACAATTTATTCGAAAAGAAATAAATAAAACTCTGCAGTAGAACTCTTTTATACGTCATTTAATGCATTTATTTTTCTTTATTTGTGGAATTATTATTTTGAATTTTCGAAATGCAACTGACATCTTTCTGACATTTTTCTATCCGCGCGGTGTATATGTGTCAAACCAAATCCAGTAGTTAGTATAAACAACTTTTGCACCAACCGATTTTGTTTACAATAAAATTTTGTTTTGTTTTCAACAGGATTTCTTGAGAATTATATGAGAGTGTTTGAAGCGTGGTTTGGGCGATCAATTGGTTTTATTGTCATTTCAAAAACGATTTTGTGTGTTCAGAATGCTGTTCCCTGTGGAATGGATATATTCACAGTTGGTTTTGTGACTGTCTTTGTTTTAATTTCGAAATAACAGAGTGTTGATAAAATTAACTGTGAATATTCCAACAACATTTCGATCGGCAAAATATTTGATGTCACGTTGGAAATAAATTTCATCATTCGATTTAGAATACAGAGTCACTTTGTTGAGGTAAGAGGTGATATTTATAATGCGTTCTTCATTACTGTTTCATTTAATTTGTGATAGAAGTGTTTATATCTTATTGTGTTTGTGATCTACGCTATATTTGGTGTATTTTTTTCTTCAATTTTTGTACAATAGATCTGTCACGATGAGAAGAAAGAGAGCCAAGAATGGGCGCAGTACGTCGTTGAAGATGACTCTAAATCAAGTGCTGCGGGAAGAGTATCGTGCACCATTCATCGATCAGGTCACATACTGGTGCCTTTCGGCCACAATGATTACGACTCTGGCGTCATTACTGTTTTTGTTCAAAGCAAACAAAGCCTTTGACGATGAAAATGTTCGATTTTTTAAAGGTGAATCCGATGAATACACGAATGATGAATTCAATAAATACGTGAATGGTGTAATTGGTGAATGTTTCACCTCGGTATTACAAGAAAATTACCACAAATTACCGCTTGCATTTCGACGAACTGTGGAGCAAGCATGTCCTGATTTTCTTCGTCCAGAAAATTGGCCAGCTCGCGAGGGCATGGGGAACGCATTCAATCATCTCATCACTCAGTACATAACAAACGTGAAAAATAACATCAAAGTATGGGCATTCAGTCGCATCAAGAAATTTTTCACACTAAAGCGCTACGAACTGAATTTGAATCGACAAGGAAATCTCATCACTGAATTGGATGTAAAACGTGCGACGAAGATCGTAATGTTCCAAAGTAGAGTCGAGAGAAACGCGAACATCGATCTTCTATTAAACGAAGCAGCAGGCATTGGATTGCCAATCAATGTACACTTTCAGAATCTCATTCGTGATCGCTGGTTCCAAACCATTCCAATATTTATAAACATTCAGCGACAAATTTTCGATTTTCACGCGAAATATGAAATGTTAAAACAACGCTGGTTCCAATATCGACGCGATCCGAACAACAATGTCATGCCGACCACTCCACTCCCGCCAAAAATAAAGAATTTTTTAGTAGTTCCAGTCCACGATTTCGATATGAAACATATCCGCATCGATATCCATCTTTTTTATTCGATTGCGCGCAAATTTGGAGCATTGAAATTGGCAAAAGGAAAACGCGGTCAGCCAATAAACATTGAAAAAACTGAATACGATAGCAATCCAGCTTTCTATTGGAATTTAATATTTGACATTTGCTTGTGCAAAATGTTTCCGGCCATTCGATCGACGAACCAAAAGCGATCGATACAAAGTTTGTCAGCATTGTATTCCAAGTGAAGATGAGTCATCGCAATGGAATTTACCGAACGTCATTATCACCATGAAAAGCAACCGAGTGTACCAACAATTGCGTAAATATGCAGTTGATTTTGTTAATCGATTGAATGCAGCCAACCCAGATCATATTCCAATGGATTCAGATGGTTTAGTGTCAAAACTTCAAGTATGTTTCAAAAACTGGCAACTAAACACTGGCATTTGGAAAGATGATCGAGCTCCATTTCAATTGAAAACTGTTTGGCACCGGGATATCGTTGCAGCCAAGAACATCAAATGTACAAAGGTGAAAAAATATCACTGAAATTAAAAATGTTTAAGAATGTTTTGGCTAACAATTTGTTGTGTACGATTTTGTTTTTAGGTCTTTGTACGGTGTTGGGATTGGACATTCATCCGCAAATATTGAGACCACAGAATCAAAATGCTGCCGTACAAAATCAAGCAGCTGACGATGAGGATTCCAGTGACGATGAGGACTACGTTTATGTTCTTGATGTTTCCGATGACGACCAGTTTTAATTACATGTAGCATTAAGATTTCTTTTTAAATAATATTATTGTAACGTTTTGTTACTATGCTGGGCTTGAGTTTTGTGGCCTTGACCGAAGTACGGGCAGTTCGGTATATAAAATAACCCGTAGGTGAGTATCATTTATTGAACTGAACCGATAGTATATTGATGTTGATTCATACTTAGTAACTGAGTTTATTTTTTCTCTTTTTTCTTTCCATTGCGACGTTGAAAATGACTGAAACTACACTCAAATCCGACCCCAATATTGACCGTCAACATATGACCGATAATGGATGAATTTGCCACAACAAATGTTTTTTGGGATAGGAGTTGTGAAAAATACAAGAGATCCCAACAGGAGGGAAAATATAAAGAAATTTTTTTTACATATTTAATTTTTGATCGTAAATTTTTTATCGCTTGAACAAATTAACATCGCACAAAAAATACACAGAATAAAAATTAACTTTTGCAGTTGTTGCATGTTCGTCGCTGTTACGTTGTTCCGATTCGATTCTGTGTCTCATAATAAGTGTTCGAAGTGGTTCTCTCTACTAACACTATAAAAACTCAATTTTTAAGCCATATTTTATCAGTTCAATTGACCGAGAAGACGTAACAACAACAAATTGTACTTTAACACCATTTGTTCGTTTCGAGATTTCATGAAATATCTGTGCATTAATTTCTCCCCCAAACACGATAATCAAACGATGAGAAAATGCGTTTTGTGTAACGTGGATTCAATATAGACAGAAATACATAGACCAAAAGACAGCAAAAGAAATGGATAGACATAGTGAAATTGAGATAGATGGATAGAGAGACACGGAAAGAGCGAGAAAGAGCCACCGTATATTGTTCTGATTGCCCAACAGCGCAAATGGATGAGCGAAAACCTATTACAATGGATTTGTGCGCGACTGACTGAGTCAGTGATTTTTGTCTGAATATGTTTGGCTTTTTTCAATTCATCTCTCTATCTCTGTTAAACGTCTATGTACAATATGGCATCGCAGTGAGCGATGAACAGTTTTGCGTAGAAACCAACAATAAACTATATATATATTGTTTTTTGCTCTCTTTCGATATCAACAAATGCGGCACACAACGCAATAGAATATAAACGGTTGAACGAAATATAGTGTGCAGATTTCTGTTCTTGTTGTTGCTATTGTCGACGTCGTTGTCGCTGCTATTGTAGTTATTGTTGTTGTTCGGATCCTCTTCGACAACTGAATCAACAGCACGTTCGGTGCAATGCTCTATGTGCACACACAGTGTTGTGCATTGCTGGTATACTATACGTCAACTCCTTTTCCACCACTCGACCATTTTTTTTATCATCATCGAAAGAGCACAGTTTGCGAAGCACCAGTACGGTGATGCCATTTCAAGTGTTAGGTTGTTCGCGTGCTCTGCACTGAGATTTAATTCTTCACATTGCGATAGAGCCGGGCTCACACATTTCGATTTTGTTCCGTTGTGTATATTTTCTTTTTTCCGTTTAGTTTATTATTATTACGATTATTACGATTATTTTTTTTTTTGCTTCGTTATATAAATAAATATATATATATTTTTGAATTCGTGCGATTAACAGACAGAAAAACAAATGGGAAAAACAATATGTGTATTTTTTTGAAATTGTGATTTTCTATTTTCTCGCGAAAACATTTTTTCTTCTTCTGAAGCGAATGAAGAAAAATAAATTCATCTTGTGCAGTCAAGAACAACAAAAATTAAAAATTCTCTTTTGATACATTGTGTGTGCAGTGTGTACCGTATTGTGGTGTTTTAGGTGGTGTTGTTTGTGCATCGGCGGCATACATTGTTCTGCGTCACACAATTGCTGTGGGACATTATAACGGGAACGGTGGAGAGAATATCAACGCTAAAATGGTTTCATTGCAACAGGTATGCCGTATAACAAGTACTTTATGTTTTAATATAAATAACGTAGCGCGTGCGAGGATGTAAACGAAGCACCGAACAAGGGCGAATGTGTGCTGTTCAGTCAGAGTGTGAATGAGAGCAAATGAACGAATTTTTATGTATTATAGAATGAGATAGAATGCGCAATACAGTATAGTATGCATGCAGCCACGTTTAATGGATGCATGTGGTTTGCCGCTTGTGGACTCACATTCGCTTCTTGTTTTGAATAAATGAAGTGCGGAAACAGTAAAACCCCAGCAAATTGAATGAAAATGCTTAATTAAATAATTTTCACTGTTTCCAAAAAGGCATAATCCACTTAAACATCGACACGACTGCCACAACATGTAAATTAATGCGATTCCACTTTTTTCCTGCTTAATATCTTCTCTCACTCTCTTTCTCTCTCTCTCTCTTTCTGTCTGTCTGTCTCTCTTGCTTACTCATTCATCCTTTTATTTATGGTCTTGTCGCGTTTTCTGCATTATATTGTTTTTTTTTTTAAATAGAGTTAAAAAACAGTTTTACTGTGTCCTGTTAAAATTTCGTAATTTATTATTAAATGCATATCTGCGTTTAAAGTCAATTTTACGAGTCTCTTTTGTCGTTCCGTTTAAGCAAATTTGTTTCTCATTTTCAAGAGACAAAAACGACACAATGAACTCCTCGACTACATAGGTCACATTAAATGCTAAGAAATAACGAAAGCGAGAGAGAGAGGGAGACAGACAGAAAAATCGAGTGAGCAAAAAAAAGGCGAGAAACGAATGAGAAAAAAAATTGAAAACTCAGAACCGAAACTAAAAATTGTGTTTTGTACATCGAATGAAATGCGTTCACACACAACAACTAAAAGTCGCATAAGCGCAAAACCCACAAACGCAAATAACAATCACCGAACGCATGAGAAAACGATGGCAAACCATATTTCTTAGTCGGCGAAGAAATTACACACAAAAATACGCACAACAGACAATAGAATCGAACACACAGTCATCCTTTGCTAGGAATAGTCAAAAGTAAAACAACAAGTGCGGCGAACAAAAGTGAAAGAAAGAGAAAAAATATAGATAAAAAACGGCAACTTTCTGTGTGACAACGTATATTGAATTTAAATTACAGTAAAACACTAATAAAAAAACAATTCAAGACTGTTGAAGAGAAACCAGAAATTTTTAGTGAAATTCCTCAACACTTGATCTTCTTACCACGACAAATATGACTGAGGCAAACGAACGAGAAAAACGTTCCGCTTGTTTCGTTGTATGAAAGAATGAACGAGAGCGCGACGCTAAAGTTTTTCGCATTATTTGGGGTGGGATGGAATGAGGCCGGTTAATAGGAAACAAAAAAAAAAGAGGCGAGGAAAATTTCAATGGAAAATTGCATGTTCTGCCGGCTTTCCTTTCTTTTTTTTTTCATCGAATACCGTCGCATATTTCGTTGTTTTTCGGCGGTGATATTACATCGCCCTTTTTGTGTGAGTCGTGTGCGCGCGTTATTCGGATAACAAATGTAAAACAATCTACCGGACTGGAGAGCAATAATAACAACAAAACTATTGAAGAAACATAAAGGGAACATTAAAAAGTTTTGTTTGACAAACAACTGTTTTGCCGGAATAAAACACATATTTTTCATTTGGATCTTGTAAAAAGTCTTTTCGCACCAATAAGCATCAAGAACACACATACAGCCGTGCACACTGCAAGCGCCAGCTCAGAAAAGGAAACGTGGAGAAAGAGGGAGGTAAATTGTAAGAAAAAGAAATTGAGAAAGAGAGAGGGAGAGAGCGAAAGCATGTAAGCCACGAGAGAACCAAGAATCGCACACACACTCCCATATTGATTGAAATCGGTTCAAAGAAATGATGAATTATAAATGGATTTTAATTTGTTTTTTATGTTTTCTCTCTCTCTCTCTCTCTGTCCTTCTCTTTGTGTGCAGTAGAACATTTTGTTCCGTGCTTGCGGACAACGAAGTACAGCTACATCGATGTATATCATTATTTTCCACTGGAAATGCATTATTGGCATTGCTGTATTGACTATCGGGCAATGGTTTTGCCAATGATGGGCTTACAAATAAAAACAAACTGCCTGACTTTGTGCTGTTGTTGTGTGATTGTTGTTAAAAGTGGATATTTCATCGTTTGAATTAGAGAAAATGGCCACCACCTGTTGTAGCCATGTCTTTCAATTTTCCTTTTTCTTTCAAATCTTTTCCTGTGTTCCTTTTAAAAGTTTTCCGATGTTTCAGTTTTCTGTATGTGTATGTTACTGTATGTTGTCCAGTTTGTAACTTGCCATTTTCGATTTTCTCTTCGCTTTTTTTTTGCTCAGATTTTCCTTTTTATGCCTCTAACTCTCTCTCCCTCTCTCTCTCTCTCAATCGATGTCCCTCTTCCCTTGATTTGATTCTACTTTTGCCTTTGTTTATTAGTCATTTTGAAACTGTCCGGTGCTTTGTCGAAGAAGCTACATTGCTTTTAGTGGAAGTTTTCTGTGCACTCAAATAGCATACTTGAGCAAAAGTTAAAAGTATATTTTGTGATACATGCACGTGTCAAACATTGAAACATTCAAAACATTGTCTACAGGCGAAAACATTTCCATTTAATGCATTCACTTCGAATGTCACACAATTTCATTGCGATAGTTCGTTATATGAGCTGCTCTTTTTTGCCTGTTCTTCATTCTTCTTCTTCTTCGTATTTTTCCGTTCGATTTTCTTCGTTTAATTTTTCATCATAAACATTTTCTAAAGTGATATAGATAGCAAATTAAAAAGTATGTCTGTCTCCGACAACTTGTCTATTTCCCGTAAAACCTCAAACACAGTTTACTCATTAAAACGGTGTTTTTGGTTTGATTACATTCGTTTAATTGCTATGTGTAATGGTTGAAATAGAAAAAAAAGAACGAACCAATCACTCTCTTTATCGATTGATCGGATTACTCAATCAGGAGGCCGACTGCGAACAAACCCCGATGCTTCGAGGAAGTGCGTCGCCGCTGTTCAAACATCGATTCAATTGTTACTCAACGCGAACATCACACGTTATAACACTAAACAAATAACAAAATAATTTACGAGAAGCAAAAGAAAATAAATGCATCATCTACTCTTAGACCGATTGCATCGCTTTTGAATTTTTAGCATATGACAAAAATTAATAACTTTTCTTAAAAAAAATCAAACAATTTAACGTCATAACATGGAGATTTTAACAATAGCATTTTCCGAAAATTCAACTTCCAATTGTGGCTTGGCATTGAAGAGTCTTTAAACTTCAACTTGGTTTATATTCGATTTTTTTTTTTAAATGATGCATAAAAAATAAGTACGTCGCGTCTTAACGATATCTCACCGGGACTTAACGATATTACTCATATAATCCATTTATATATATCTTGTTTCCACAAACATTGTGCGCATCGTGATTGCAAAACAGAAAACTGTTTGAGTAAAATTCAAATCGCACAGTTATAAATTCGGTGGATTTAGTAGCATTTTTACAACGCCATCAACCGAAGTTTGTAGTCTATTTAAAGATAAAAATATTTGAAGACAGTTTATGTGATTCACATATCTTTAAAATTTTAGTAGTATCTTCTTTTTTATTCATATAAGTATGTTCCACACAAAAGATCCAATAAAGAAAGATTGACACTTGTACTAGAGGGTTTTCACTTGTTCTCGCAATCGTTTCGAATCTTATAGAGCCCAGAGAAAAATCTATTTATTTATTTCGAGTATATTGTAGACATTCGATGTTGATGATGGACGCTCAAATGTTAATTATTAGAAAAAAATAATAAATTTATTTGTCTGTTACTTCATTCTCAATAAACAATTGTTATCGCAAAACCACAATTAAACGGCACAATGGAAAAAATCTATAATTAGATTGATATGAAAAAAATTGACTTGATTCATGATCATCGATATGCACCGATAAGAGATTCTACTACTACGTCCATAGTACTTTAGTGGCACATTGTTGACATTTTTATTCTGACGTCGATTCTAAATGTTGTTTGTTGACATTTCCATGTTTTTAAGAAGTGTTTCTTCTTTGACACCAAACGTCGTCCTATTCTCAGTAATCGTTTGTTTTTTATTTGCAACAAAATGAGATGAACCAAAACAACATTGTATTCACGATCACAATATCAATTACTCTCGTTCAATGTGAAAAAAACAAATTTACCTCTTCTTTGGTATCCAAATCTCGTCGTACTGAAGCATATTTCAATTTTTTGACTTCGTACACATTTATGATTTCGGCATCACTTATTTAGACTGGTGGCACAACATCCGAACAAATTTGGCAATCGAATTCCATATTGAGGTACACCAGTTTCACGCCGAAGAATAAATTCTAACTTATGATTTTATTCATGGTGAATTTTTTGCTTTCGATGTTAAAATCGTTTGGTGCTTCCATCCAACACAAATCATTCAGCGATTACCCCAATCGCATAGGTCGTTCCACGTTGCCATCATCAAAAAAAAAGCAGGATTCAAGGCAAGCGATCTGCATGGCTTTCACTTCAAGTACAAAATGATCGAGATATTTTTATAATATGTTGCTGAAACTTAAATCAAATCACGTTGTTGCGTTTTAAATGAATCTATTGTTTTGAATAATAATGACTTTTAGAATTTAAACCCAGCATATAATTGACTTGCTATTTAACACAAAAATGACCATTAAAATAATAATCTGTTACTTCATTATAATTTCAGTTTTTATAGAAATAAAAATTATATCATATTTCCCCTCATTTTAATATTAAAAATGGTATGGATTTAAATGTTAGTTACTGTGGCGCATGTATGCATGCTTTTGATTTAGCATCATTTTTAACTTCTGTTCCGTTCGATAATGACACAAATGTGAGGTTTTTTTCTACCTTTCGCCCCTTATCCTCTCTCCCTCGGTCGCTCACTCGCTCTCATCCAATTCATTCGACAATGAATGAAAATCACCTGCAGGCTTTTGGCGTCTTTTGTGATTATCGCTATGACGCATCATTGTTTCCACAAATTAAGATAATATTTATTCCATTTAGTGGAATATGTGTATTCTTTTACCAACTGGTCTAATTGTATTTCACGGATTCTCGCTTCATTAATTTATATTTCGCTTTTTCCTTTCGCCCATTATTTTTTTCTTTCTTTTTTCTATTTTTAAATTGGTTGGGGAACATAACTTCCTTTTTGGTTGAACTACGGAAAATGTTATGTCGTGCAGATTTTAGCATATACCTCTTTATATATTTTTTTTTTATTATTTAAAACGAGGCTTTTTAGTCCAAGTTTATTCGTTTAATTCCGTCTATTCAAGGATTAACGCAAAAAAAAACTTTTCCACGTTGATTCATACAAAAGAGATTTCACTCCTTGCGGCGCTTCACCTCAGCTCAGTTTGAAAGAAGAGTAAAGAGTGCGCACATTGAAAATGAGCATAGTTTTCAATAGTTTTTCTTCATATATCAATGAGATTTTCACAATCATGATCCAATATTTGCATGTCAGGAACTTATTTAAAATTTGGAAAAAATTATTATTTATTTCCTCATCAAAATTTGATTATAAACCATTTTTATCTTCTCAAAGTTTCGCATTAAAAACTGTCATCTGGTAGTGCATATGGTTGTGAAATGCACCATCCCATATAAAATGAATGCCAAAAAAGAAAGCAAGAAAATCTTCCTCTTGTCGACATCTTCGCACTTTAGGGAAAAAAACGAATTTATGTATATATAGGCAAAGTAGTATGGCATACATGGAACGCATATCACACGTTTTGCGCACTCATGCAACTTTCGCGACAAACCACATAAACGCAAATGCATCGAAATCGAAATGTACACGTATGACTCAGAACACAGAAGATGATGCAATTCACAGTTGGTGCGAATCCACTAGAACAGACCTAACAGCGATGCTTTCAACGAACACTACAGCTCACAAGTTTGGAACAGCCTCGATTCCGTTTTTTTGCGAAATTGACTGATTTTTATTCAAAATGGAGATATTCAATGAATATAAAATATCTTCAATTTTTTTATCGTGTATAAATGGAACATTTTGAGATGTTATTGGTTCCATTTGTGAAAGTTTTTTAAAACTAAATGTCAGAAGGATGGTGTTTTCCAAAAATTTGGCCTGTAGTGTAAATATATCGTAAGCGAGCGAATATTGTGTGACATATGAAGAAAGGAATCGCGTCACACAGGCACACTGTGTGATGTGTGTACTTGAGCGGTAGACGATGCACACATAAAATCCACAATAGTAATAGATAGTGCAGAAGTATAGTAAATATAATTGTTCCATCCATTTTCCCTATTTGCTAAATGAATTTTTATGCATTGTTTCGATGTTTTTGTTTTTCTCAATTTTTCCGTGCTGTCTTTCCTTTATGATTTTATAAATTGCAGAAACGGCACTCTTTCTCGGCATAAGAAAGAGAGGGAGATAGAGGCAGAGAGCGGCAAGCAAATGTATTCGCTCTCTTGCCCGACCAACCGCCTCGTCCCGTCCGATTGCTCCGTACACATACGCAAATTCATTCAAAGCAATCACATGCACCCAATCAAAGTCATAGCATGGAACATTCATTGGATTTATGTAAAACATAATACTTACATGCATTTATTTACCCAACAGATTGAACATCGTTGCTGTTTAGTGTTTACAATGCTTTTGGCTACGAAGAGAAAGCTCAAATATCCCTGTCTTTTTCCTCTCTCTCTCTCTCTCTCTCTCTCTCTCTCTCTCTCTCTCTCACTTGCTTTCTTTCTCTTGATTTCGTTGCATATATTATGGTCTCTAATATTCTAATATTGGTGTGTATTTTTTTTGTTATATTGCTTGTGTCTTTGCATCGCTTCGTATTTGCTAAAGAATGTGTGCACACGATTACAATTGAACATTTGAAACAACAAATTCAACGGCAACTACAAAAAAAAATGTATATATATGAAAAAGAAGCACCAGAAGAAGTATTCATCTTTTCACTTTTCGACAGTACGAACGACGAACGAGCATAAATACAAGCGATGGCTTACTTGGATTCAAGGAAATAGTCGCGATGCAGATGCATATTATCTGGCATAATAGGAATGCTAATGATACACAATAGACGTTAAAAGGACAATCAACATGCAACACTGCACTGACTAGGCTCTTACAAAACAATCATTTAGAGTTACAGGGATAGAGATTGAGTTAGAAAACAACAGAGAAGCATTGAGATTGAGAGCGAAAAAAAAGAACAAAACGTACACACACACACACACACATCGTACACAAAAACAAAAACCAAAACGGAATGGTTTGGAAGTAACCGTAAAATAGGTGTTGACTTTTCTTTTAATGTAATGATTTGTTCAGTAAATAATTTATTTTGAACAATAATAATCATGAAATTGTGTACAACACTCGTGGATTTAATTAGTTTTGGAATTGAATTCAAGTTGAAGAAATGACCATTAACAGCATTCACATTCATTCCGAATTGGTTGGGCTCTTGAATTTAAAAAAAAAAAAAACATCGAATGACAATGGCCCTGGTACTGGGATGAAGTGAACACTATAACAATCACAGAAACTCTGATCTTCACTGGAGTGCACCGTCCAAAAGAGTCGCTTACAACTTGCTCTTTTCACAATGAAAAGTGGCAAAAAAGACACACACAGAAATTTACGGAATTCGTTCAACAGCGTAAAATCACCTCAATGACATACTATTGAAAATCGTGCCATTTCTTTTTTTGCTGTATTAACTATTATGACAAAATGTCTGATACGCAAAATGTAGCTTTCATCAAGTGGATTAGAACGTGAAAATCTATTTGGGTTGTCCATTTGGTGTGACATTTGAAATGTTTAAGCACACTTGAGCAGACCTTTTTTTGTTGTGTTCGAGCAGAACAATTTAACTTGGGCGAAATATGTGCTTTTTTTCGTTTCTGTAGAAGTAGTTAAATGGTTGTTTGTTACTTGCACCCTCTATGTGTGTATCTATGGGTGTGTGCGATTTTTTCTCAAAATCTTCATATATTTAAAATGCAATAGTGTGACAGATTGTATCAATAAATAAGCGTTGAAAATGGATTGAATTAGTTCAAGAGTCTAAAACTCCTACATCATAATTTACTTTGTCACAAACTTGGATCGGTATCAATACAATAGGGGGATATTGGGCCACATATTAAATGTAACATGAATCAATGAGTGTTTGGCTGAGCGTGGGACGCATATTCCCATTTAATGGACAGAAAGATTAATAACATTGGAATTATGAGCGCATAAGAAAACATAAGCGAAGTTTAAATAAATAATCGAAACAAGCAATGGCGTTTGCCTCTCAGAGATATCCGACTTTTTTTTTTGCTTTCGTGCATTTGCTTTTTTATTTGATGTCGTCGTTGTCGCAACTATTCACCCTGAAAGAAAATATATAAAAGACTGGCATTTTCATTCACTGTCGCAGCCGCACTGAAACGGAAGTAAAACAGAGCATATTTTTAGCAAAGGGTTCAGAAGCTCACTTGAATTGTTAGCACTAGTTATTTCTTTTTTTTTTCATTTTGCGCATCTCAAACTCAATCCACTAAATTAATAGATTTTTTTTTTCTCATTCTTTCTTTCAGCTAAACTTTCACAACAATGAAAAAAATAAACCGATCACTGGAGCTAATTTGTTGCAACGACATTCCATTAATTCGTTATTGGAACAACAGGATTTAATATGGTCACCAAACATCGATGGTGAGTACGGTTGGAAAGACGTTTATGTTTTTTATTTGTTGATTCTTTGATTTTTTTTTTTGCATCATTGTAATTTCGTTATTGTTTCGCATTCAAAAGTAAATCAAACGATATACGGTTGAGGGAGCATTTGTGTAATGTTTGGGTTAACGTCTGGGCCTCTTAGTCCATATCAATCGTGTTGCTTCTAATTTTTTTTTTTTTCATTTTTCATACATCGTTGTGTTGATGCGACTCACCAGAGATTTCTTCTCAAATACGAGGAAAGAAAAAAACAAAAAAAAAAAAAACAAGGTCGATGCATCGTTTTTGTTGCATTTCATTTTCCTTCCAATTTCCGTATTTTGTACAATGCGTTTTCTCCGGTTTTTTCTTCGCCTCCTCTGCTTTTGCTATGAAAGAATGTATTTGCTCTGCTTACTCTGTGTTCAATAACCATCATAACAAACAATTTTTTTTTGTTGCTTCTTCTCACTGTTTGTGTGTGTGTGTGTGTGCGTGCTGTTTTAATAAATACATTTAATTAAAGCGATGCCCATTCAGCTACTCAGAATTGGTAAGATGATGTGTAAGAAAAATGCACACACAAGATCGGTTTTAGTTTAGTTTTTTTTTTCTAATGCTACTAATTAACATTAATAATTTTGTTTTTTGTTTTGCTTCTTTTGTATGTTATACGGCTCTTTGTTGCTGAGCATGTTAACACTGAATCAGTCATTTGAATCGGGCTACAGTAAAATTGGCGTCCATCCTGAACGCATAATCACCACGCAAACACACCTAAAATACCCAAGCACAATCATGCGATTGTCGATGATGATAAAAAGAAACAGAGTTAACGCATACACGGTATCGCGTACTCACTTCGCGCTACTAGCAAATCATCACAAGAATATTCGCATTTGAATTGGCGTTCTCTGTTATATACCATTTTTATTTCGGTTGCTCTTTTACCAACCATTCGGAATTGGTCATGCTGCGTGTAAAAACTCATATTTTACTTCCGAAGCCAACTGTAAAGAGAATGATGAGGGGCAAAAAAAAATATAACATTGTTTTTTTTATTGTGTTTACAGATTAATAACGGCAAATGCTATCCATCTCTTTTTATTGTTATCTACCACCTTTTTAAACTTACTCGTTTACAACGCTTCGAAATGAATGAATGAAACCACTCACACTGATGTGGTTTTTATGCAAATTTATTTCGTTTTTCTCTTAAGCCCAATAATCACATGCACTCGCAGAACAAAATGCAGTGAAATCGAACCTAATTCATAATTCATCATCAGATCTTACATATGATCTAATTATTACTGACCACCCGATTAATGACTTCGTTGGATGAACATTACGCGCAAAAGCGACGTTTTAGTTTTTTTTATGGTTTGCAACAGTTAAAATTGTCGACTAACTCTTTTTTTACATTCCAAACCATATCGCCAAAATGAAATATGAGTGGCAAGATATGTTTTGTTCACATATAGAGTTAGTTGCAAAGATCCGAAAATGTTGTGCAAGCCATTTTCAGTTGTGACTAAAATGAAGTGCACAACGAATCCCGATGAAAAAAAAAGAAGAATTCAACGATGCAATTCTTGGAAAAGAAAACGTTTTCTCGTTTTGTGCATTTTTCTTATAATCCTTCTCCTTCATTTATCAGAAGAAATGTCAGATCGAATCAATTATTTTTCTTTTCATCTTCGAATCAGCGGTCAGGAACCAATCTTAAATAATCATTGAATCGAATTGAACATTTCACAATATCTGACCATGACATTTTCTAATTGTGCCTATTTCGAATGATTCAACATGTGATTTTAACATTTCAATGGTTCAAATTGTGAAGACGAGGTGGAAAACAAAAATGAAAGAAAGATTAAGCAATAAAAGAAGATTGAATGCAATTCGATTGATAAAAGTGACTTTACTGGATGTGACAAGATGAAATGATCAAACAAGCGATTGTTGATTGTTACAAATGCGATACACTGATATCCAATGGAAAACGATTATTGGTTGTATTGAGGAGTGTCTTTTCTCAATCAAGTTCGTATAATGGCTCTCAATTATTTTCGATGAATTATGGCCGATAAGTGCTTGTGAAAAGTGATCTGATTGTGTCGATTATATTCATTGTTAAATAATGGCACTGGCACACAAACAGAGACACATGCACAATTGAACTGTTACTCTCAATCTGTTTTCTTGTTTATTTGATTAATTTTTTTGTGTTTGGTTTTCATCATTTTCCGATTTAGGTGAGTCGATGGCTATGTCAGGAATCTATGGCCTACGCAATTCATTATCCGAATCAAACTCATCACTGTCGAATTCATCTATGAATGGCAGTTGCATTGGTACATTTGCTGGTACAACGCCCACTGGTAGCAGTCCCGACGATTCATCGCTTCAGCTAAGTGCAAGCTTGACATCGAATCCATACTCCCAGTTAACATCAGTGTCGTTGTCTTCCAATGGATCGTTGAACACACCGATCAAGAATTTCGACAATTTGCAGGTATGGCCTTTATGCTATTGCGGTGTGGTACAATCTAATCATTTCAATCATTTTCCTGTTGTGCAATGGCCCAATATGCATTCCATAAAGTGTCATCAATTGTTTGTGTGCTTTCAATTTCGTAGATGCATCGAAGGTTGGCTAATAAACTAACATATGTTTCATATGATGTATTCACACTTCGACAAGAGCATTGAGCTAGTTTGTTTGTCAACTTCGTTTCTTTCGCTTGAAAAAATTTATTTGAACATTTTTCGATTTGTTTTTTTTTTTTTTTGGAGCAACAGAAAATTCACATCACTTCAATTACACTCTGCCATTTTCTGTGCAATTGCACTCTCGCACCGTGTGGCAAGAGAGATGGGAAAGAGAGTTAAATTTGTTGTTGTTGTTATTATTGTTGCTCTTGTTGGAAAGCGTGTGGCTTCCTTGTTCATATGATGCAATCGATCGAAATGTATCAACGTGCGGTTGATACAAGTGGGCCTCTGATGAAATGTGCGCATATAGTTAACTTATTCGGCACGAGAACATTTCACGGCATATACATGTGTATACTACGTAAAAAATGACATTGTAGCAGGCACATATGATATGCACTTCAGATATAAAACAATACTTTTGCCATTGCTCCTGTTCAAATAGTTGGTTTGATAGACGCACAATACACATCATTTCATTCAGCGATAACAAAAAAAAATATATAAAATAAAATAGAAGAAAATTTCGTATAAACATAGAGAGAAAAGAGCACAGTAACAGTAACACCCACAGCAAACATATCAACGTGCACACACACATATACACAACAATTCGTTCGTTTGCCTGCTATCAAACGATGTATGCATTTCACGGCGAACATTTATTTTGCATCAAGATGTGTGCTCAAAATTGACAGTGATTGAATCCTGAAAAATCTCTCAATAGATTTGCAATTCTACGGGCATTGAATATGCGCTCGAATATCGGTAATATGAAAGTACAATGAAATTGAAATTATGTGCCCCAACAATAACACCAACAACACTAAACATATTTATCCAAATACTAAAGTTTCCATTTATTAAATACTGATATGAAATTTCACAAAATGAAAATAACTCACTTCCATTTTGTATCACAGTTTTTTTTTCACAACCGCTTGTTGCATTCTCTCTACTCCTTTTTTTTCATCTGCAGTTTGATAGCATTGATGGGAACACACCTTTGAAAATTTTTCAAAGGACCCCAAACTATGAATGTTCTACACCAATGTCACCGACGGCACCTTCTTCGACGCAACAATACCCCCGGAACTATCGTGGGTCTGCTTTGTTTAGGTGAGTAGAGTACATATGGTGGAAAAAAACGTACTGTTTTTTTTTTACTTTCATTACAAATTCAATTTTATCACTTGCAAACGAAATTTGATTCGAATGAAATTCACAGAGATACCTCCAGTCCGATCACTCCGTTAAAATCATTGGATTCGCCGCTTCTCTATGGTTATAAATCGGCTAATAACTCCGAAAGTAGCAGCAGCAACAGCAGTGGAAATTCACCAAATAATACATCCAACTCAGAAAATCTCAATTTGATTGACCTTATCGTGAGTACCGTATAAAGTGTTCCAATCCGTTAACGAAAATTGAAATAAATAAGAAATCAGTCGATGGAAAATATGAAACAATTAAAAATATCAACTTTTGTTCGATTTAATTTTATCAATTTATAGAACTATTTTGCGGCCAATAATAATAATAACAACGCCACTGAAACGATGCATTTCAAGAACAGTTTGAATCAGTTTTCGCAAAATGATTTGCAAACGTTAAACGCATTGAAATTCATTCAACAAAATCAACAGAATACACAACCCCAGTTCTATGCACAGCATCAGTCGCCACATTTGTCAAATTACTCATCGAATGGAGTAATGACACAAACTTCACGTCAAATACTTGGTCTAAATCAACTGTTGCAACCCGACTGCAATTCGAATCACTTAAAGAATTGGCAAAACATTGCCATGGGCAATAATAATAAAAACAATAACATCAACATCAACGACACGCACTTGGACCGAGCTGCACGATTCCATCGATCATCGGCTGCACTTTGTACGTTTTTCTTTTAATTTATTTTTTAAGCTTGACAAATATCAAAAGGAAATGTATCGTTATTTTGCCATACAGATGATGCCACTTGTACTTGGAGTGGATTTTTACAACCACGTGTACACAAAGTGGTCAACTATTCGCCGAAAGTATTTTTGGGTGGTATTCCATGGGACATCAGTGAACAATCATTGATACAGATTTTCAAACAATTTGGACCAATCAAGTAAGTGTAATTTTTTATTTTATCTTTGACATTTTCCCATGTTATTTTATTTCGTTGAATGGACACAGAGTTGAATGGCCTGGTAAAGAAAATCAAGCTGCACAGCCCAAAGGTTATGTATACATAATCTTTGAATCGGAAAAACAGGTTCGTGAATTGTTGAATGCGTGCACAATTCAAGATGGAAATGATGCCAATTCGGGCAATTATTATTTTAAAATATCTTCGAAACGGATTAAGGCCAAAGAGGTATACAAAAAAATTTCAATTTCTTTTTTCACCTGCAAATGCTTTTATAATTTCGTTGCTTGTGCGTACGCACACACCTCAATAGGTTGAAGTTATTCCATGGATCATTGCTGATTCAAATTATGTAATTCCAACATCGCAGAAGTTAGATCCCAGTAAGACGGTATTTGTTGGTGCACTTCACGGAAAATTGACAGCCGATGGCTTGGCAAAAATCATGAATGATCTTTTCGATGGTGTTGTTTACGCGGGTTTGTTTTATTTTTTCAATGACAATATCAATTATAATTCTATCTTTCTGAAAATAAAAACAAAAAAATAATCGTTTATGTGACAGGCATTGATACAGACAAGCACAAATATCCGATTGGATCGGGACGTGTGACATTCAATTGCAATCGTTCGTACATGAAAGCGGTGGCTTCGGCGTTTATTGAAATAAAAACGACCAAGTTCACAAAAAAGGTGCAAGTCGATCCATATTTGGAGGATGCACTATGTTCGATGTGTGGTCTTCATCATGGTCCATATTATTGTCGTGAAATGTCATGTTTCCGGTAAATTTATTGATCGAATTATGTGAGTGATTGTGTTTTGTAAGTGGTTTAACCATTTTATCGTTTTAACACACAGCTACTACTGTCGATCATGTTGGCAATGGCAACACTCATCGGATCCATCGTTGCAAAATCACAAGCCATTGACTCGAAACTCAAAATCACAACAGCTTATTGGACTTGGACCACAGAATGTATCATCCCCCGTCAACAATACTAACGCTTCATCGAATTACTACTGCTAAAGTAGAAGTTTTTACGCAGTTTTGCAAAAACCATTCATTTATCGCTCTTAATTATTATTTATGATTATTATAAATCATTCTTATTGTTCTTATCATCATTTATTATTATTGTTATTAATTTTTTTTTCTGTTTTAAGTCTTCATTTAAATGATCGTATTAATTTTTTTTTTGATCACACAATCGTGTTCTGTTATTAAGCAAACAGCTTCTTGTTTTTTTTTTTTGAATATTTCCGTATCAAAGTGAATTAAAAATTGGGACACACATTTTCTGAAAAAATGAACGTTTAACAATTGAACAGATGAACAAAAGAAATGAAATTTATAAATCACGCTACAATTAACATGCAATAACAATTTAGATAAATAACCAAACTCATGTACTTAAATGAAATGAAATCAAATATGCAACAAACAAATATTGCAGAGAAATGAAAATGATAAGATTAAAATCGACCGAAAACACTATTATGAAAAGAGGTAATAAGTCAATAAGAGAAAAATTTATCTCCTCTCAAAATGTTAAGTATAACCAATGAAAACAAACAAAAAAAAAAACAATTTGTAAAATGAATACACATCACCACACAATTTATTGTAATCCGATTTGAATACAATACAAATAGTAAATGTTTAACTCAAGCGTAGAATTTACAACAACAAAAAAAAAAAAACAATTTAATGAACTGCAATATACAAGAAGAGCAAACTCAAATTACTCAACTTCTGACGTGGAAGGAAACTCCAACCGCGCCAATTTCCAAAATAAACAAAAAAATAAGACTATATAGAATATAGATGGATATTATTGGAAATTGCGGCAGATAATTTCTTTTAGTTTTAATTTATACCTCTGTTTAAGAATATACCCAATTACTTTTAATGTCCCTTCCCCATCATTTTTCAAAGCAAATGTCTATGATGTTATTATATTCTCAAATGAAAAAAAAAATGAAGAAAATGAAACAAAAACCAAATTAAAGCAGCGCACCACAATTATTTATATTTCATATTTATAATTTAAGTGATCGATAAACAAAAAGATGCTCCCAAAGATGAAAAAAAGCAACATACAACAATAACAACAACAACAACAAAAGTGAATATGATAAGGATTTTAAACAAAAAGACAGTACCCAATCCAAAGATTTTTTTAAATTTATTTAAAAACGATGAAAATGCTTCCATCCCATCATGTGAAAAATGAAAATGATCAACAACAACAACAACACACACACACACACATTTTATCTTTTAAACTAACACATCAAACACTTCGAAAGTGAATCGATTCGTGAATGATTTTATTCGATTTCTGTGCTAAACTGAAATGAATTATATATTTTAAACCTATTCTAACTACTTTTATACCTGTATTTAAATTTGAATGTTTATCGAATAAGTTTTCTTCAATATTGTACATACAACACAAAAATACGTTTGAAGATTTCTGTCTATTTGCGAAGACATTAAATTATTTTTTAAAAGAAACAACAACAACTAAAAGAAAACATAAACACTAGTGAAATTGCTTTGCCTGTATAATGGCTCAATAGCAGCAACAAACATAGAGCTTCAGCACTATTATTTTAGATTTGAGCAAAACAAAATAACATATGATTAAATCTCTCAAGATTTAAATTTAAAAACAAAAACAAAAAAATGAACAAAAAAACAAACAAACAAATTTCGTTATCTATTCTAGGTTTTGTTTTTTGAACTCTCTATTTTAGCATTTCATGTGTGTAGCTTTCTCTCTATTTTTCATTCTATCTTATAACGGGGTTTTGTTCTAAAAACGCTTTTTTAAAAAAAAATTATGCAAGGAAATTATTTATTATTTAATATGACACAACATATTTTTTTATATATTCATATATTTAACGTTAATTTATTCCCAAATTAATATTGTTTTAATTGAATGCACAAGTTGAAGCAATTATTTTATGCATTTTCAAAACAACGATTCACAGATCAATTCTTTTTTTTTATTTATTTATTTGAATCATATTCATAAATAAAGAGGTTCAATAGAAATATATTTCTTTTTTAATAAATTTATTTTTAAAGAACTCGAAAAACCATATTTATAATTTCCAATTCCATCTATTCGATACTTGAATACCTATCCAAATCAAAAAAAAAAAAAAATCTAAATTTAAAAGAAAATCAAATAAATTGCCTTGATTTCATACACAAGATGCAAATCCATTCCATTTCCTTGAACAATTGTTGTCAAATGTGCTGAATAGAAAATGAACAACGCCTAAGTAAAATGAATTCAAGGAATAACAAAAAGAATTATAAACACAAAAAAATTTGCGCTGCCTTAACCATACCAGTACAAATCTTGGCTCTTTATTTCCACATAACGAAAAAAAAAACATGTAATTTAGGGATCATTCACACATTTAAAACAAAATCAAACAAAAAAAAAACCAAGTGCAATCAATCTCATAAATGTATATAATTGAGAATGAGTTTGCTTCTTAGTTACTCAGTCCTCAATCCAAGCACACACACACATACATACATTACATATATGAAAGAATACTGGCAACCCTTTGAAACTCGGTCCAAGTTGAAACAAAAATTAAATAAACACAAAAAACAAACCAAGATAGAAGCAAATTAGAAAAGAAATAATAAAGCAATTTAACGAGTTAAATGCTCATTTAGCAATCCAAAGATTGAAATCACCTTTTGTATGACCACAAACACACAAATGTAAACACAACATTTTTGCCTATTGAAAAGTAGTTTGTGAGACAATTACAAACGAAGCATTTGTAAGCTTTATTAGTCGGATTCTATTTTTGATGACAAGAAATTTTTTTAATCCCATTTTTGGATGCAATTAAGTGCATCAGCTGTTTCCTTTCAAAAAACAGAAAAAAACCTGGTTTCATTTTTTTGGGCCGCTTACCAAAGTACACACCAAAAGTAGAAGAAAAAAAAACATACACAATAACTAAACCAAAAAATGACAAAGAAGATGATGAATTCAACATCTATGAATACCTCTTTTGAGTATACGTAACTAACCTCCACGAAGTACATGCGCTTCGATATTTTATAGAAATTTTCCCAATTTCAGTTTTAAATAATTTTTACAAATTAAATAACGTTTATTTGTTTATTTTAAATTTTCGTTTTGTTTTGATTTCGCACAGTATGGAGAAATCTATAAGTGTTTGATTGTTGTTTATTTTTTCGCATTGAAGTTTTGCAAACCAAAAAGAAAAAAAGAGAATGTTTTGCAATTACCAGGGGCAATAATTTTTCGTGCTAAGTTATATACTGAAAATTGTTCATAAGAAATGATGGCAAATAGCTTTTTAGTTTAATATATTAGATTTTTGTTCGTTGAATGTAGTTAACGAAATTCATAATATCATGACAATATTCGACTAAGCCTATAGCAGCAAATAGCATTTAAATATTTACAATTATTTTTAATACGGCGATAAAAAAAAAAACAATACGTTCTCTGTCGTGCATGGCGCGTCGAGTTTATTATTATTATTAATAAATTTTGTTGTTTTTGTTTTCTTTTTTATTTTTGAATGAAAATCCAACGGATTTTGAATGTCAAATATGTAAACGGATTGGATAATAATTAACATTGATATTAGGTTTTTTTCGTTTTGTTTTATATATTTTTTACGCAATATTGGAATGAAACGAAAATTTTGAAAGAAAAAAACAACAACAACATTGTTTTGTTTTCATCACACATATTATCACACAAGTTCAATAAATAAAATATCTATGTATTTAAATAAACGATAATGTGTTTTAATTAATTTGTTGTCAAAGTAAAACTGTGCCATTCAAAAAAATAATATATAGTAAAGTCGTTGCACAAACAATTTTTTTTATTAAAAAATATTTTTTTCTCACAATAAACAATTTCAATCAATATTGAACCACTTTTGGTTCTTTTAATAAACACACATAAAAAAAACAACAACCCTGAATTTTACCAACTACAAATAATTGAACATAATTTCAAACAGCACATTAGTTCAAGCTTCATAGGCACGGAATTTCTAATATTTTTTTCATTTAATATTAAATGTTCGCCAGCGAACGATTTAGTTCTTTTTCAGTTTTTTCTTGGCAAAATATTGATAAATACCAATCATTGCAGATAATGTACCAAGTGCACCGACATGCCAAGTTTTTAATTTTCCACCCCAGAACCAACCTTTTGGTAATGTTGATACGGCATGAGTTAAATCAACTGAAAGACGAATTACGGAAATCAATTCCATTCGTTGTCGTGCCAACAATGCGGCCAATGTAACTCTAATGGATGGAAAACATGTTTATTTACTAAATTAATATAATGAATAAAAAAAAAGTACTTTATATGTAACGATACATACTGAACTGGAGTATCTGCCCTTTCTAAACAATGTTTATGCTGTTCCATCAGAATAATACACCGACAAGTTCTGTCAACAAACAATATAATTGATTAATATTTGAGAAAATGAGTTCAATACGAATGTGAGCGTTACGCATGTACCTCATTAAATTCAAATAAATTGATGACACCCAAAATATTGAGCTAATTGTATCCCATCGATCTGGGTTTTCGACTGTTAAACACTTATGCTCTGCTAACCAACATATTTTCTCAACTGGATAAAATAGATGATCGACTGTATTTGTAATTACACCGATAATTGATAAAGCCGTATCCGATTCCTGTTCGAAAGTTATTTAACCAAAATAGAACTGCATTAAATTATGTAGTTTGTGTTTGCATTTATCGCATGTCGTAAGTTAATCGCATAATCGATATAAATATATGTTTTGATAGTTGTTTTACTTTACCTTTGAGCCAAGTCCATATTCAAGGGTATGCTGTAGCATTGGAATGTCATCGATAAGCCGTAATGTGGCCCGAGCTCCCGATATTTTTGAACTTATTGTTGCGAATCGTTTGGCCAGATCAGGATTCTTGTCGACATTAAGACCGGCCGCTAATTTTGCCGAATAGCACAGAATTTTCATAACCTTAAATCAAAATTCAAAGTGGACACGCATCATTAAAGACGTGGTACGCCAAATATTTGAATTTCATTGTTTAATGACCGGTTTCAATACAATGCGTACACGAATACAGGTTTTGATTTGGCAAAAGTGAAAGTATACGAAAGTCATATTTCAAATATATCCAAATCAATATTAGTGTGCAATGTTTAAGAAAATAAAAATTAATCTTGAAAGATATCATTCATTATCTATTAATTTACAAAGACAATAAACAAATAATAATATGTTTACCTTATCACGTCCGCCGTATGTGTCCAGCATATCACACACTTCATCCAAATAGACTTTTAATGTTTTTTCTTTCATTCTGTTGATGTAGTTTGCTAACTTTATCGAGAGTAAAAATTTCCAACAAAAAAACAAAATAATATTCACAAAATGTTGTGGACGAAATCACTTTTAACTTGAGCAGAGTCAACGGATACAAACCGAATCATTGAGCTTTGAAACGAGTTATATTGACGGTGTATCAACTAATAACTTGTCATTGTCGCGCTATTATTATTCTTTCGTGTGTCAGCACAAAATAATAATAAGACAAAAAAAAAGAAACGAAATAAGAAATGGAAATAAGAACGAAACAAAACTAAAATCTCATACAATGACGATGAGACCAAATTTGAATGAATTGTAAGGTATATTTTATTGCTATTGCCGTCCTTATTGATGGAATTCGACAATACACTTGCTGCTCATAATGTTTTGACTTGTTGATAGAAATTGATAGATTGTATGTTGCAACACCGATATTTTCCGTCGCACACATACATATGGCTGCGACAAAACCAACAACATTACTGTAAGTCATAGTGTCCGGAGTGACAGTAAAAGAGAATCTGTATTATCGTCTCGATGTCAATGTTTGGTTCAACTGTCAAAATTGTATTCGCCTGCTAGCACAGCGGTATAAAATACACTGTGTGTACGAAGTAGTGAAGTTTTGTTGAAACGATGAAAATGATGCATTGGCAAAAGTGGAATTTACATTGAGAATTTGTATCAAAATTGTTTCATCGAACGTTTCATTTATGTTTGTAGATAGGGATAGTAAACATTTTCAAGTGATTTAGTTGTGGGAATTTTATTGTTGTTGCTTTTACGGTGGCAATGTTAGAAGAATGGCCGAGACATCAAAACGAACGACAAACAATAGTGCAAGCAAAAGCCGAAAATCCAAAAACGATATTATAAGATCGACATTAGGAACATATTTAAAGCAGAAAAACTATTCGGTAAGCGTGATAAGTCAATAAATTGGCAACTTTTTGAATGCATTTAATGGTCAGTTTGTGTTATGACGCACACCTAACCTCAACTCAAACCAAAATTGAAAACGATTGTTTGGATATTGTGCGTATGTGTTTTTATGGTGTAATTGTTTTCAACATATTTTGTCGTCTTTTGTTTCGGCTTGTCACTTCTCATAGATGAATGAAAAATTTCGGAAATCGGACTTGGCTCTGACACAAACCATGGATCAATACGATGTTACGATGATGATGGATGATGATGTTGCTAAAGTGAATTCAATTTTATATTCGAATGTTTTAAGCCTAAGCAATAATCAATCAACAGTTGAGCTTCAGTTTTCCAAGTAAGTGTTCAATTTCAATGATTTATTTTATCGGATTCATTTGCCAAAGCTTAAGAAACAAACAAATTCATGTTTCAACTGCTGTGTTTACAGATTCCATAAATTTGTTCAATCACAAACTGTACCTGCGGTGAAAGCTGAATTGCAAACAATATTATGGCCGTTAATGTGTCATATTTATATAGAAATGATAAAAGGAAAAGAATCACGACCGGCCGCTGAATTTCTGCGGAAATATGCATATCTCATTGGTCCAATAGAAAGATCATGCCCGGTTGTGAACGAAATGAATGGCCAAACGCACGGCAATCAAGCACAATTCGAACAAATGCAAACCGATACACAACGCAAAGATATTACTAGTCCACCATTAACGACACAAATTATATTCGCTAATGAAGATACGGCCGATATAATGCGAACAAAATCAACACCAACATCGTCGTTAAATGCCCGAAAAAATGACATTGAATTAAATTCAAATGAAATGAGCGATTATTTCAAAGAGCTAGTCAGTTCGTTGTCGCTGTGCCTTCGCATCGATGAAATTAGTTCAATTGATATAACGCGAAATTTTCGCTCGGCCAAATATGAAATGATTTTGTCCCTCCAGGCGTTATATGCCATGAAACATTTTTTAGCAAAAAGTGGCCACGTTATCATTTTGCACATTCTACAAAATTGGTTTTCACTCGAAATTCGTGAATATCTCAACGAACTGGAACATGACAGTGATGAAGATATGGATGATGTAGATGATATCGATGGCAATGAACAGATATCAAATAATGGTATTGAAAATAATGGAAGTGATTTACCGGCACATAGTGATGATGGTGAAGAATTTGATTTTCGTGACACAAATTGTCGGCTGAATAATTCGCATAGCGAAATACGAAATTTAATTGCAAAAGTTGAATCGGAAATACGAACGGTTAATGGTATGAATAAATCAATATCAAGTATAGGCAGTGGTGATACGGGCACCAAAAATCGTGCCGATTCATTTCCAACATTATCGTTGGCCGATTGCCTTCCAACTGTAACGCCCGATCGCAAAAGCTTTACTGTAGTACAAAATAAATATTTACAAAATATTCGAGCGTCGGTGATTCGTTCGCATAAGCTTGAGCTACCGATGCGAGTGTTCAATGTGCTTAATGCCGATCATCAGCTTAGTTGTTGTGATGTGGACAAAGATGAATGCCATTTGGTGTGCGGTTTTGATGAGTCCACCATTAAATTATGGCAATTGAATCAAAGTAAATTGCGCGGCCGTAGACCGTTTAGCCCATTTTCGAATCGATTGTGCGATTGGTGTTTGGAAAATTGTGAAACATCATCATCATCGTCAGAAATTGACAGCGATGATGATACATCGAATGTACAACGAAGAAAACGACAACCAGTTATGGGATTGTTTGCACGACAACGAACCAAACAACCAGATGAGCATGGAACCGAAGTTACAGGACCAAAACGGAAAAGCAAAAGAGATCAAAGACAAGAATTTATGAAACAACGACACGACGATAACATTTTGTGAGTATGATTTTTGTTTGGCTCGACGGGATCGATAGAATGCACGAATTTAAACGAAAAATAACATTTTAAAATTTTGATATTCATTCACTCTCTCTTCTTTCTTTTTTTTTTGTATTTTTTTATATATTTAGTATGGATGGAGGTTGTGTTGCATTGCGCGGTCATAATAAAGGTGTGACGGACATTTTGTTTTCGAAATATAATCCATTAATCTTTAGCGTATCGAAAGACAATACGATGCGAGCGTGGAAAGCGATAGATTATCGCTGTGGCGCTGTGTATCGGTAATTGAAAATTGCATTCAAATCATTAAAATAAAAACATCATCAGATCGTATTAACTTGATGGCTTTATTTGCAGTGGTCATAATTATCCAATTTGGTGTGTAGCTGAAAGTTCAACGGGACTGTATTTGGCAACAGGTTCACGTGATTTAACTGCCAGACTATGGTGTACCGATAGAGAGCATCCACTCCAAACATATGTTGGACATACTCAAGACGTAGACGTGCGTGAACATATTTAGTGTATTTTTTTCGATTTTTTGTAAATTTAATAAATTTTGGTCTTTTTGAATTAGGCAATTGCATTTCACCCAAATGGAAATTATATTGCAACCGGTTCGACTGATTTAACGGTTCGTTTGTGGGATGTGACGAGTGGAAAACTGTTACGCGTTTTCATCGATTGTCATTTACCAGTACATTGTGTTAGCTTTAGTCCGGATGGTCGATTGTTAGCAGCGGGTGGTGAAGAGTCGAAAATTCGTATATTTGATTTGGCAGCCGGTTCGCAGCTTAATGAATTAAAAGATCATTCGGCAGATGTAAACAATATCGTATGGAATTCAACCGGTTCAAAATTAGCATCGTGCTGTGCGGACGGTTCAGTACGCGTTTATTCAGTAAACAAAATTGCACAAAGCGCGTAAGTAGTGTTTCGATTTCGAATCAACGTTTTATTTTTTCGTTGCTAAAAATAATTCATTTATTATGCATCGCTTAAATGTTATGGTTTGTTTTTCTTTTTTTCGTGTTTAGTTCCAATTCAAGCTCTCATACTCCAATGGCAAGCACATCAACATCATCGTCATCAAATAGTAATAGTAATAAATTATTGATCTCAAATGATACGGGTTGCAAGCGAGCGCTCAAAGTGTTTTTCAATTTTGACGATACCATTTCGTGCATTGGGAGCTCTTGAAACGCACAAACGTGTACCGTCAACATCTCGCTCAAGCATCAAAATTCGCGCATTTTTTTCAAACAAATGAATCAATAAAAATTCAAATTAGAAAACAGAATTGTGTGTTTGTTAATTGGGTGATTTTCTAACAGTGTTTTCAGTCATCATTTACCCATGGATCATCCATATCTCTTCACAATGTACGTATTCAATTTGTTCACTCATGAAAAGAGGTAAAATGTTTCTTTTTTTTTTCTAAATCAATTTTTAATATTCAAAAATGTTGTATTTAAATAATATAGTATTCCACAATAATTTTAAGAGAAAAAATGGAATTATGAAAAGATACACAGAAAAGTAGGAAAACGAACAAATAAATTATAGAATTTAGAAAAAAAAAGAGTAAATAAATTGTATAGATTGTATAGATGGATTTGTTGTTTATCGCCTCATTCTGCCTTTCAACAGCTGTAAAGTTTTAGCCATAAGCGGTGCTTTCTTTGGCTTAAAGGCCATATTTGATGGCTGCGCTTGTGCTGTATCTCTCATTGATGTCGTTGTCTTCAATCGAATATCGCCGGGTCGGGTGATATTCGATGCAACTGAACTAAGTGCATCAACTCGTGCAGCTGGTGTTGCGATCGGTTTACGGTGCGTTCCAAATTGATTTTGTTTTTTTATTATGTTTCGTGGTGGCTTAACCATGCTGTCCACATATGCCAATTTGGTTTGACGCACCGGAATTGCAACCGATTGTGATTGTATGATATTTTTCGTAAGCCGATTTAATCGTGCCTCTTGTTCACTCTGACATCGATCATACATTTCACGCCATGTTTCCATCTCTTGACGTTTGTACGCCTTAAATTTACGTTGGCAATGTTGTTGCCAAAGTATATCGCTGTCATTCACCAAATATGGATTATAATGTTCAAATAATGCCAATTGCTCGGGCGTTGCACGCTCAAGTACGGGCTTTAAAATCTCAAATGGTACACCGCCGGTATATTCGAGGGCATCAACATTTTTTTGTAGAAAACGTATACATAATTCATGTAATGATGGAACGGTTAATAATACACCAGTTTTAACACCTGAATAGACTTTGGTGCGCTGATTTTTCGATGTTGTGCTTGCGCATAATGAATCAGTTTCACTTAACATTGTAATTGGTTGGGATTTTGTTCCTTTATATAAACAATCCAGAATCATTGGATTGAGCGGCGTTGGTTTATAATCGTTTGATATAAAAAATTCGCTTGGCGGCGGCAAATCCTTTGCTAAATCAATTTCAAGTGGAGGTAATTTAGGCTTTTGCAATAGTAATGACGGTGTTGATGATGTCTTCGACCGTGATGATGAACTTATTGAGGCTTTTGGTTTTTCATTAGTTTTGATCTTACTCTGGCTACTTTGGTTACTCTGGCTACTAAACGACGACGTTGATGATTTTGGGCTTACAATTTTACTTAACGACTTTCCACTCGTTGAAGATGATGACAATGAAGTTGAAGCCTTGCCAGAAAGACTTGGCGGCGGCGCTAACATTCCTGCAATTCGATTATAAAACACACACAAACATCAGAAAAATATTTATCGAAAATTACTTCTACTACTTAAAAGAATGATATAAGTTTTTCACGTTTTACTATGTTTCGTTCGTACCTAATGCATCTGCAAAACTCGTGCCCATTGAATGATCGATTTCAATTCCATCGTCAACGTGCTTAAATGTCGTTTTGGTTGTTTTTTTCTCATCATTTTGTGATGACGATGATGTGGAATCACTCTTACGCTTTTTTGATGAACTGGACGTGTGATCCGATTCACGGGATCGCTTATGCTTACTCGAATGCGATTTATGATGTTCTGAATGTTTATCTTTGCTTGAACTCTTATGCTTTTTATCACTATATTCATCGCCATTGTGTTGAATTTCATGCCTGGCGTTGAAAATAGAATGCATTAATACAAAAGGTACAACGTCAACAAACTCCAAAATATTCTTTCACTGAAATGTCAATGTAGAGTTTGGTCACTAACGCAGTTGACGTTGTTTTTGCTATGGAGTCCATATGCTTATGTGTATCGTCAGAACCCTAACTATTTTGCGGCACTGTTCCAAAAATCATGGGTGCATCAAAATTCACCCTTGAGGTGGTTACCTAACCCAATTAAGTCCCAAAAATCAGTAATGACTGTTATCATTTGACATCTTCTCTATATTGACTTTTCAGTGAGTATTTTGAATTTGTAGGCATGCTGTTCTGTGAATAACCGAATTAGTACTCGATTTCTCAATTGTTATGAGAATATCGACTAATGTGGGATCTTTTTTATCTAACTACTAATAGTGATTTGCATCCCAAATGAAACTCTTTTATATACCTAGACCGATGATGACGATCATCTTTGCTATGATGCTTCGAACTCATTTTATGCCGAACATGTTCACCACTACCACTACCATTGCTTTCAGCTTCGTGTTCTCGTTTGCTTGAGTTACCGCTGTTATCGTTGTGTGAATGTGATTTTTGTTTGTGTTTTGAATGTGCTGAATGCTCTTGAGTATCGTCTGATGAATACTGTCATAAATGTAGAGATAAAATTGTTGATTAGATTTTTTTTGCATATTTTCAATTTGAAACAATGTAAAACGGAAGAGAGATCAATAGAATGTATTGGATTTTAGTTCAAAATCACCGCACCATATAACGCGATGTAATAAATGTCTTTTCTTTGAACCATATCCAATAATTGTCTCTATGTCTGATTTGATGAATTTGAAAAATGTGCTTTTCACTAATGAAAATATTTGATAATATTTAAGATTTTCAAATCAAAGAAGACTGCCTGAAAATGAGTGAATTACCTTTCTTTGATGACTGTGTGTCTCGTTCATTTTTTCAGGTGAACGATGCCCATGATGTGCATATTGATGATTATGATGACTATTATTATTGTTATGATGAATATTATTACTGCTGCTACTACTACTACCATTTTTAGTCGTGTGCTCATGAGTTTTGTGTGATTTCCTTTCACTACGGCTTACTGAGTGTATTTCCGTATTGCGAGTATCATCATCATCATCATTATTATCATCGTAATTCTGGTCATCTTCATTGTATTCATCTGGAGCATTCTCTTCACCGCTGCCACTATTGTTCACCATATCTTTCCATTTGGCGACAAGTGCTTTTGCCGCTTCTCCAACTTCACCATCATCTTTCCGTAGACTATTCACCGTTTTGCCGATTTTCGTCAATTGTAAATGCTTAACGGTCACCTGCATCCGATTCAATTTTCCAATGCAATGTAATATCTAATGCGAATAATTCATGTAAATTAGGTATTAAGGTTATGTTTCATTCTGACATTATTCTTTTGAGAATCTTAACAAATTACAATAAAATGATTGGAATAGTGAATTTTTGTGTCTATTTCGAGTCGAAATTTTCATTGAGGAAAGAGAATCTTACCCTCTTTGGATCGTGCTGAGACTTATCGATACTGCGTTGATAGTGACGGATCATGTCTTCTATCGTCATTTTTGTTGATGCATTCGTCATTCTACCAATTTTCTGCAAACCGTTAGCACTGTGGTAAATCACAAACGAATTAATCAATCGATGAATTGATTTTACGTATATTAAAAACGAGTTATTGACTATTTAGAAAACATCGTCAAATTTACGGCTAATAAAACAAAACAAATAAATTTCAAACTATTCTTACACCAAAAAATAATAATGGATATTTGATTAGGCTATTGATTGCAAATTTGATGAGAAAAAAAATTCCGATCGAGTATCAATTCTTAAATAAATTATGTTTTTGATTGAAACACCGAAACACCAGGTGCACGTGAATTGGCAACATTACACTATGCACATTGCACATCTTTATCAATTGTATTTTTTTTTAAAAGAATTTATACTCACCCAGGGGTAAAAATGTTCGTTTTATAATTTCGATGAACACGTCGAAATGCCAGAAATTTGTTGGCTACAACTGCAGTGACAACGTATCTTCTGTCAATTTGAGAAACACTAATGACTGATTTTTTTTTTGTTATGTATGTGGGGAATTATAACGCAAACACAAACAACATATACAAATAGTAAAAAAAAAAGAAGAAAAAACACAAATATATGAAGAGCACGAAAATTCTCCTTGAAAAAAATTAAAATAAAATCACACAATAATGAAACTTGAAATATGCAATTTGAGATTTTTTTTGGTCACACTATCTGATTAATTGAGTTTAAAAAAAACACTTATGAAACCAACCGTCAAACCAACATAAATTGGTCTTTACGATAATAATAAATTGAACACCAAAATTTAGCAAGTCTTTTTCATTTGTTATTGAAAAAAGTCTCTTCGTTTTATTCTCTCTCTCTCTTCTGTGACGTCCTTGCTTTTCCCACAAAAAAAAAAAACAACGACGAAAGCGTTTGCAAAGCAGTTTTCGCATCGGACGAGCTTAACAAGAAAGACGTTTATCTGTCAAAATGAATGCGAGTGTGTGTTAAATGGACGTATGTATTCATTTCCAAATACATACTCACTTTCGCTTACAATTTGTCAATCACAGTTTATATAGGGGTAGTAGTTTAGATTGCGGTTAGGTTTATTGTGTGATTGTCTATGTGCTGGTATTCTAAAATCAAATGCAATGCCAACCACACATGCTAGTCGGGTTACACATATGCCGGTGTGTGCGTGCATATCGATATGCGTCATTTGTTGAAAAAAGAGAATATGGCTGCTCTACAATACATGCATAATGAAAAAAAAAGAATACCATCTACGATGGTCTTTGTATTGGAGTAAATGAATACGTGTGACTATTTGGCGAATTCAAACATATGATTTTGACAGTTGCGTTAAATGATTATTCCAATGCGTTTTCGTTAATTTTTTTTTCTTTTCATTTGAACGAATTGTGAGAACAAGAAATCGTTCGGTTGAAGAGAGTTTGCTCACTGTCTTTCTCTCTCTCTTTCTTCCTTTGCCATTCTCTTTCTTCGCATTAATAAGTTTAAAGCCAGCGCATCAAATCAAAACCAATCGGTTTAGATATGGATTTTTCATGCAAACGACTATATGATATTTCCGTTGCCCGTTTTTTTTTCTGTTGCTCGAGCTATATCTTGAACATTTTGAGCTGTATGTATTGAAAGCTGTGAGGCGCTTGCGCCTGTTGATGCCGCATCATTATTATTATTTTACTAGTATGTGGTAGAATAAACTCGCCAGCAAAGTTCTCTTACACTTTTCAGCGCGCTTCATTCGCACGTCGTCTCGTTTACACGTATATTTTTTTGTAATATTGTTGTTGTTGTGATCTCACTCTTCATCTCTTTCTCGTGTGTAGTTTTTATTGCGTCAAAAAATTTCAATTATAAATGTGTTATCGTGAAGCGGCACACTAGTCAGTCGTTTCTAAATCGGAACCACGCTCAGACATAGAAAACGTAGACAACGTATATTTCGTTTCGGTTTATTCGAAATTGTTCTTTGGTTTCAACATAAAAAAATTCCTTTTTTTTCGTTTTTATTTTATACACAACGAGCAGAGTTATATACATTCAATTCAAATCAACTACTTTCCAGTCCATAGAATTTTTTTTAGTGATAAAAGAGAATTACCAATATTTCAATACGTTTTGCTAAGGATAAAAGATTTATTTTGTATACGTCATACAGTTTTTTTTTTAAACAAACAAAAGAAATTCAGAAATGTATCATTTAAAAACAATTGTATCGCGAAGTGCAGCCATCGCTTCAAAACAGCAATTGGCCAAATTTGCTCCAGTCACCGTTTTGCCCAGCCGCAATTATGCCGATCATCAAATTCCTGAACGTCTGAAGGATGTGGCAACAGCTAAAGGTGAATTTCATATTTATAATTTGTGTGTCTGTGCTTTTGAGTGTCAATCAATCAATCGACTCTGAACTTTGTTTCAACGATGAAAAAAATTAATAATAATAAAAATTGATACGATTCAATATATTTGGAATTATGATTGAATTTTTATTTTTTTGCAGATCCACGCTTCTTTGATATGGTCGAATATTTCTTCCATCGTGGTTGCCAAATTGCCGAAGATAAATTGGTCGAAGACATGAAAGGTGACAGCTTGGAAGAGCGCAAAAAGAAAGTTAAAGGTATTTTGATGTTGATGCAAGGATGTGATCACATCATTGAAATGTCATTTCCATTGCGTCGTGACTCTGGCGATTATGAAATGATTACTGGATACCGAGCACAACATTGTACCCACAGAACACCAACTAAAGGAGGTAATTTGTGTTTGGATTCTTTTTTAAATGTTCACCTCAGAAAATGTGAAAACCAATTATGTTCATGGAAAGCATCATCGATAACGTAATGTTTGGAAAATTTTAAAAGGCTTTTAAAAATGTTGATTAAAAAAAAGGCTGTCAATAGTATCAAACAACTTTTTTTAAAAAATGTTAATTGATATTTCACCATTATCATTCACCAAATGCGTAAAAAAGGACACTAAATCTCTTTCTCGCTGTGCATGAAATGACAATTAAAATAAAAGGAGCCATTTGTTTATGTCATGCTAATCGATACGGAATTGAAATACAATTAAAATTAAAATTATTACTCTTCAATATTCCAATTACTATTTGTAATCAGTGACAAAGTCATAGTGTACGTCTCTCTGTCCCGGAGCGATGTCAGTGAGAATACAAAAAAAAATGTGTGAACTTTTTTGTTGACCTAATTTATTTGTCGTTGCGACCATAGCTTCGTTTGCTTCGTTTGCAAGACACATTTTTACAAAGTGTCTGTAGAAAATCTCGCGCAAAATTATTTGGAGCATTTCATTTTTTTTTTTTTTTTTTGAAAAACCAATGCATAACAAAAATCAAACGGTTTAATTGAATATTTTTGTAATGTACATTGGTGAGAAAATGATTGAGTATTATTTTTTGTGTTTTTTTTTCTTTGTTGTGGTTTTGTTCTGGTTTTGTAATTCGGTAAAATCTGTCAGCACAAAAATAGAATTGAATGGTTTCGAAAATAGTAAAAATTCATAGAGCATGTATTTATACATAGTATATGTACTATGCAAAACAGCTGAAATAAACAGGGAAACGATGATTATATAATGATACCACTCGAAGTCACTTGATCTCGGTGTCGCCCATATCGTGTGTACGTCGAGTGGTAACCTCATTCGAATCGATACTTTGCACCGGTAAATTAAAGTTGCACCAACATTTTAGCGAACACCGAATTGTGTAAAACGATAACGTTCCCGTTTGTGTGTCGCTATCATTCCACCTTAATCCACTTAATTCGTGTGCACGACAAGAATCTTTCCATATATTCATATGTGTATATGTTTATTTGCAAGAATATTTCTCGTTCTTTTTTTAAATATCTTTTCTTTACATTGTTTTCTTTTCTTTTCGCAAGCAATATATGCATACACACACACATATATTGTTCACACATTAGTGCATTAGGTTCTTGCTTAAATATAAGTTTGTTGAAAGAGAGAGAGAAAGGGAGCGCGCGCACATTCTTTTCAGTGGGTGATCTCAAGAAACGTCAAGTGCTTAAACCGGTATTGAAACAAGCATATTCAAGAGTTTTTTTTTTGATGCCATAAAAAAATTCCCATTCCCTCATCATCCTAAAAAAAAATTCCTCTTATTTCTCGCTCTCTCTATCTATCTGTATTTCTCTTTCAATGACAATTTTATTCGATTGGTCGTTCATACTGTTGTGCTGTCGTCATGCTGTAAGATTACATATTCGATAGTGTCAAGTAATTAATTGGTATTCCCATATATTCTTCACATCATACTCTGACACTGTTGCAAAAACCGTTCATACATCAATAAAATAGATGAAACAACGGCCAATTCATATAATTTTATGGTATGAATACAACACTGACAATATAAAAAATGAAATGGAATCGAGAAAAATATACAGCTTCTAATTGACGTTTTACTTGTTTATTTTATCTTGTTAAAATGCGATATGAATTGTCAAGTTAATCAATGAATTGCTCATCATCAAGTTGATCGCCGAAAAACACACAGTATATGGTTTGTGCGTAGAATATTGAATTGATGCGAGATGCGAATGGAGATTGAATAGCTCCTTAATTGTATATCAACAAATTGTATTTATTTTATAGCGAAACAGCATTATGAGCATGTGTTTGTTTTTGCACGTGGTTAAAATTGACATGAGCAAAGAAATACAATATTACATGTGACATGCCCACGGTATTATATGAATTTTTTTCTTCTTACTACCGCGAAATATGTCAGCTATTCGAGATCGAGCCTGAAATACAGCGAGAGAGAGAGAAAGCGAGAGAATAATAACGAATGATATCAGCACATTGAATGATATGCTGATAAAATGTCAATGTCTTTCATTTTCAAATGTGAATCGCCGTTTTTGTAGCATAACAACAATCTGTGTACTGTATTCACAGAACTCGTTTAAAATGTTTTGAAATGAATTCCAATTGAAGTGTTGATTATGTTGTATACGAAATCATCACATGTGATGATTTCATATGTATTTTGTTATTCACATACGATACGCAGTGCCAGGCCCGCTTTTTAATATTTTTGTTTCGCAAGAAATGATTGTTGATGATCTGGAAAAAAGCTTTCGTTAAATTTAAAATCTTTACAACAAAAAAATGGACACATGATGATTATACGAAATAATCGGCCATTTCGAACAAAATAATTTCCATTCGATTAGCACTTCTATTTCGATATGAGATAAGATATGTGTGGTTTTTAGTGCAAATCCTTCATAATCGAAAACGATTTGAACGAACATTTTAATAGCCATTTCGTCAGCTATTTGCATGAACCAGAGCAATTAACAAACATTGTTGATTGAACGAATTGACACACTAAAGTCACAGCTGCCTTTAAGCATGCATTGATTATTATCGCATCAAAATCAATATATCACCTGTTTGCATATCGAGATAAACGATTGAATAGAATACATGTGCGTATTGGTATATGGAGCATTGTGCAAATAGCAACCCAAATCAATTGCACACGCACACGGGCACGTACACGAAAGAAATCGAATGGATCATTAGTCAGACTTGTAAAGAAATTATATATTTAAAAATAGAATCCTTTCGTTAGTTTCCGTTTTGTTGACTGAAGCAATATTTACAAATTACACTAATTCGCGGTATGTGCTGTTGGTGAGTTGAAAATAAAATTGAAAAAAAAAAACGTTGACCAACAATATTTATTTCAACAGCAAATGATATTAATATATCCAAACGCTGTAAACAAATAATCACGTGAAAACAATCAGACGGTTTTTTGTTGTTTTCTTTTTAGTATGCACAAACATTTTCTCTCGACAAAACTACTTTTATTCGATGATTTTCAGTCATGCAAAAGTTTTGGCATTTTTTTGTTATGACTGTATCTCTTATCATTTTCTCAGTGATTTCTTGGTGGTCAATTTTTGGCTGGTTATCAAAATTTATTCTCATTTGAACGTTATCTGAAATAAATGGAAAAAATAAAAAAACGGAAATTATCAATTAAAGTTCGGTGATAAAAAATTTTCGAAATGATTAAAATTTCCATAGAGATAATTTGTGTCTGGCTATTTTTGCAATTTTCCCCCCATGTTCGCATTTAACATTATTAATATATATTCTCATACATTTTCTACGAATTTTTGTTATCAGGTATACGGTATTCTCTCGATGTGTGCCGCGATGAAGTTAAAGCTTTATCAGCCTTGATGACATTCAAGTGTGCGTGCGTTGATGTACCATTTGGTGGCGCCAAGGCCGGTTTGAAACTCAATCCAAAGGAATATTCCGTTCATGAATTGGAAAAAATTACACGTCGTTTTGCCCTTGAATTGGCGAAAAAAGGTTTCATCGGACCAGGTAGTTGAACATTTCAATTTATTAAATATATGTTTCTTTTTTTTTCAGCATTTGATTTGATTTATAAAATCGTAAACATTATCTGTACTACAAAATGCGCAACAAGCGAGTAAATTTGTTTTTGTTATTGTTGCTTCGTTCAATGTATAGGTATCGATGTACCGGCTCCTGATATGGGCACCGGTGAACGTGAAATGGCATGGATCGCTGATACATATTCAAAAACGGTTGGCTATCAAGATATCAATGCCCATGCTTGTGTTACCGGTAAACCAATCAATCAAGGTGGAATTCATGGTCGTATTTCGGCCACAGGTCGTGGTGTATTCCATGGTTTGGAAAATTTCATCAATGAAGCAAATTACATGAGTGCCATTGGTACAACACCAGGATGGGGTGGTAAAACATTCATTGTACAAGGTTTTGGTAATGTCGGTATGCATACATGCCGTTACTTAACACGTGCTGGTGCCACATGTGTTGGTATCATTGAACATGATGGATCAATTGTCAACCCAGACGGAATTGACCCAAAAGTAAAACGATTTTTATATTTTTCATCGGATTTTTTTTTAATGCATTAAATAATATATATATTTTCATTTATTTTAGCTATTGGAAGATTACTTAACACAACACAAAACAATCGTTGGATTCCCAGGTGCTAAGGCATATGAAGGTGAAAACCTTATGTTTGAACCATGTGACATCTTTGTGCCGGCCGCTATTGAAAAAGTCATAACAAGTGAAAATGCGAGTCGCATTCAAGCAAAGGTTTGAACATTTTTTTCTTTTGCTTATACAGAAATCGTTGTTTTTTTCTCTTCTTTTTTACACGATCGACTAAAAATTTCAATTGAAAATTATAATGAATTGTTACAGATTATTGCAGAGGCAGCCAATGGGCCGACAACACCGGCAGCCGACAAAATTCTTCTTGATCGTAACATTTTGGTTATACCCGATTTGTATATTAATGCCGGTGGTGTGACCGTTTCATTCTTCGAATGGCTTAAAAATTTGAATCATGTCTCATATGGTCGTTTAACTTTCAAGTATGAACGTGAATCAAACTATCACCTTTTGGGTGAGTATAGAATACAACATTACACCGTAGTCATCATTCATATATTTATTTTTAAATTAAAAAAAAAAAAAAATTAGGTTGACCAAGTACCAACCCTTTGGCTATGACTTTTGATCATTCGCAAACACACACCTACATTATTCTTTTTTCTTCATTTTTAGAGAAATTGTTTCTTTATATAATTTGAATTTTTCACCAAAAAAAAAAAACAAAAACAATTCCAACTCATTACAGCTAATGAAACGAATTTCCAATTTTCTTTCTACAAACAGCCTCAGTTCAGAAGTCAATTGAAAACGCAATTTTGAACGATGGTTAGTCCAAATGAGTTTTAATGTTGAATGAAATTCCCACCAATATATTCCTCAGTTTTGCAACTTCACATTTTTTGTTCCATCCATATTTTTTAGTTGTCCGTTTTAATCTTTGGTTTACTAAATTTGTCATAACTAGCAAATTACACAATGAGTCTCATGGCATTAAGCTTTATTCGGAACGAACGAACAACAAAAAAAAACAATCAGCTGATTTGATTTCTGTTTTGCTAATATTTTACACAATTACGTATCTACATCACCATGAATGATAACACATTGTTGTATATCTCTTATGAGCTACTTAGAAATTTCGTTTTGATATAATTTTTTTTTGCTTCCACGACTCTTTTTCATAAGTATTCGATTTTTAGATGAATGACAGTCATTGATAAAAAAACTAGTTTTTTTTTCATTTGGCGTGCATGTATGCCGGTTCATTTGCCGGCAAAGAAAAATAACGATTGGCAAAAACATAAATAAAATGACACAAAAAATTTAGTATATACGAGATAAACCGAATTTGGCTTCTATCAACGCATGGAAACAATATTGTCCATTACAATAAAGCAAACAAGCGATTGACATATTCAATTGAAACAAATCACACCCCATTTTTTATACAACGCGATTTTATATCGTTTAATCGTTTTGTTTTCTAATATCATTTAGTTGACACTTTCTGTTTAGCGTTTAGCATTATATATGAGACTCGTAATCACTTAGTTGTTATATGTGAAATAGTTATATGAATATTGTTAATTGAATTGCGGTGTGTATGTGTTTTTATTTCAATTTCAGAATCGGTGCAAGAGTCATTGGAACGTCGGTTCGGTCGTGTCGGTGGTAAAATTCCAGTAACACCATCCGAAGCCTTCCAAAAACGTATATCAGGTGCATCGGAAAAGGATATCGTACACTCTGGCTTGGACTATACCATGGAACGTTCAGCTCGTGCCATTATGAAAACTGCCATGAAATACAATTTGGGATTGGATTTACGAACCGCCGCCTACATCAATTCAATTGAAAAGATCTACACAACATATCGCGATGCTGGTCTCGCCTTCTAAATTCCGAACCACCGTAGTAGATGCGCAATATGTGCACAATACTATGTACCGTATTTTTTTCTCTTTTGTTTCGAATCTAACACAAGCAAGCAATAGATAGCGAGCGGCGATTTAATGGCAAATTCAATTTAAAAACGATTCACTTTTATTCACACAGTTCCATTTTATGTAATGATTTGCCATATTTTCGCCAATTTATTATTCTGAAAAGAAGAAAAACACCAACAAAAATTATATATTTTTTCTGTTCACATTATTATTATCGACCGGTTTTATGTTTAGTTTGTATTTTCAATAACAATTGTTATAAAAATGATAAAGTTATACAATTTTCACTTTTAAGAAGTATTTTCATTTTTCACCGAACACAAAAACAGACAGATTTAAATAAAAAATAAATAAACCGATCATAACATATTGTAAAATAAAAGCATTATTTGAATTTGAAAATGTTTTAAATCTAATTTAAAATAAGTAAGTCGTGCATTGGGCTTCAATAAAAAAATATCTTTATTAAATGTGAAAACGGCTCTTGAATTTTATTTTATTTTATTTTTAGCAAATCAGCAGAAAGTTCATGATTTTTGAATTTAAGATTTTTTCTCTATTTTTATAACTTTTCTTATTAGATATGTTTTATATAATCCAGGTGACTTCAGATAGCTTTTTGGTACATTTCAATTTTGTGACATTTATTCAATGTGTTTAGAACGCATAGTTAATTAAATACAATCTTAATTCATGAATTAAGATAAATAAGGCCAAGATGCATATTCCTATCGACAAAAATGGATTTAAATCGGGTGTGTAATTTGAAATCATCTGAATTGATGGTAAAAGTGGCTGAAACTATGTCATTTTCACCTCTGAAAATGTGCCATCTTTTTTTAGTTTGCCGATATCTGTACAATACATAGTTTATAAATTATTGTTTTGATATTATTATTTTCAAATTATTCAAAAAAAAAAAAAAAAAAATGCATTCGATGATTCAGTTTTGGAATAAGTTTTATCAATTTCCAAACCATTGTGTAGTGAATTGTTTGCAAAAAGATTTAACTGTATAGTTCCAAACAATCAGTCATTTAAATAATTATTGATAAAAAAATTCGTTAATTAATAAAAATCAATAAATTTAATTTCGATTAAATAATAAGTTTAGTTGTTACAGGTGTAACAAGTTTACTTTTGAATTTGTTAGCTAGTTTGTACTTAAGCTTAAGTATTTCTCGAAAGTATGCAATGTGTGTAAAAAATGAATACTTTTCACTTGTCAGTTTTCTATCTGTCATCAATTTTTCTGTGCCACAATAGAGACGGTGATTCATTTGAAAGAAGCAAACGAAATTTATTCTAAAAAAAACAAACGTTTTTATCTGTGCTCAGTTTAAAAGTGACAACGACAAGTGGTGAGTTTTTCAATCTCCATTTTTTGAACATTTTAATCCATTTATTTATTATGAATTGTTTTTGAATGGGCTGAAAATAGTCACAATTGCGTCTATTTAACAATCCACTTACACAGAGACAATACGAAAATGCGGTGCGATTTGAATTTGTGCAAATATTGTGTGAATGACCGTTGGCAATGGTATTTGATATCTTTATAAGTTGTGTGCATCGATATCCATCAGTCGATTTTCGGTAGAACGGAATTGTCTGTATTGTATGCATTAATTTGAGGCAATAAGAAAATTGATAATGATAATGTCATGCATATTTATACGATATGTTAATTTTGAATAAACAACACGGAGAATACATGTACTACGCCTTATTCTGAATGCTCGTGTAGTTGTAAATATGTATTTATGATTTCTGGTTAACTCCGGTTAAAAACAGTGTCAAACGACCTTGAAAGTGTGCGAAACTTAAAAATAATACTTTAATTCATTTGCCGTGTGATTTTATGAAATTGCGTACAGATATTTATCTATTAATATTGAAATATACATGGAATCTGCAAATAATTCTATACACGGTTGTCATACAATGGAATGAATGGGTTGACTCGTTTTTTTTTCTCTTCTTCTTCTGTTGTCCTCTCTATGTTCGTTCGTTTGTGTCGACGTCTAGGGGATACCGTTTATTTTCGGCGGCAAACGAGAAATGGCGACATTCAACGATGATTGTGTATCGGTTTATTCATAGCTGTATATGCAGTAAAAAGATATACAATATATATACCTGACGATACCGTCACAAGGCTTCGCATATATTGTGTTCCGTTTCGTTTGAATTGTCACATAAAATTGCGCGTAAATATGCAAGAATAAGGCAAACAATGATATACATAAACTATACGCACATTTTTAATTCCCCAAAAAAAATTCATCCCAACACGTTCGTGTGCTTAGATCATGTTCATTTATTGGCAGCATGCGGCTACTATGCAATTCAAAATGCTTTCGATAGAAATAATGTGCTCACATAATATTCTGTCGCAATAAGCGAAAAAAAAACGAACGAGAAGAAGGAAAAAAAACAGCACCGATTTTTTTGATATCTTTTCAATAGCATGGTAGATTTTTTAGCATGGCAGTCACCCATATAACGTTGGTTTTAGTAAGCGGCGGCAAACACGGTACACAATACAAACGGTGGTCTCGTGTAATCCATCGCATTTTTGGTCGAACCAGTGATTAAGCGAACAACATGTACATGTCTTCTACTTCTTCTTCATCATCATCAACGTTTTTGTATTTATTTTTGTGCAGCACTAAAAATCACACACAGTAATTCTGCCTACACAATTGCAATTGTCTCACTCTTGCTCTTTGTGTGCGGCTGGCACACCATCTCTCATGCGTACTCTTTTCATTATTTCAACTTGACTATTTTCCAAACAGCAAATACGCAGAACCTTTTGCTCACCACACGCCATATAAACACACATACAACGCAAACGACAACGCATACACTCTTGCACACTCAATTCACGCATACACTGGCACATTATTACTCTCTGACACGATGAGGATATTCTATTTTTCTACACATTCTCTCTCTCGCACACACACACACACACACACACACATACATACACAAACAAACTGCGACACAAGCATTTGATTGAATTGAGTACCATCATCGTATCCGACATTGCTGTATCATACCGTTCGTATTGCAGAGCGATTGTTGAATTTCATATTGAAAATCTATCTGAAGTTGAAAAAAAAAACGGAGCACACAGAAATTTCTTGTTCATTTTTTTCGTTTTATTGTGAGTGTTATTTTTTGCAAACCGAAAATCAACAAAAATTTTCTTCAGTCATTTTCAATTAATCGAAATAAATCTAATACACACTTTAGTCAGAACTGGTTGTGCCATTTGCAAATAGTCGTAAAACCTTTTCGAATCGTAAAGTAAGTAACTAAATTGTCATTTTCATAATCGTTATCAATATAAATTATTGGTCTTTGAGTGAATGTGTTTTTGTCGATTGGTGTTCTTCAACTCTAGGACTCGAACGAATTAACCAAATAAAAGCGAGAAAAAAAAATTGTATTTAGAGAAATATTGGTAAAATGCTGTTGTGCTAAGCGAAGAAAAAAATCAAATATTACAAAAAAAACGAATCTATTTTGTGATCATTCACTGGTTTTTTGTTTGTTTGTTTTTTTTTTATTTTTTTTTTTTTTTTTTTTTTGAAATATCAATGTGATTCATTCTATTGAAATTATGATTATGATGCATTTAAATTGTTCAATTACGAACAAATAAACAACGATTTTGTTCGGATGACGAGGTGGATCGAGAGAGAGAGAGAGAGAAAGAGAGAAAGAAAAAGAGAGTAAGTGTACGAGTGAGTAGGTGAGTGAACGAACATGCTAGAATGAAAAGCGTAAAAATGTGTACGAAATATATTTTTTGCGGTGTGGCGGCTCTTTAATACGTCGTAATTTTGAATCGGTCATACTGAGGCATTTTCATTCGCCGATATTTTCTGCGGCAATTGGCTATTTTTGTTCTTTTCCTTCGTCGCCTCTGTTTAACGCACTGATTTCATTTATTCCGACATATTTTCTTTTTATTTCGCCTGATTTCTTAAAATCTCTCTCATTCACTTTCTCTCTATCTCTTTCGAGCGAGCGCTCTCTCTCTCTCTCTCTCTCTCTCTCTCTTATACACATACACAAACTCAGACTCGTTGATTTGGAAAAATATTTTAGTGCGTGTGCAACACACGATAGAAATATGTAAGAACCACATTCATTTGTCATTAAGTGCCAAAAATCGAAATCTCATTGGATTCGATTAATTTCTGAATTCATTTGGAAAAATCGCGCTCTGCGTCTCAATTAAACTCTCATAAAATTAGAATAGGAGTGTCTACTGTTTCTATGTTGCCGCCGCCATTTTACAAATAATTCTTTTCGTATACTCTTTGGCTTATTTGCTTCGTGTGTTTTTTTTCTCTCTTCTCAATCGTCGTCGTCGTCGTTTTTTTATGTAATGCAATACAACTTTACGTCGTGTGTCGTATATTGTTGGTTAAAATACGTGATGTACGCAATACAATCACATGCCATTCGCTGAGTCAGTGTGTGTACTAAGAGTAACCGTGCTTTCATCACTGTACTTGGAGTTGTGTGTGCATGACACACAGACACGCGACACAGGCTACGTAATGATGAATTTTCTACGGTAACAAGACGAAACGAAAAAAAAACGCACACATCATACGTTGTTATGCGCGCTCATGCACACTTATTTGGCTCTTTTTACTTACTCTCTGCGGTTTGCTCGTTGGCAGTTCTTTTTTATTCCGTTTTCAGTAGAATTTTTGTTGTTGGTGGTGTCGCACATTTAGTTTGCATTTAAAACCGCATACACGTAATTACAGGCATTTTTTGTTTTTTGAAAATTTATAATTTTCGATAGATTTGGAAGCGATATCCGCCTTCCAATTGAATGAAGTGTGTGCCAAGTGGAAACGGTCGCCGACGAATGACTCAATTGTATTTAGATGAATGCACACATACACACGAACAAACAAACCTACACATGGGCGCACTCATCACCGATACATATATAGCCGAAAATAAAATATTGAAGAATATTTATTCGAGATCAATGGTTGAGAAAGCGAATTGAACGATGACGAAAAAAGTCGAGAAGAGAAAGATTGTATGGAATGACAATGGAGTAAAAAATACTTGAATGCATGATTTAACTGAATGAATTATTTAAAAATGCGTGTAAAATGCGCGCAAAGTGTTTAAGAGCAGAGAGGAAGAGAGGGCCGCCACTACACATGAACGTTGTTGAGATCACGATGCGCGCTCCGGCGATTCAAATATAGTCAATCGCACACATTACTCATCACAGTTAAATACCACACCTGTGATATCACTGAATACATTTGTGATTTTTTTTTGTATCAATTGATCCAGAAATGAAGTCCATAGATTTCTCTTTTGCATGCTCGCTTTGCTCCAAAGTTGATGTTTTTTTTGTCTCATCATTTTCGTCAATAAAAAATAAAATTGATTGTGTCACAATATTAATTTGAGCTACAACATTTATTTTGCTCTTCTTATTCACTCGGATGACATCAAATTTCGGCGAATGATACAAATGAATCAAATTGTTTGGTGAATGTCATTGAAATACGATGAATCACATCGCCAATTCTGGCGTTTTTTTCTTTTTGGTGCGCCGATCAATTTTACACGGCTATAAAAAGCAACCAAACAAATTTCACTTGTTCGTAAGAATATGCCAGTTCAAGTTGTAAAATTGAAAATATTTGAAACATTAACTAAAAGTGAAGTAAGTGTGCATCTTTTCTTTTGAGTGGGAATAACTTGTTTTGCATATTTACAAAAGTAAAAAAAAGGATCAAATCATTTGCAGTGTTTGAAAATCTCAAATTGACATTGCTTGTTTTCACATTTTTACTGACATCCGGTGTGACGAACAGAAAATCGGTGGACAAGAGAGAAAAAGAGAGAATTAAATAGTAACAAAGCTGATATCCAAATAGATAGCAACGAATATTGAATTTAGCGTGTATTGGTCGGCTTGCGCATGTATGCCGAGAAATGTTGTGCGATTAGTCATACTCCTTTAAAATATATTGCTACGCTCATATCATAAGAATTGATCGGAACGCAGAAAATAAACAGCGTAGTAAAGGAAAAAAAAAGAACGTTCAACTATGTTGAACGTTGTTTTGAACCGATTACGACATTTAGACTGTTGTTTGCAATGCGACAGACTCTACAAACTTGTTTATTAATACTTTATTCATTTCATTTTTTCTCTCTCTCTCTTTTCATTGTGATCTGAATGAGGTAGCGAGCAAGAGAAAGAGAAAGAGAGAAAAGCAATAATAATTTAAAAAGTTTGTGTAATGTGTGTGTTTTTTTTCTAGGCTCAGCAAATATTTACTTTAAATTTTAATAAATATAGGGTTATATGATATGTTATGTTTCGGGTTGCAATTCATTGGAATGCTATATCGATATAAGCAAAGATTTTCGAATTGAATTGATAAAACATCTACGAGATGGTCAAAACGATCGAAATAAATATGCACGTTTTTTCCGTCCCATTCTAAGAATGATGACATATCGAATCGGTTGTGCCACTACGTGAGATTTGATTGTAATGATTTCGCATTCAATTAAGACGACCTTTATGGGATTCATGCTTATGTCCATGTTTAACATTCAGCGTTCGGTTTTGGTTCAAATGGTTTATTTGTGCGATGATGTATAAGAGGTGTGCATGTCTCTCTCCGTTTCTCTCTCTGTGTATGTGTAAGTCCGTGTGGGTGAGCTGGTCTTTATAGTTTAATCCATATAAAGAATTTTCGACTGTCACTTTAACGACAAAAACACGCATATTTTTTTATAGCACATCATCTTCATGGAACTTAGTTTAATCCAAAGTAATGAAACAATTTCAGTAAATCCCATATGAAGTCTGTATCTCTCATTCTCGCTCCGTACCACTTATTCTTGGCCACAAATGTGTGTGTTCTCTGTGTCGATCGTTTAATAGAATTATCAAAATAGGACTAATATAAAGATTATCCATGGCGTTGTCGTCACCATCACACATCGTTGTGGCCGTTTTTGTGTTATTGTATTCGCCGTCGTTGTGGAAATAAGCACCATCACATCAAAATTATTTAGTAATCAATTTGCTAAATTTTGCACTTCATTAGGTGCTCATTATGCAGATGAAAAAACTTTTATTTTATAAATCATGGTTTACTGAAGATTCTAATCAATACACACACCATGTGGATTTCACTCCCATTCGGTTATCGATGATGCATTTGTGTAAAATACACGTTACAACAAATGTGATTATATAAAACGCAAAATCGATTTCTAGCTTCATGTATCACGAGCGCTTCACACACACACACAAAGCCCGATGACAGCATTTTAAATTTGTGTGAAATACATTCGATTTATTTTAAACTAATTTCTATACATATTCGCACCATATTTAAATCTTTGGCATCTCTATTCTTTGCTTCATGAGAAAAAAAAAAGATCCAATGCTACAGAGTATGTGTTGTAGGTGCATATCAAGCCCTATCTCAATATCTGCTTATCGTTAAGCAATAAGATCCAATTTAAACGATGCACACGCACATAGTGCATGGAGTCAATATAATTGCTTGTTTACCTAAACGGAAATCGAAGCATCCTCTAAAGGTAACAAGTGCGCACAAATGTAAATCAAATTTTCGACAAACGAAACTAATTTATCGTAGGCATTATTTTGTCTTCGTCGTCGTCGTCGTTCCAGTTGTGAAGATGTTTTTATCTCACCAATTTATTTGTTCAATGGCAAAGAACAGAAGAGTCAATAAAATGATATGCTTCACAAGCGCAAATAATTACATTAGTGCTTTGATAAGAATGAACACAACCATACGAGAGAAAAAAACGACAAATTTTTCGCAGAAGCTGTCGCTTTCATAGCGTTCAAAAATTAAATTAATCAGACCGAATGTACGAAGTGAAACTTTTCGGTAATTTTAATGAGACACCTTCACCACCTCCGGTACGAATTTCAATCAACCAAAGCCAAATGATGTGGCACACATATAAATGAGGTAAAATCAAAATCATCTAACATAACGTTTGGAGACAGAGGAAAGAAAGCAAATTCACACGTACTTCGTTGCCTTTTTTAAATAACGCATAAAATGCCTCCTCATCGCATTGAATATAATTGTGTACGTTGTGCATCCTGTAAATGTAAATGCCAATTATTCACTTATTTCTATTACGAAACAAACAAATTAAATACATGCCAACCACTTGAAGTTTGCTCATCCTAGTGTATACAAAATAAGAGACACACGCGTGAGCTTGATATCATGTTCATTAGTGAAAACAGCTTGAAAGGTGAATTATTGTATGCATGCATTTATGATGTATTACATGATACAGTTGAATATAATGTTGTTGCGAAAAAAAGAAGAAAAAAAATAATATAAGAGAATCATAGAAATAATTAAAATTGAATTCATTTACCCATTTTAAAAGAATGAAATTGAAATCAAAAATTGTCTATGTATGCGTATGCTGTCCGCATGTCTTCTCTCGTAACACGGTACCACATTTATTGTACGTGCATATTATACAAGCGTTTGAGAGAAGTTTTTTTATACTCTTAACGTCGTGTGTGTAATACATACACAGTGTGTGAGAGAGGCACTCCTTATGCGCACGCGATGCTAAAAGCTCGTGCATTTTGCATGTGGCTATGCGCTGAAATAACAAAACGCTTTAGATATATTCACACAAGTCTACACAACTTGGCCACATTCAAGATATTGAATCCAACCGCTTTTGTTTCGGTTTTTGTCGTCGTCGTTGTTGTCGATAACTTCTAAATTTTCAATTTTCTTTTCCATCGTTCATCAATAGCTACGAAGCTATTTGAAATCATCGATTCTTATGGAGTTCTTTTTTTTATGATTTGGACAAAGTGTCGAACGAGACGGAACCTATTGTAATTTTGGCAATGAATTCAACAACCACAAATTCCATTATCCGAACGAAGAAAGCGCACTTTTTTCCCGAAATGATTTATTGACTATTGGAGCATATTTTTTTTCCATATCATCTTTCCTGTTCTTTTCTTCACAAGTAATGAGCGTTTTGAAACCACTTCGCAATTCGAAGCACCGAATGAAACAAAAGTGTGCGGCACCCGATGTTTATGAATTGTTTTGGCTCTTTTTTTTTGTATGAAAATGATTTAAGATTTCACGATATGAATCGTACATATCGAACAATAGCCATACATAAAAAGAGACATGAATATTGCGGAAAATTGAAAATTCAACGCAAAATGGAAAATCTTGAATTGTTTTCATAACATGCAGCGTATATTGTACTTTACGTTTGGACAGCGCATGTACTTGAATTATATCTTTCACTCTCTCTCTCTATCTGTGACACACACAAATGCACTCTTTCTCCTTTTTGAAATACACGCACAAGCACAAAATATAAACGAATACAAATTAACTTTTTCCCCTGTTTGTTTCGTTGGTGTATTTCATTTTTAATTTCTACGCTGTCTACACACTAAGCTTTTTTCCTTATACACATAACATATATATATACATATAATTTTTTTTTGTGATTCGCCATCGATGCTGCACAATCAGTTGAGTTAGGAATGTTCAATGTGTTGTACGTATAAAATATTTTATCAGTCAATTTTAAATTATTTATCATTATAGAGAGTCAATTTCGTTAGCGTTCTCATTCATTTTGTGAAGTTGTTCGAACCGAAACGAAACGAACGTGTCGAGAAAAAAAGAATACATATGCAGTGATTTTTGACATTTGCCGATTCTGTGTAAACTATATGAATACCCGAAGTAAGAATCGTTGCATCGAATCCATTGTGAATTAAAATCATATAAAGCTTTCTCCCTTCCGCACTTGCCCTCTCAATTGTAAGCCGAATTAGGCGAATTGTGCATTGTTGGTAATAATGGAAATTAAGCAATTTTTCATAGAAAATTGATTAATTTGCTTACAATTTACGGATTTGATGCAATTAATGATTCGTGATTTTAAAAAAATGATTGAATAAAGTAAAACAATAAAATCACAATGTTGTTTAAAGTGATTGCCTAGTTTCTTTTTGCGGTGATGTAATGATCGATTTGAAAACAAACAGGGCGGCAGGGAAAATTGCCATTAAAATGCGTAGTGATTTGAATGGAAGTTTGAATCTTTAGCCATAGTACTTCCACGAAGTGAACGCAACGTTTTATGAATGAATATTTAGTGTGAAGCATTTTGCTAAAGTGATTGTTGGTGCTGCAATTTTTTTTCTTCATATTGATACAGTGTTTTTCCTCAATATTTCATATTCATTAAGATCTTAATGCAAAATTGCATTTGAACGGTGTACCTAAAGGGCATTTTCCTTTCGCTGCTTTCAATATGATTTAAATTTCAATATGATCAAAATTTAATTGTGCATTCATTAAAGCCGCTATATAGTTTATGCAAAAATTCTGCATACTAGCCGATACCTGATGTCCGAATGGATGTTTTATAAAATGGGCTTTTACCTGCTTTAAATATAATCGATACATATAGAAATGATATACATGCCGTATGATGCATGCATGTCTGTGTATATGCAATATTTATAACAAAATTACAATATTTCTGCAGCATAAGACTTTGCTGCCCAATGTCATGGTAATTTGGCCTATAGTTCGTTAACTGTTTGGCAAATGTGAGGACAGAGTGTGTGTGTGTATATGTGTGAATGTGTACTTATTGCCACAAATACATCTAAAATATATGTACGACAAAGTTCTGTCAAACGGTGTATTGAAAATGTCTTTTAGCTAGAATAAGAATCGACCACATTCGTTGGTGCCGCACTCGTTCATATTTTCTCTTTCATCTGAATATATTCGCTTGGGTTGATGGTTAACCGCACGGTAACTATCTCAATATAATAATATACGATGTACACACAAAACATGAAGAAACACAATTACATGATAATGCAGCTTGTGTTGTACAATTGAATAAGTGAACAAACGAACAACACTATGCAAAATACTAATGAGATTTATTAGTTTTACTGTTTATTTAATTGCACACGAAAAGAAAAACAACAATGATTTTGTTGTATCACATGGTCTTTAAGTAGCTTTTAACGAAAAGCCTGGCATATTGCGATAATTTCGCTTTCTTGCCAATTTGAACATTAAATCGAATGAAAGCAATGATGGAAAATCGTTCTTGTGGCGTTTGTATATGTTTAAAGTAATATCCTGTGGAAGAATTCGCGACGCTTTCTAAAAAATAGCGGAAAATTGTTTGGATTTTTCTTAGCAATTTTTGCAATTGTCAAAGCGGAAAATTGTATTCTGAGCAATTTAATTAAATAGCAAACTTCTAACGATGCTATTCTATCTTCATATTAACATCGCCTTTTTACATCATTTTGACGATGAACTGAAAAAATGAAATATAAAAGCTTTTATCGTCGAAACCCACGCGTTTCTTTCCCATCCGATTGACTTTTATTTTCACTTCTTTATCCTAGTTTAAATATATATAGATATACATTTTTTTTAATCGGTGTCGTTTTTATTCCGATTTTCTTTTCAGGGGTTTAAGTTCATACGCTGAATAAAACAGGCCAAATTCAATTTCTTTTCAAGTCACACTCACAGCAACTGCAGTATCATTAAAATTTTGGTGTGTCCGACCAAAATATAAATACATTGACACATTTTTTTCATATAAATACAGTCCAAAAACAAATAAAAAACACAAAATGTCAACCGTTGATAAAGATGAATTGGTTCAAAAGGCAAAACTTGCCGAACAGTCAGAACGATATGATGACATGGCGCAAGCAATGAAATCTGTTACAGAAACCGGCGTAGAATTATCAAATGAAGAACGAAACCTTCTCTCAGTTGCTTACAAAAACGTCGTTGGAGCCCGCCGGTAAGTCTTTCACCACCACACAATTATAAAATAAATAAACATACATTTCCATCATAACCACTCTGAGATTGACTATGCCATTTGATCGTAATACATAGAAGAAATGAAAAAAAAAGTACAACATAGAAACTTCAACAATAACCTGGTTAATAAATGATATGTCAGCGCATTCGATTGAATTCTTTCGCTCCATTAGCCAAGTGGTTGATGTGGGAGTTTCAACGGAGTATGTAGACACGTTTCAAATGTCATAAAAATGTCAATTGTGTCCAAATTAACAACATTGATAAAGAAAAAAAAATACCCGAACTTTTTTTTATTTAAACAAATTTATAACATCATCATCATACAATGTCACCAAAGTAACACAATTGAAACTCATTAGTTCGTCTTTCATTTCTGTTGTTTGATTTAATCAGATCATCTTGGAGAGTGATTTCGTCAATCGAACAAAAGACCGAAGCCTCCGCCAGAAAGCAACAGCTCGCTCGAGAATACAGAGAGCGCGTTGAAAAGGAACTTAGAGAAATTTGTTATGAAGTATTGGTAAGTGCGTGATTGAATTGATGCAATCAATGTGTACTCTTTTTTCTTCATGATTTGATTTTTTTTCTCATTCATTTGTCTCTATGTTCAAACAAATATTTGCAGGGTCTTTTGGACAAATATTTGATTCCAAAAGCTAGTAATCCAGAAAGTAAGGTCTTCTACCTTAAAATGAAGGGCGATTACTACAGGTATTTGGCTGAAGTTGCCACAGGGGAAACACGAAACAGTAAGTTTATCATTTTTATTTTGCATTTTTTTTTTTCAACCCGCATTACTAGTATATCATCACCTATATTGACATTTTATAAATTAATTAAAAAAAAATATTAGCAAAATGATGAATATCGACCGTAGATTTTTGTTTTTTAAATACCTGTTGAAATAACATGCAAAAAAATTTCCTTTTTCCAACCTGATACCAACAGCGGTTGTCGACGATTCTCAAGCCGCATACCAGGATGCCTTTGAAATTAGCAAAGGCAAAATGCAGCCAACGCATCCCATTCGATTGGGTCTTGCACTTAACTTTTCAGTCTTCTATTATGAGATTTTGAACTCACCCGATAAGGCCTGTCAATTGGCTAAACAGGTTAGCAAACAAAGCATTCAAAGAAAAATTAAAACAATGGAAAAAGAAGGAAAACGTCGAAACCATCAAAAGTCACATTTAACTTCTGTCGTATTTTGTTTGCTGCAACATTTGTTTCGTTCTAAACATTCATCTCAGTCAAAGCTAGATGCTACCAAAATGAAAAAAAAAACACTCTACCAGACTTCTCTTCGGCTAAATGATCAACCTCATTCCAATTCAATTCATTCCATATTGTTCAAACAGAAAGAAAAATTAATTATTTATTAAGAAAACCAAAACAAAAGAACTAGAATACCGCAAATAGTTTATAAAGTATTAATCTCATGTGAATTAATTCTCTTTTTTTCTTTTTAATTTTTTTTTTCTTTTTTCGATGTTGGTTTTATTTTGAACGGCACACATAAACAATTGAAACATATACACGAACAAAACAAAAAATATATACACACATGCACAAATGTATCAATTTATCAATTCGTGTCTGAAACACACAAAAAAAGCCGTGATTGAGGATTCGCAGAAAGCTTATCAAGAAGCCTTCGACATATCAAAGTCGAAAATGCAACCAACTCATCCGATTCGGTTGGGACTAGCTCTCAACTTTTCCGTTTTCTATTACGAAATTATCAATTCACCAGCCAGAGCTTGCCATTTGGCTAAACAGGTTACCGTTTAGTTTTATTTAAATGAAAAACCGTTTGTCTTTTTTTTCTTTCGCTCACATCACACACACACACATAAACACAAAATATAGAAAACAACAAAATTTAATTTCAATTGCATTTTGTGTTGACTGTTCGTTAATTTTATTTAATTTTCTAACTCTTTTTGAACATTGATCGAATTACAAAAATAACCTTAGTTATGGAATGCAGCCGACAATAATAATAAATATATAAAATAAGTCGGTGAGATGTAAAAAAAGAGTGCAAGAGTTTTTGTCGTCTCGTACATTGTGTAAAGTTAACAAAACCGTTCCCTTGTTGCATTCATGGAACTGGTGTCGTGTACGTGGTATTTTTTTTTTCATGTTCGTGGGTACTTTTTTTTGTCTCTTTCTCATCGAATTCAATATAGACGTCAAGCAATGATGATGATGCATATGTTTCCAATGCAAAATGGGATCCCTTAACAATCGCATCTTATCCGCGAGAGAACATGCGCTCTAATTTTATGTCTCATACGATTGAATTGTTTGTTGAAAAATTGAATATTTACTGTTCAAATCACATACATATATATACAATAATATATCACAAATTCCATATGTTTGTGCCCCTAATGCAATGTTACCATCCACTAACTCATCTATGCGAGAATGGTCCATTTCCAATATATCTCAAATATATCGATTGCAGACGTCGATACCCCCTTGATACTTTACTTATTATTATTCAATATAGTATCCAGTGATTGTTTTTGACACAAAAATAAATAAATCGTTTGCTTTTGGTAGTTATTGAAGCCATGAATGCTGATTTGAACTTGTAGATGTGTGCAACCTTTTTAAAAAAAACAACCATATTATTTTGAAGCAGCAAACAACTTACTAACAACAACAGAATGAATGTCAGAAACACTGACTGCAAGCAAAGAAAACAACAACAACAAATTTAAACAAACACCAAATAGAACATACTGAACGGCAGCATGCATAAGCAGTGAATGAAAAAAAAGCAATTTTAATCACATGACTTTGCTTAAACCTGTTATCTTGTGCATTCACAGTGAAAATTATGCGACATGCATATTCAATGCGATACAAAGTCATTTGTGATGCGCCTCGAATTGCTTGTGTATTTGCATTGCCATTGCGTGTTGCACTTCCTTATGCAAAGCCAACCAAACTGAATTGTGTATGTCTGTCGTGAAAATGTTCTATTTTTGTGAAATGAATGCTTTTTCTTCTTTTTCCACATTGTTTTTTTTTTTTAATTTTATTTTCGCTAATTGTTACAACAGTTTATTTCATAAACTAATTTTTTCTTCCACCCCGATGAAAATGCACCGGATGGGTATCCTTACGGTTGCCCGTGCGATTGCATTTCTACACCGTTCACCGATTACTCATTCCGTATTTTTCTTTTTCTTCTTTTTTACACTCAAATAAACTATTTTGAAAAACGAAAAAAAACACTAGGCTTTCGACGATGCGATAGCTGAATTGGACACGCTGAATGAAGACTCATACAAGGATTCAACACTCATCATGCAATTGTTGAGAGACAATTTAACACTGTGGACGTCGGACACACAAGGAGACGGTGATGAGCCTCAAGAAGGCGGCGAAAACTAACAAAATCAACCAAACAAAAATAATTAAATAAAAAAAAGGTTTAAATATCACATATTAAAAATGAAGAAGATGAAGAATGAAAGATAAACAAAAACAAAATAAAAATCAAAACGATTTCGATAACGTCTTAAATCACAAAAAAAAAAAAAATATTGAAAGAATGAATGAAAGATATAAAACAACAACAAACAAACTGAATAAATCCAAAAGTTTGATGAAATAAAGCAAAAAAACAGCAACAACTAAATAAATACAAGAGAGCAGCAGTAATTTAAATAAAATCCAACAATTTTATACATGTATTTTACAATTTAAAGAATATTGATCGCTTTGCAAATTTGAAAATCAAGCAGAAACTTTGTTCTACTATACAAACAAAAAAAACAAATTGATGAGACTTTTTTCAAGAAATTTGGAAAGAAATAACATAACCATTCTTTTTTGTTAAAAAAAAAATTTATACCATTATTTTGTTAATGTACCTACCCTTTTTTTAGTCAATTTAAATTTATTTAACCGAACTGAAGTGATTGCCTTATCGAATGCAATGCTCACTTCAGTTTTATTATCGAAAAGAAAGAAAAAAATGATGAAAAAGTGACATACATACATTTTTTATTGTCGATTTTTACAATAAAAAAAAAAGAAGAACAGAGAACAAACCAGAAAATTCACAATAGTTTATCGAAACCTTTGAGGTGTCTCAAGTTTTCTGCTGTTAATTATTTTTTTTTCTCTCTCTCTCTCAATAAAGTGCAACTTTTGTTCCAAAAATCGCAAAATCTATAATATATATACATGTATTGAGCAAATGCATATTTTAATGACAATTTTGACATGCCGAACGCGCTTGTATCGCGGTATTCAAACATCCTATATAATTACAACTGAATAAATTTGCATATTCCATCCTTGTTCGATCAATACAATGGATCTTAGTCAAGCAAATTGTTATTTTTCAGCGAATTAAAAAATTATGAAATGAAAAATAAACGAAAACAAACACACAAAAAAATATGTATTTGAGCAATTCAAATTGTTAACATCAAAAACACTTGCAACAATAACAACCGTAAACAAAAAAAAATATATGCGTATATATTGTAAAATGTAAAATCTTTGCGCCATATACCAACTTAAAATTACTCTAAAAGTAATATTTAAAGATTTAAAAATGGAATCAAAAACAAATTTAAATAAAAAAAAACGCCAATAACAATCTAAAGAAGAAGAAGAAGAAATGCTAAAATTATATTCAATCCATCGATCCTGGGCTATTTATTTCTCCGCTTGGTTTGAGTTTTTTTTTTATTCATACTTTGGGTTTCTTTATTTATTCATCTATATCTCTTCCATATCTCATCATGATCAGTACGAAAATTTGGCATCTCCTTGATCATTTTTTTGTCTGTCTCTTTCGTTCGTTTATTTATTTGTACGATTTTCCGCTAAATTTCTTGAATTGAGTTTTTTGTTCGTTCAATTTTCTTACCTCAATCGAAAGCAATGTTTTCGTTTCTCTCTTTTTTCGAACAGCTTTCCGTTTCCATTTCCAAAATCAATCATGAATAAACGTAAAATAAATAATGAGACATTTTTTTTCGTATTTACATGAGCTGAGCAGATCGTGTTATTCAGATTTATTTTGGAAATGTTTTTTTTAAAAAGCTGCAAATATGCTATGTCGATCATTTATTCTTTGTTATAGTCTTTTATTGATGATTTAAATTTTTAATCAATTTGTTGGAATTTCGTAATGTCTTTGATTTTTGTACCACGTTTTAGTGTCGAATTCTTTGGTTCGCAAAGTTTGATTTGAATCTCATCAATTTCTAAGAGAAAACAAAAAAATAAAAAATAAAATGTGCAATAATAAAATCGAAGCCATTGCATAGAGATTACTGAAGTAACCAACAAACAAACAAAAAACGAAACGTAAAATGTTTGCGAATAAAATCTAGAACAGACATAGAAATGAAAAAAGATGAAAATAAAACACTCACATACACACACTCAAATGAAGAAGATGATGAGGATAAACGCGATATTGAACAACCAACAAACATTCGAAGAAGGGTAAATATTTTATGATCACGGTAAACATAAAATATATGAGCAGTTTTTTCACATAAATTAACAAACAGATAAGTAATTAATAAGATCAAAAAAAAAAAAAAAAACAACCATACAAAGAGAGAAAGAGAAATCGATAGTGAGAAAGTGGAAAAAAGATTCAAAGAGAACAAGATTTCTATCCAATGCACGAAAAGCTATCGACGATATTACGTTTAATCGTCGTTTCTCAATCTCAAAATCAAACAATTTTAAAAATATATATTATGCGGTTGATAAAAAAGCAAATACATAGGCAAAGATTTTTTTCTTTTAGTGTAGAACACAGAAACATCAAGAGCAGCAAACAGCAGAATAACAACATCAATAGTCACATGAAATGAACTCGCTTTAATATATATTTTTTAAAATTAATTTTGATGGATGGATGATATTCAATGGGTTTTGATAAATTGATTTGCATCTAAATGAAATTGATAAACCGAAATCAAAACGTAAAAGTCGTTAGAATGACCATTTTGTTGATTGCTCGTATGCAATCGGGAATTTAATAAATAAAGTAAAATTTTGTGCTTTATCAAAATACCGACAAAGAGAAGAAGAAGAAAATATAATTTTGAATAAAAAAAAGTAACAAACAAACACATCGGCAGCAAATCTACAAAAGTCAGGTGAAGTTGGTGGAAATGTAGCCAACTTTGAAGCATTATTACGAGACAAATGAATAAAAACCAAATAAGTTTTAAACGGAAAATGGTTTATTTGTTGGTAAAATTATTGATCAACAACCATGATACGAAATCACAAATGTTTGACACGATTTCGATGACAAAATTTATTTATGTGTTTCAATCGTTACATGTTAATGTAATACATTAAACGTGCATTCTAATTTCATTCCTTTCTTCCCCTCTCCCCCCAAAAAACAAATAAGACAAAATAACAAAAAAAAAATCGTATTTTAAAAACTTTCATATATACAGTATGTCCTGCCGGAGAAGATGTTTTTACTTTGGTGTAATATATCTGTCTTTTTTCTTGTAATATGAAAGGAAAATAAAGCAAACTCAATGTGTGCAGGAAAAAATGTTAAGAAAAAAAAAATAATAATTCTGTTTTTATGTATTGATGTGCAGCTCACTAAAGTCGTCGTGTATGTATTTGATTTGGTATATTTTTTCCTCCCTCAATCTCAGACCGCCGACGATGCAAATCTCTACGACTTTACGAAAACTTTTCAAATTGCTCAACAGTGATTACATATGTAACAAATATACATATAATCACTGTGTATTGTTGTACTTAAAAAAAGGCTCCACACATATGAACACAGACTCACTCAAATACCACTACTTATATACGTCTGAATTGAAAACAATTATTTTTTGCATTCAAATCTTATACAATATTCGTTGTTACAATAATATATTCAAAGCTGTTTTCATTCACATTCTTGCATCCTTCGTTCCCGTCGTTGAATCTATACAATACTTGTGGAAATGTATACCAACCGAAATCGGAGAGTGAGAGAAAGAAAACGGAAAAAAATTTTAATGAAAATAAGCAGAAGAAAAAAGAAATTAAAGGAAGAACAATTTTCATTCTGAATGTCTTTGTCCGCACAAATAAACAAAAAAAAAGAAAGAAGAAAACAAACTTTAACAAGAAACAAACATAGACTTTTATTATTATTTATTTGCTGTCTTCGTTGACGTTTTGTTTAAGAGATGTATGAAATGCCAATTTGTTGTATCGAAGATTTAAAAGAAAGAAAGAAAATGAAAGTGGAGGGCGTTCTATTTAGTTGTTCATTCGTAAAATTGATGGAAACAATTTAAATGTTTATAAAAGGTGAATTAAACGGTAAAATCGACCCCATAAAATAAACGACTTTTTATTTTCCAAGTGTATTTCAACAGAATCATCGAGTCAAAATGATGCTGACACATGGAGATGTCACATCGTCTTTCATTCCATGTAATTTCAAATAAAATCGTCATATCGTTCGTTTTTTTTTTAGTTTTCTCATTTTTGCCTCATTATTATTCATTCATCATTTGAATCATCTGAAGATAATTTTGAACCAGTAAATGTCATCCCCATATTAATTGTTTTCTCTTTGAGGCACAAATTAATTGATATCGCACGGTTCGATGAGTAGTTTTTTTTTTTAAATAATAAACGGAGAGAAATAATTTTTTTATATATGTATCGTATACACTGTATACGGTTTTTTTTATCTATCGGATATATAAAGTGCACATTTGCATTGGAATTTCGAAAACTCTTTTTGTTTCGTCTAATATTTTGTGTGTGAATACAATATGCAGTGCAGACATTTTTCAATTCACAAATGTCCGTCATCATTGTGTTGTTTTTCAATCTGTCTGTAACTTTTTTCTCATTAAAAAATATATTCAATTCCAGAATATGCCTGAAATGTCTCTTGCCATTTTTCTATAATTCGCACATACGTATTAAACACACACATACCCTGTTCTTTCCCATACCTATGTGTAACCGAGTTACCGCGATTACAACACAACCAATTATACAATGATGTAATTTTAATCGTTCATTTCTCTATTAATTCAATTCACATTGCAAATTCCATTAATAGGAGTCCCCATGCATATATTATTTATATGAAGTGGATAGAAAACAACAACAACAACAAAATGAAAACATAAACCAGTCCATTACATTACATTTACAATATACATACGTTAATTTCAAATGGAGAGTATTCTTGGTGCATTGCACAATGACATTTAGATTAAAATGAATCAACAACAATTCTATTCACACAATCAAATAAATTGTGAAGTGGAAACAATTTAATTCAATCTTGTTGAAGGATTAAGATTTACATCCAACAATATATATTTCAACAAAGTAAGACATTCTATTACTGTGGCTGCTCACGTTCATGAGATGCATCAAGGACAACTAAGATAGAGTCAAAAAGAATTATTCAACATATTCGAACTTAGAATGATTTCATTGTTTGCTTTTATGTGCATTGATGCACACAAGAAACCAAATTGTAAATGAATTGAAAATGCAGAATAAATTTAAAAAAAAATCGTACATAAATTTATAAATTCATACACAAACAAGTATACAATTCCAAGTCCAAGGAGAGAACAAAACAAGAACATTTAAATTAAATCATTTTTAATTAAAAATTGAAATTCATAAAATATATACAAAAAAAATTGTACACACATACTTTGTTTTATTCCATCATCGTGCTTTCGCGTCCTTATAATGAAAATCACAACATGTCAATGGGGTAAGTAAACAAGAAGAAAACGAGCTTTTTTTGCTAAAGTGAAATGATTTATTTGGTTATGGAGCTATTTTTATTGTATGCCGATTTGATTGATTCAACAACAAATTTCATAGATTCGCTCGTTTATGATCTATGTAGTGTAGTACGTGGGTGAATTTATTTAACCGGTTGGTCAGCAGATTGTAAAATTTGGGCACTACATTTCTATTGAATATATCGAGAAGAGAGTATGTTATTGTAATGTCTGAATAAAAACATACTCTCCCCTCGATATTTTCAATAGAAATGGTAATCGCATAACGGTACAAGAGCAAAACTGCTTATTTGCGGTAGGCGACAAAATATTTCGTGAAGTTCTGATCCTTTAAGAAAAGTGCCTTTTTGGTCTCGCCAATCGAAAATACAAAATTGTTATTCTAAACATAAAGGAAAGAAAGATAAATGCAAAAAATGACATAAAAAAATGTTTTTCTGCAGAATGTTAAATCAAATTACTCAAATCTCTTTTCAAATGAATTGTTTATTTCTTTTTATTTGAGCGTGAATGAACAAATGAATCGTTACAGTTGCAATTTAAAAGATAAGGTATTGGGTTGTTTTCACATTATGTTGCCAAACGAAATATTATTGGAAGTGAATGAAGTTGATCAATTCCATTGGAAATCGTGGAATGCACATAATTTCCGTTCCATTTGACACGAAAATGACCACCAAAATGGGTCAAAACATTAAATTTTTCAACGGTAAAATGTACTAAAATCGTTACATTTTTGTTTAGCCTAGAAAAAGTGAAAACCATATTTTTTGTAAAAAATATATAAGAAAAAATTATCGCAAATTTTATTAGTCGAATGTTTTTTTTGTTTGTAAACCTAAGACTTGTTAACATAATTGGAAACTTAAAATCGATCGAACCGTAACTTCTATTTTCTTTTTCTTTTTTTTCAGTGTGTTTTATTATGTCGTAAAAGTAATTAACCGGTATTATAAAGTATTTCGCAGAAAAAAAGGAAGAATGGTCTTTGTTTTTTTCTCTCTCTTCATTTTGATTAAATCAACATCATTAAAAACGGGAAACCTATTTAATAGGTCTTAACGCAGTGATTTTCATTCATTTTTGTTGTAAAATACAAAAATGTTGTAGAACATGAAAATTAAACAATAACTTCTTTTGTTTTAAAAAAAAAGCAAATTAGATCTATTCGTCTATTGAATCGTGGAAATGTCCTGTGTGGATGAGCGTTGAACGAGATTCCAGAAAGGTAAAACAAATTACAGTGTAGTGATTTGTGGTAGATGCACTTATTATGTGGAAATGAACGAAACGAAAATGAAAATTAATTTCCTTTGTTGAAGGAGGCAGCAAGACGGCTTGAAGCGGATGTTAATGAAATGCCACATAAATTGGTGTCTGTGTCTTCCCTATTGATTTTTTCAAAATCCATTGATTCCGATGAAGTACTGTTGGCAGTGTTCAATGTTTGATTGCCCATATTTAGTTCGGACAGCAATGTCGTTAGATTGGATTCAGTGAGCAGTGATTCGGTATTTGCATCATCTTTGCTCTGTTCTGTGGTGTTATTATTCTTCGATTTACGATTACGATTATAACGTCGACGTGGTTTTTGCTTATTTTCGGAATTTTCGATATTTTGCTCTTGATTAGATTGATTTGATACATTTTCAGCAGCTGGCCGTCGACGACGAAAACCGCGGTCGTTTCGTATACCACCATTTCTACCGCTGTGATCCATATCTCTTGGCTGTCGACGATGGAAGAAACGACGAGCACGCGGACTCTTTTCGCGTGATGAAATGCCATCGATTCGAAGTAGTTGTTGTTTATATGCATCGTATTGATGCCTGTTTTTTTTTTTGTTCGCCCCGATTACATATGAGAAAATTGAAGAGTAAAATTATAATTTTAATATACGAACGATTATTATGTAAAAAAAGAAATTATAATTAAAAAAAAATATTTACCATTGCATCGTAATCAATGCATATTCCGAACCAAGAACCGGACCATGTTTCAAACCCGTCACATTGATTGCTTCCGGCGATCTGTCGCTCATAACGACATCGAATTCAACATGCTCTCCTTTGGCCAGCGAACGTGTAACACGTCGTTCATTCTTGCCAGTTATGGATTTGCTATGGACAAACACATATTCCTTTGTATCATCTCTTTTTATGAAACCGTAGCATTTTTGAACACTGTAGAATTTTACGACACCGGAAACTCTGTTTGATTTAGCCGTCGTCGTTGTTGACTGTCCATTTGCGCGATCAATTAAATCTGACATGGTTTCCCTTGTTTTATCGTTTTAAGGAAAAAATAATAATTGTGTTTCCCCCTTGATGTGTTCAGCAGTATCTATGCAATGACGAAGGAGACAAAAGACAAATAAAACAACAACAACAACATAAATTAATGCTTTGGATATCTAATTCAAACTATGAGACATAAGAGGGTTTAAAATGAAATTCAATGCACATGCTACTTTCAACTTTCTTTGTTCGATGCGTGGCGATTCAAACAAACACAGAAGAGCAGACAAAAAAACAACTAGACAATGTGTTTACAAATTCACCTCACTCACTTTGTCCGATGGGTACAGAGAATTTTTTTGATTGTTTACTATTATTTTCACTGGTTTTTTGTGAACGTTTCAAATAACGAATCTAGGCCAATGCATATAGGGATTTAACCCACAATGCAAGTCTAAAAAATCGCCTTTATTTGGTTAGATTATGGTTTAGATTTGTCGTTTTCTTAATTTCCAAATTATTTCACCGTTTTCTTTATTTGTTGTTCGCCTGTACACTGGCTTGAATATCTCTTTATTCTCAAGTCAATCAATCGAAATTTTGCAATGCGCGCTATGCATGTATTGGTGTTCCTCATGAAAAAAAATATGTATTCGTATATGTTTAACAAGGATGTGCCAAATGTGTGTCAGTTACCAGTGTGTATGCGTTCGTCATTATTACACGCACATACATACATACACACACACCATCAATATAACCATAAAGCGAATGAACTGATAAACGCAGTAGCGCGCACTGGATCGTACAAAGGGAATATATACATATGAGTCCGTATTATTCCGTATGATGGTGTATATTTACATGGATACAAACACATACTTTCAATTTCAACTTACCGCGCGCAGCCAGAACAAAGACTGCAATAGACCTCGTCTTTGGATTCTATGCGAGTGAGAAAGAGTCTCCTTGTCTTTTTGTGTGATTTTTTTTTGCCGTTCGGCTGTTAATTCGGGTTCTCGACGACACATGTACATTGCATTGCACTTGTTCAATGTTGTTGTCCCTTTGTATGTATGTGTGCAAAAGAAGTCTGCAACAACAACAAAAACAACAAAAGCACAAGAATAAAAAAAAAATGATGACACAACCACACGTGCAAAGCAGAGCAGACGAGTCTGAAAAAATGTGCACGACTAAGCAAGACCGCTACCAAAATGCAATATATATTAAAGCATATAGTGTATGGACGTGTTCGTCACCGTCAATTCGGCTCGACGTTTTGCTTCGTTCACTTCATAGTTCCAAAATAAAAAAATTTTTTGCTTAAGGTGGACATGCCGAACAATGATGACTGAATGCAGCAGATATAACGGAAAATTTGAAAAATTCGAAACAATTACAACGAAAGACCATCTGAAATGGAAATGATTGCAATAGATTATTTTCATTTTTTTTGCTTATTTAAATTTGTACAATTCTCGAAAATAATTATAACTGAGCAAAATTCAATCTGTATATAGCAAATTATATTCATACAAGTAAGGTACATCAATACGGTATAACAGTAAAATACACCAAATGCATCAAAACAAAACTAACTTGTTGCACACACCGTGCACACTGGATGGTACAATCAAAAAATATAGATGATTACTTACGTATAGCTTCCGCTATAAAACATTTCCTTTTTTGTTCGCTCGGTCGAATTGAATACGCACGATGTTTGCAAACAAATCAAATAAAAATCACATCATCCTATACCTTTGCCATGCACTTCGCAGAATTTCATCACATCGTATGATAGATTATAAGCATTCAATAAATTTGTTTGTTAATCATGTACCGTGTGCATCCATCAATTCAATGAAACAAAACCAAACGCTCGAGATAGGCCTATGATTTATGTCCGTATGTAAAAATGACCATATTATTACTTTTAGTTTCTTTTTTATTTCATTTTCATCTGAAATTTTATACCTTTGTATTAATGGCGTTTGTGATTGTTTACCAATAAAATGCATTCTAAATGCGCGTTCCACTCGTGGGGTTTCCTGCAGACGCACATTGCACATTCTCACATTTTGATTTGAACAAAATAATAATCCAAAGCAGATCACTTTCGTTACGCCACAATTTAGTTCTGTTTTTTTTTTTTTTTGCTATTTCGATTTTTATAGATCAGACAGTTAGGTAGGTTAGATAGGTAATGCATATATTATACGTGCTTTGTTGTTGTTGTTGTTGCTTGCGCTTCAATTTGTGATTCGTATCAATTCATATATGTTCACTGTGCGCACATCTTTGTTTTAAATGTGTTGTGTTTATTTTATTACTCTCACTGATGTGTGTCTTCATGCATGTTGCCGCCGCTTGTGTTTTTTCTTCTTCTCTACTTATGAGCATCACGTCGTCGCTGTTTTCTTTGTTTTGCATAAACAAAGTACGTAAAAGAAATGGAAAATTGTCCATCTACCCCACATGTGTTGTGTATACATTTTTGAATTCCTATCTATTTGTCTTGCTTTCGCGTGTATATCGTTCACATACGAAGTGATATCTATAGTTTCTTGGGTACAAGTCAAGCGGTTGTGGTATATATTTAAAGGAGCATCACTCAAAACGATCGCTCACAATTACTTTGATCGTTACACATTTTGCTATAAAACAGTATCACTCCTCATAAACCGTTGAAAACATTTTTTTTTTTTAAATTCAAATAGAACGAACAATTTCAAAATTACATAGATCGACTATTGAATGTTTTTATACTCATCGTGGTCATTTTCTTTTGGTTTTTTTTCTTCTATCGGTTAAATTTCGTATATTCAAAGATATTGACAGTTTTGATTTAAAAAAAGAGCATACGCAAAAATGACACTCATCAACAAATTTGTAAGTGATTTCAGTAGTTATCAGTGTGATTATGTGTGTGTATCCGATGTGTCGCAATAAAAGCTTCACGTACATATTTAAAATCGGTTAAAATTGATCGCTTTTAATTGTTACACATGTGTGTGTCTTGATGACTGTGTTTCTGAGAGAGCAAATTTTGATTATTTCGGCATTGATTTGGATAAAGTGAACTTGATTTATTATTTGCAGGTGTTTTCCTGTATCGCTGTAACGATGCTTTTGGTAACATTTTTCGCCAATGACACCTTTGCCAGCACATCTAAGTAAGGAAATACCATAATTTTTTCTAAATAATTGTGCTCTATTTACATCTTTTTTGTTTTGTTTTGTGTTTGTGTGTTTTCTCTTCCTTTCATTAGAATTCGAATTCATGTTCCTGTCAAGCATCATACTCATTTCCATACAAAGACCGTTGTAAAAACGATTCATATTCCAGTCAAACTAAAGACCAACCATCATCATCATCATTTGATCCAAGATGACCATTCATGGGCCAAAAGTTACGCAAAGAAGAAAAAAATTCGTCCCGTATTCTATTGAATTGGCGTGTCACGTGAGGCAAACAAAGAGATGCACAAAAATTAAACAGATTAATAAAACACACAAAAACAAACAAACAACAAAAACCGGCACTAACATAATTTATTTTTCGGCGATGTTTGCTTGATAAATCATAATATTGGCAGCACGTTTTAATTTTAAAGAAACACTATTTTTTAAGGAATGAAACAAGAGGCATTACACATTTAACATTATTGTCAAATCAATTGACATGGTTTTTCTTCTTATTTGTGGTTGTTTTTATTTTCATTAACGAATTAGGAATTATTTAGGTAAAAAATAATATGCATATCAAAGATATTAACTAGTTCAAAATGTTAATCACAATCAGTAAAATGTGAAATTTCTCTTCAATCAAAACAAAATGAGAAAAAAAATGAAAGAAATAAAGAGAAAACGGATCGGTCAAAGTTTTAAATTACATTTGTGTGTTTGCTTATTGTTTTGTTTTGTTTCGCTTAATTGTATGTGTGCGTGTGTGTGAGCACGGTCTTATGAGATTTCATCTTACGAGTATGGTATTTCTAGTTCAAGGTTGAGTTGATTCACCTATTCTCCAGCATTGTGCCACTGTAAGGTTTCCTTGTTTCTTGGTGTCAATGATTGACATGATTACAAGGAAAGAATATAACTTAATCAGAATCAGATTACATTAGGTTTTCTCTTTTTTTCCTCTCTCCTCTCTCCTCACTCAATCTCTCTCTTTTTCTCTCTTTCATTACAATTGGAAAATTATTTTCTCTTTGTTTCGAAATAGAAAACCAATTTGAAAACAACAACTTTGCATTGCCAAAAAAAAAGATCGGAGATAATTCCGTATAAATGGACGGTGAAATGAAATATGTGTAGATAGTGTGTGGACTTTTTCCCCGTCGTTTGAATAAAACAAAGTCAAATATTTAAAAATGTATCGCTCTACACATTGTTCAAAAACGCAGAGAAATAGACAGTGAGCAAAAAATTAAGTCATAAAACTCAGACAAAATTGTTTTAATGGCATAGGTTATGTGTTATGTTGTTTTGCGTGAACCCTGTAATTACTAATGTAAATTAAATGTGCATCTCGAGAAGTTTCCATATGGAACCGATGGCTCTATTCACCTCATAAAGTTGGATTAAGCACTAAAAAAACTTGTTTTTCATATCAACCGATTTTTTTTCACTTTATAACAATTTTTTTTTCTCGAAAAAAGTAACAACACCATCAAACACACAGCGCAAATTGTTTCAAGAGAGAAAGTAGCAAAGTTTGTTCCGTTGGATGTCATAATTTTTTTTTTTGCTCTTTCTCTACACCAGTTCTCTTTGCGAATCAAAATAAATCATGTTAAATAATGTGTGCTTTTTAATTTTGTGCGATTCAAACGCACATTAAACGCATAAATAGATGAATAGACTTGATGATCTTACCCAACGAAAAAATGAAAATCGCGGTTGCATAAATTTGGCAAAATCATTTAGAGTGCGTGAGTATTAACAAAATAATTTAGTCGCATGTATTCGCCCAAGATTTCGGCATTTCATTTCGTTCCGTTTTGTCGCACATTTTTTTTTCATCTTTTTTGTTTCTTCTAACCATGTAAACTCGGTTAAATAAGTTAAACGCGATGTCTGATTAGTGTTTTGTTTTGCATTTTTTTTATTTGTTTTTTTCGTGCGATTTTCTTCTTCTTCTGCTTCGTTAAAGTTGCACGTACATCAAACAGTTTTATGAGCTAACTTATCAATCGAATGAAACAGAAACCGGTTACGAACAAGATCAAATACAATTTGGCATTAGCATGGTGTATGTGTGTATATGATTTTCCATCTTGTCGAGTTGTAGTACACAACTTCATATTAGCAAGTTTACCACTATAAACTAGAAGAAAAAAAAAACACTTTCCTTTTTGTTTCCTACATAATAATAGTGATTAGCGGATTGCTTTGCGACGAACGCATATTGTTATGTATATATTGATAAAGATGTATAGCCATTCGTGATCGCGAAACCGTATTACGTTTTGATACAGATAAACAAAACTGGTGACTCGTCATTTTTCTCCTTTTGACTTTCGAAACGAATTTTCATTCGAGGGTAACGCACTGCTCTTGTTTATTTTTACCGATGCCGATTGGTGTGCACCAAAACCTGAATGATGAGTGCAGCCCCCAAT